ACCCTGGAGCAAGGGGTTAAAGGTATGGGCAGACGCAGCTCCAAACGCAGCAAAAATTTTGTTCATCTGAGACATTCGTGAATAGACCCCTGACCTAGGAGAGGTACACACCTAAAGTGGAACACAACAAGAGGTGTGTTTTGCGGGAGGGTAGACGCAACGGCCTTGTTTGGTACAGTAGTTGCCTATTACTCGAGTCAATATGGTGCCAACTACTGGTTTGAAAACTCTGTGAATTTCTGCCATAGTAAATTTTGTCACCACAAGTGGTGCCCATCCAGGTAAGTGTAAAAAAAATTGGTGGCGACCTTTATCTCCAAAGTTCTATAACACTTGAACTGCAGTTTTGAGGAGCTATGATTTGTTTAGAAGACATTAAATAGTCGTTCGAGTCCAGTGAAGATGTTATATTTTGATAAATTTCCCACTAAATGTAACAGGAAAACTGACTTGGCACAAAGGCCACGTGACAGCCATTTTCTCGTTAAATTTAGCGGGAAACTAATGATGTAATGAGTCATGTGACATCAATTTCCCCGCTATATTTAGCAGAGAAACTGAATTGATGTTACAGTGTAGACCGCATATAACGTATGTCGCGGGAGTCGCAAAAGTCCACACTATAAGTGGTACCGCGCTATAACCAAAACATCAATTTTTCAGGCCAAAATACATGTCATGAGACAACTTACCTTTGTAAAACAATTTATCTTATGTTAGATGAAAAATAAAGCTTAGTTTGAGGAAAGTCTTGATTTCACCCTACTAGTACACTTCTCTCTCAAGTGTGTCACACATTTGGAAACAAATGAGTGGCTTTTGCCTGGCGCAGCCTTTTAACGGCGTCGCAGGTTGCGGACAGACGTTGCGAGCGTTCAGGATTGCTAACCCTAATCACTTTTCTCCGGCGATGAAAACGCGTGAAAATTCGCATCCTTTATATGGTAAGCGCCAGTAATACCTTCAACTTCAGCACGGGCATAAAATGCTCCAAATAAGAAATCCGGGCAATGTTCGGAAACGCAAATGCTTAGAAAGTACCACTGTAGTCGAAGTAAACAAACATGACGACACGGGCGTTTTTGCCGTCTTGAGAGTGCCGCCACAACATCGCCACACGAGTAGGTGGATCTTCTTTTCTAGTACGCGCTGGGTTATCATAGTGACACACAAAGAAAATTCACAGTCAAGGATAGCGCTTTTACGCGGAACAATGAGCTTCCACCACGCTATGGTGGCTATATAACCACGCCGTCTACGTCGACCAAGGAGGATAGAAGGGTAGGAGAAAACATGACGTCGGCCGCGTAGCCTCCATAAGCCATGCTCCCTTGACGCCTCGCCTCTTTCTCATTTTCCTCCTTACTCTCCTCACTTACCATTCCAACGTGACCGCATCACGTGACCGTAGCTAGCCTTCGTCCTGCTATGGCGTACTAGAATACACCACAGTCTAGCCTTCGATCCGATAAAACCTACCGGACAGAGCGCGCGCAAGCCTGCAAGGAGTCCTTCTACAATCAACCATCCATCTCACACGTGACATGTCACGCGCACCAATCGCCAGAGAGATCTGCGGTCACGCTGGGCACACGATCGTTTAAACTTTTTATGACTAGGCTTCACCAATATTGCAACGTGCCCCCTCCTAGTACTTATAACCTCCTTGACGTCGACGATCCCAACTGACGCCATGTTCGCGGATAGAAGTGGCCGCCCCGCAACCGGCATGCAACGCCCGCGAACACTTCTCCTCAACCTGCGATTGGTCTGTCGTTGCAGTTGTTTGTTTCCAACGCAGTGGAGGGACTTACGCACATGAACGACACATGCGTGCGTCCCTCCATCGCTATGGCAACTGAAGCCTCTCTCTTCGCTTCTCCCAGCTTCGAGCAACCTCCTTGACCCACGAGTGCCGCTTGCGGCTCGCGCAGTTATCTAGTGTCGCACAGGGAAGCATGCTCGCTGCTCCGGTCAGTCGGCGCGCTGTTCCAAAAACCGCACTATAACCGGTATTTCCCTTCACGCGCCTGCATTTTAAGCGGTATGTAAATACATGGAGTTCTATGGAGGCGAACCGGTGGTTTAAAAAAGCTGCGTTATACCCGGTTCTGCACTATAAGCGGTTACGTTGCAAGTGGTCTATACTGTATAGGTCTGTCGACATCTGGTCACATGACACCATTCTCCCCAATAACTGAGCGGGGAAACTGAATTCATGTGTAGGTCACATGACGTAGATTTTCCCGCTAAATTTTGCGTGGAAACCGAATCGGTGTATAGATCACGTGATATCAATTTTCCCACTAAATTTAGCGGGAAACGCACAAACGAATGGACAGACGGCCAAAAATTGGGGATCGAGAGTTTTGTCAAAAAGTGTTTCGTGCTTTAAAAAAAATTTTAAAATCATGGGAGTTTTTTTTTATTTCTTAAAGCAAACGTAGCACCTGTCATGTGGCGTTTCTATTTATCCTAAATTAACAGAACACCTAAACCTCAAGCACAGGAGGCGTTTCTAGCCAGCAGTCTTTTCGACGGGTCCGCGGGGTTTTAGGAAGCTGTTGTTGCAACCGGCAACTTTCTAGGCGGCGATTTCTCTGAATATGCGTCCACCCGTTGGGTTCTCCGAGCGATCCGACTGGTTGACTCCCAAGGTTGGCAGCGCGCCTCTGGTGCCTCAATTTGTCCCTCAAAAAACTTTCTGTGGCATGACAAAAACATTTCTGACCAGGTAATCTAAGGACCGTGGGGCCCGCCTGCTATCCTGGGATGACCACGATGGTGGGCGAGCATGGGAGAGCAAAAAATAGAAAAGTGGGTGCAGAGGTGAAAGAGGAGGACAAGGGGTGGTAGGGGGAAATACCTGTGCCTTCAGAGTGCAGTGAAGGTTACAAGCCGACGGCCCCGATTAAGAAACACTAGAAGCACGATGTCCCGACTCTCAGCCTTGCGTGTGTTTATTGCAGTTAATTCAAACAGATACGGAAGGTTCACCTCACCGGTGCACTTTTAATCTGTGTCTACGCATTTGCGTGTCTGTCAGCCTTCGACAGCACTTCGACTTACGATTAAACAGACTGTAGAAATGCAGCCTACTATAATAAGGTGATCATGATGGCGGGTAAGTGCAAGAAAGCAAAAGAATAAAGAAAAATAATTCGGTGGAAATTGCCGGGCAATTGTGTTGCACGCGAAACGTGCATCGTCTTAAGTTTTTGGTGCTCTTCGTCAGTTAGCCCAGCGACTGGCTTAATGCGTGGCACATACACTCAATAGCAATTCCTGGAACGGAGATACCGGCGCTAACCTGGGCTTTAAAAACGCATGACAGGGTGTCAAAGTGCCATCTGCCAGATGCAGAGCGGATGCCTCGCAGGGCTTTCCCGCCGAATGGCATCTCAACCCGCGGTAATGTGTCGTGACATGCTGAAAAGACGCTTGCTTTATAATCTAAATACTAGTCCTGGTTCAATTGCCTACGAATCCCCATGTGGCGGGTTCGAATCCCGGTTGAGGTGCCCGCAATTTGACGGAGGCTTATTGTGGACAAGGCGCCGTGGTAACCAAGCTTTTGGTTTTACATCAAAAGATCCCCAGGTGATCCAAATTAATCCTCAGTCCTCCGCTGGGGCATGCCAGATGCCCGTCATTGGTTTGGCACGTAAAACCCCCAAATTTGACTTTTGACCTTTTTGTCCTGGTTCGATTCTCCCCTGGTGCAAACGCTTTTCTACTGCGATGGCCTCTTCCCCCCCACAAAAATAGTTGTGTGTCCAAAATAGGGGGTGTGATGTCATCACATGGCTCAGCCAGTCAGCATCAAGTTAATCAATGGCTTCACTTTTCAAGTGTAAAAATTTAATGCCCCCCCCCCCCGTCACCTTACGACACAAAGCATGTTTCACGCGAATAATATGTGCATTGGAGGTAACGAGGGTCGTCGCTACCTCTCTTATTCGAGGGCACTTTTTTATTTGAGGGCCTTTGTTGAGACCCGTCCGCATCCAGAGCCGGATCGGATCAGGCTGGCCGGAATGTTTCACGAGTCACTCTGTTACCTCGCAGTGGCCGGTTCGAGGAGCTGCTGGCATCGATGGAAAAAGACCCAGCCGCCTACAAGACCAGGTTCCCCACCGGCGGCATTATAGGGGTACTCCAGGACAAGCCCGAGCTGGAAGACAGGAGTGAGTGGCTCGCAGGTTACGCTTGCGGGACCGGCGCAATACGGGGTCGGAGTGCGTTGCCGAGAACGTGCCTCCACGACCGTTCCGTTTATTGCATCCTCGAATGTGGTTCCCCGATCTCTGCCAGATCATGTCGGAGCAGTCACTCCCCCGCACTTCGTTTCGGCTTACGTCCAGACGCTGGCGACGCTACGCGCTGACGGGACTGGTCGGGCGGCGTCGTGAGTGCACCCTCGTGGCCGTATTTTTGTGAGTGTTCTGTCATCGCGGAACCAAACAGGAAAGGCCCAGTGGCTCGCGTTTGTGACACCGCCCGATTGGTCCCATTGGCTTGTGGCATCGGCTGCATCTAGACTCGAGCCAAAACGAAGTGTGACCAATCACTTCGGCTGTGTGGTCGACGAGCATGAATTGCTCGTTCGGTTCCGACGCGGTGTGGCCGAGGCTCGCGTGCAATCCGTAAAGCTCCGACCAAAGGACAAGTGACGGCAACCAACGTGCATTGCGAAGTGCATATTGTAACACTGCAATGGAGTCTTTCGGTTTGTTCCACTGCTGTGCACCACCATTTGCTTTTAAAAGCCCGCGCCGTCATGTAGTTGGCACTCCAGAGAAGGCTAGTACAGTTGAAGGAAGCATGAAGTGCACTTTTTATGTAAAAACTTTGTCGATCTCAAGTCCCAGTCGAATGCTAACCCGCCATTTTTGTCCAGTCTTGGCGTCGTGCTCGGCCAAGGTAGGAGACGTTAAGTCCAGTGGGCAGGCCGTGTGTTGGGTGAGCACCGAGCTATGTGGCAAACAAAGTGGAGGAAGCGCCCCCTAGTTTTATCTCCTTGCTCATATGATACTGCGGGGCTGTGTAGAGTGCAGTTTGCTAGGTTTTGCATGAAATTGTACCCACGTGAAACCCACGTGGATCAAATGCGTGTAGGTCACATGCTTTCGTGTATTTCACGATACACATGGATCGTGGTGGATTGCAACTCACGTCGGCTCCATGCAGCTCATCCACTTCAGAATATCGGGGTCAAACGTAGGGTTGCGTCATTTCTACAGCTCTCACGTCAAGGCTGCATTGTGACAAAAAGTACCAGTAGGCGTTTGGGTAAATTGTGGGATTGTTTGACTCGTTTAGATACCGTGCAGAGTGTGGCATGGCCACGTTTAGCTTTCGAGAAACTTCAAATTTTGGTCACTTTTAACGATGTCTGGGTAAGCATGTGGTTGATGCTCCAGATCTTTTTTGGATGTAGCGATTTTATGTCAGTCCAAGGTTAAAATCTGGGATACCTTTTTGTATATGTCTAAGTAAGAAAATTTAACTTTGAAGGTTACTTTGGTGTCCCGTTACAAAATCGACCGGGTGTGTTCTGATGTCGGGAAGCAGTTCAGAAAATGAGTACTTGAGAGCTTATGCATTCTGTGCGACGGCTTCTTTGCGTAAACATTGCATCTGCAGAGGGCAAGCACCATATGACACCTTTCTCTCTTTCTTTTGTGTGTGTTTGCAGTTCGTGCCCTTGCCAAGTCTTATGCCGACAACCACGAGTTCTTGCCTCCGATGAATGCCGTTTGGATGACGAGGGTTATGCGAGAAGACTATGAGGGGGCCAACAAGATACTTCAGGTTAGTGCGACTCTGGGTTTAGCATTGTTACTATTATACTACATTTTTCTTCAGTTAAAGTTACTTTCACCTATGCTGCCAGGCAGTTCGGTCCGACTCGTATTTGCAGGTTACAGCTGTCGGTCGTTGCCGGTGTGTAGGATTGACGAGTACGACCAGCAGTTCGAGCGTCTGTTTACGAACAATCTGTTTGGCGCAGTGTGTTAATATGTCTGAAAGACTATGGTTTCAGGTGGCCGTGGGCAAAAACACTTCAAATGCTACGCATTTTGAACGCCTTTGGGGAAACCCATCTTTTCGTTGGCCACATTTCGGCAATCTTGACTTGTACGTGGAAAGACAAGAGGGTTCGACGGCTCTCAACCGTGGCTCCGTGCTTTTCTCGCAGGAGTATCCCCAGCTGAAAGAGAAGCTCATGTTTGCAAATCTGCTGAGGGCGTCCAGGGAGAAACGGAAGGTGAGAATCCGGCGTCGGTCCTAAACGCCGAAGGGAGCCCTCGGCGTCTTCGGTTTTAAACATCCGCTCACTGCCGAGTAGTGCTTTGCGTTTTTGGTACTAACCGAGAAACCTCGAAAAGCAAACCGCGAGCAAGTTTCATACAAATTTGGGAACGGCGAAAAATTTCCGTTTGGAGCCGTCTTCAAACGAGAGAGATTGAAGTATCGCGGTGAGATATCTTTGTCTACGACTTTATTCCGCATTGACCCAAAGTACCGCCCGTACCGAACTGTCCACAAAGCGGCTTCTTTCTTTGGGAACGACATCCCTTATCGCGTTTCCTTCCCCTCATTGATACCAAGACATTTCCCGAGTGTTCGGGTCACGTGCACGTCCCCCGGAGGTTGGGGAATTTCGTGCCTGTTTCCCGTTTGCTCCATATTAAGCCTCTATAAACGCCAATTTTTTTTTTACCGACACTTAAGAAGCACTGAATCCACGGGAAGAAATATCCCCCTCTCCCCCCCCCCCCCCCCCCTAATATTTAAAAATAAACAAAAACATAGAATTTTACTTATGACTATAAATTTAAAATGAGAGTGCCATTTTTTGGGGAATACGGTAAAGACGAGGCGGTCCCTGCACTAAGTAAGGTTTGCTAGGCTCTTGAATGTACCGTATTTACTTGAATATAAGTCAACTTGAAAGAATTTTAAAAAAATAATTTAAATATAGGTCGACCTTTTTCTTTTTTAAAGAATAGAGGAAAGTTTGGGCAATAAAGAAACTTTTATTTACAGCATTCTCCAGCGGAATCTCTGCAGAATGGCAAAAACTTAATCATCGTCAGACCTATGGACATGTCATTGTCGTCGGAAGCTTCGTCGACATCCTTACAAATTCGCAGCAATACCTCACTGACACCATTGCAAAATGGCAACAACAAGAAATGAAAGAAGGTGCACCAGGCAAAGCGACAGAAGACCAAATACTAAGATGCGAGCACCGCCGCGAGTCACCGTGAGCAACAGAAAGCGAAAGTAACCTCCGTGTTTCGTTTTGCTGCTTGTCTGCGAAAAAGAGGGGGCAAGATACATGATGCGTCGCCGTCCCCCTCCCTCCCCTTCTCCACTTGCGTCGCGAGGGGCATGCGTGAGCGGCACCGGCCTCAAACAGGCACAACACCCGTAGGACACGCACAAACAGCGACCACGGCGGGCCGCTGGCTGCTGCTGTTTCGGTTCTCGTGCACCAAAAGCTTTCCGAAACAAAAAGCGGTGTGACGCTACGGCGACACCGGCTCCGCGACTCTATAGCTCTATGCGCTCGGTAGGGTCGCGAAATTTGGTCACAGGTCGAAATTTTGTGGTCACGATTATAGGTCGACCCTTAACTTTTTACATTTCCGAAAAAAAAGAAAAAGGTTGACCTGTATTTGAATAAATACGGTGCTGTTTTCTACGAGGAGCTGCTGTTTGCATGGCGCGCAATACACTCGGGGCTACATGCCGATTGTCACGGTGTTGGTTAGGTTGGCTAGGATGGTACTCTGCCCAAATGTGGAATTGGCGTGCACAAGTTTGCACCGGCTTCGGTTTGGCCTTTGTCGTTTCGAGTGTGGTCTGTCTGGACTGCTAAAATTGTTGCATGTTGACTAAGCTCCAGAGCACGATAAAACTGTTTCCAAGTTCAATAATGCCTTTGAAAGTCGGTTCTTTTCTTTCCCTCCTTCATGACTATACCTCGTTTTGCCTTACGACGTATCAGGGCGCATGTCATGGACGAGCCTTCCCAGCCAGTCTGGTACCGTGTACGTATTACACGACCGTGCGCCTGGTGCGTCGTTGCACCACTCTCTAAGGACCCACGATACTCGTGCAGCATTGGAATGGCTTTGGTGGCTCATAGCATCCATCAAACAAACCACACGCGGACTGTGGTTTGTTTGGGACACATTCTGTGCACTCTAGTTGGCACTACCAAGCTCCTATAATTTTTGCCTTTGCAGGAGGAAATGGCTCGCTACGTGGCCGACACGGTGATCTCGACATCTGCCTATTCCCCCGAAGCGAAGGGGCTCGTCTGCGGAAACCTGATTAACGTGCTAGGTAACGCCACCTCGCTCTCAGCTTCACATTTTCTTTGTGTTTGGTGTCGAGCGGGCAAAATTGAACACAGTGCTTCCTCGAAGTTCCCCCAGATTCCCGAGGAACTTGGATGCACGAACAGCCTTTGTTTTTGTTATCACATCAATTCGTCTATTCGCGACTCCAGCGACCTATAGGGGGCGCCACCACCAAACAAACATGGCGGCTGAGTCCAGGTCGCGTCGGCTCGGCCGGGCCGCCTGAACAGGTGGCGCGTTCAATTTAACAGATTTTCTTATGTTTAATGCCCAATTTTATAGCTATTTGAACTCAGACGGTTAAGTGTAGCCGGTGCGCATAAACTTGCCGAGCATAGTTTTGTTTTGCGGGTCTTTTTTGTTCTTTTCGTGTCAAACTTTTGTTTCGGAGACTTCGATCAAAACCGAAACTATGGGCTCCGGAGAAACGGTAATAGACTCTAATTAGTTTTCATCATCTAAATAAAGCGGCGAGGGCTACAAAATTGTTCCACCGAGAGTAATTTTTAGCTAACTCGCATGCTTCGACCATGCGACTTATCTGTCCGCGAAATTGAGCTTTTGTGCCTGTCCGCGTTTCAAGAAACAGCTCCAGTCGTGTGCTCGGTCAAGAACACAGGCTGCAGGAAAATTACGAAAATTAAGCAAGCGCTTCTTGAGCCAAGGAGCATGTCAACTCGCTGGCGCTTCATTAAGCAGCTGATACTCGTATTTCAATTCAGGTTTTAGTAGCAATCGAGAAGTCATTTTGATGAATATGCGGATTATGTATTATATTACGTACTATGGTCCCACTAAAGCGATATTAGTATATTCTTCGGGTTGAAATATGAACTTAGTTGACTAACTATTAGGTGAACTGCTGAATAAAAGTATATTTGACAGACAGAGAGATACTACTTAAACTTAGCCAAATGGTTCTAGCCGGCAGAACGGAGACGAGTGCGGACAAACTGAGGAGAGTCTTCATCGGAGATTCACTCAGACCTCTCTGCAATGAACTTGACTTCGAATCCTGAACGGATAAAATGAGTATTTTTTTGTGGCCGGTCAACCTGAGCAGTGTAGACGTATATTGCTGCTGGCTTCGACAGGGGTTATAATATAAATATTGGAGGCGCGATAGATCTTAATGACGTGACAGCTTCTAACTTTGCGAGACGTGTCCCCCACCTTTTGAAAGCAGATAATTTCCCTCATTAATCATATGCAGCGAGCAGGTTTTCTGAATCAAGTAATTGCGAAATTAGCCCAACTCCTTCAATGTGGTCTTTTTCGGCGAAAAGCCGCCAAGATGAATAGCCAATGCACCGGCCGGCGTTAGTGGCTCAAATTAACTTGAAGCTAATCGAGCACAACCAAACTCAAGGAAAGCAGCTATCGAACCTTCCCATTCACTTGACTGCAACATTGGTGTTCCCTCCAGTGAAACACTTCGTCTGCCGATTTCAGTCCACTGTTCTACACTCTTATAAAGAAACCACTTATCAGTTACCAAGCAGTCGTCACTTTGAATGTGTGTAGAGACAGACGAGAAATCACAACGTTTTTCCGTTATTCCTCCTCATCCGAAAAATTTAAAGCACGCGACCGTGTGTTGTGGAGTAAACGGGCTTTCAAACACGTGATGGAAAGAAACAATCTATTGAGGCTTCACCAGACTAATGAACGCTCAGGCAAACTTAAGAAATTTTCGGACCTTCGTCAAATTACATTGCTCGCCCCCGCGCCGACAGCAGGTGTCCGCGAAAGCCATCAGAGACGCGGCGGGGCGCGGAGCGACCTGGACCGACTGGTTCCCGGTTTTCCCGCTTGGCGGCGTCCGTTTTGCTGGAGTCGCGAATAAAGTAGGCTCGCAGTAATTCAAACTAGGATATTTCATACTTCCGATTAATTCAGACAATTTTCCAAATTTTGGTGGCCCCGCTATGTTTTCAATCTGTTTGTAAGCCACTTAATTCGAACGGCGTTTCTGTGCAATTCATATTTCTTTTTCCCGCTGGAACGTTGACCGCGCTCTTACTGAGCACCGGTGCACTGCGGAGAAGCAACCCCCGCGGAGCTCGGTTTTACAAGCGCACTTAACGAGGCTAATAGTCTACGAAGGGCACCTTTTTCTGCTGGACGAACAAACTTAATTTGTTTCAAGGTGTCACATGCTGTCTAAATAGTCCAGGATAGACAACAATTTTGAGGGATGATTAAACTTGTCATACATTTCACCAATGTTTAATGCTTGGCACACCTGCACATGATTAGTAGGCTGCTGTCGAGGAAAAAAAAAAAATAGTATCTGCTTTATGTGTGTAACCATCCATACAACAAATCATATTCAGATGAATTTCTGATAATTCAAACACAACATGTGGCTTCCTGGAGTTTGAATGAATGAAAGTCTACTGTAGTCACTAGCAGAATGAGAATAACGGGGAGGTCTTTCAGTTGTCTCTAAATTCAAAACAACATTCGTAAGAAGTCCTTTGCATCCTGTTAGTGTCTATAGCATCTCTAATAATTAGTAGAATAACCTTTTTCAGGAGTAATATCCGCCCACTTTTACGCTCACGGGAGCTTTAGAATGTTCCAGGGCTAAGCAATTTTATCTCTCATTTGAAAGGAGTGGAAATCGTAAAACTGTCAATGAAATCAACTTTTCAAGTCAAACTTCTGGAGCGTGTAAGCATTTTTAAGAAAAATTTGTCTGGGTGAGGGAAAGCTAAAGGTTGGAAGAGAAAAACAATTCACCGACCAGGCCCTTTTAGGACCCTCTTTTAAGACTTAGTTGGAATTTGTCTTTTTTTTTTAACCTTCAAACTAGTGCTTAACTTTGGCAAGTTAAAGAGTCCGCAACAATCGAGTGGGGTCCGGTGTAACTTCTGTTGTTTACAGGTATACTCGTTAATTTCGCAAATCTTGCGTGTTCTCGACGGCTGTTCCGCCTTTGAGTTGTTTTGTCTGACATCCTTACTGTTCGCTTCGCCTTCCCACAGTGGCCTGCGAGAAGCTTGACGAAGCACTGCACGAACTGGAGACCGCGAGAACCAAGCACGGCCTGCAGCTGACCGACTTCAGAGTCTCGACACTGCAGACACTCAAAGCCGAGCTGACCTCGGCGGGAAAGCAGGTCCCCTTCGAAGTGCCCGAGGCGAGGGTGAGAAACGACCCGCTGCGACGGTTCTCAACCATCTGCCTCGTTTGATTTACCTGCATCGGCCTGCACCGGCGCAGAAAAGGGTAGCGCAGTGCAGAAACGAGCAGGGCAACATACTTCCGGTTGCATTTTGAGATGGACTGCCCTCGTAAGTCAAATACGGTTGAGCGCATTGAGCACATCTGGTGCGGGAGGTGCAGGTAGGAGTCACCGACGTTTTGGGGACTTCTTCTGGATCGGCAGAAGCAATGCCAGGGCTAGGGGCACAAGGCGTGCAAAATTGTCTGCTCCTTGCGCACTTTGTGCATTTGTTTACCCTCCGAACATACCCACGCGCTTTTGTTTTACCCCTTTACGCCCTCCAACGACAATCAATGACGACACTTGCTCGGCTGCCTGGTCGTCTATGTCACCCTTCGATCGCCATGTCCCCCCCCGCCCTCCCTTTGTGTTCCGACGCGTCAGATATGCACGTTGGAACGCTCACTCGTTGTATTGGACGACTGCAGTCGCAAAAGGATAAATGAAGGCATCTACAGTCGCCGACAAGGTGAGAACGGCTGGGGAGAGCTTCTGTTGTGCTGCCCCCAGCGCGCACTTCCCACCTTTGACAACGCTTTGGCAACCCGTGCACCTCGAAGGCGCGCTCGCAGCCGAAGCACCAAGGAAGGCACAGAGCGCGCTGGAGTTGGTGCATTTGAAGGACACACCCTGCCATTCTTGTGCTGTCGGCAACTCTAGCCCACAAAGTATAGCTCGTATTATACGGAAAAATTAATCGTAATCTGTCGTTCACAAAATTCGTCGCTTCTTTTACGACGAAGGGTCTTTAAAAGAGACGAGGCTGCGTTTCTACGGCACTTCTCCTACGGAGGCCGTATTTTGTTGAATGAGTCGAGACCCACCTCACTTCCTCGTTCGGCCCTGGGTCGTAGCAGAATGAGCCAATCTCGTTTCTCTGTGCCCGGCCAAGCGCCGTTCGCTCTTTTCCGGCTTCTCGTCGGCGCAACAAAAGCACCGAGCCTCTGAGAGCCGCCGCTTCTGTTTGGCGACGTCGTCTTCGGGCCGTTCCTTTCGATTTTGGGGGGCATTGTGAAGACGACGGTGCAGATCTGGCAGGCGTACGACTTCTATTGTAGACCCCTTTCGAACGTGTGATCTGTAACCAACGATGGCGAGCTCCTTGCATTGTTCGATTAAGCCTCGTACAGCGGGAGCAAAATGTCGCTGCTGCGTCGCATGCAATTGGGTAAATAAAGAGTGGATATGCATAAAATTGGGATTTATTACATGCAATACAATCGAACCCAGATACATCGAACCCAAAGGGGATCGTAAGATAGGTCGATAGATCAATAATTTTATATACAACATATGTTAAATTAATAGAAATTGAATTGAAATTTCCTGGCGTCTCTGCTAATACCGAAGGTCGTGACAAAAGGGGGCTTACGAAATACAGCATCCAAGATCTGCTAAATACAGTAGAGCGTAGTTGGCGGAGACCGCAAACACCACCGCGCTTTCACGCGCACCTGGCCGGGACCTCCATACAGCATAAACGACAAAACACGAAAATAATAAAAAAAAGAAAGAAAAATGGAGAAGCGAGACACATAAAACAAATGTCTTGATCCAAAGAAAAAAAGTGAAGCAAGCAATAAAAAAGAAGGCTCACTAAATTCAAGCAGGAAAAAAAATTTTAAAAATGGGCAAAGCAATAACTGCAAAAGGAAAAGGTAAATAAAGATAAGGCGGTCAAAGTGCAATTGCACGACCGTTGTTGCAGTATGAGCAGTGTTCGGGGAAAGGGTGCAGACTACCATTGCGACAGCGAGCACACCCCACTCTCCCTACGCGTGCCCTTCCCCTATCCTCCCTATGCGTGCCCTTCCCCTTGCTTTTGATATCCTCCACTTTTTCTCTTTTTTTTTTTTTACGGTTCATTGTCTTTTTTTTTACAACTGCTCTTTCGCTGCATATCATTCCGCATGTATGCTGGCTTGGCGGTCTGCCAGCCACGCAACGCAAGCGATGTGCTCGCCACCGGTGCAATCAAATTAGATCGCGGGAAAAGCAACAGGCAAACGAACTTCGTTCGCTATATCGAGTTTCCCCGCCATGGGAGTTGGGTACAAAAAGACTGCGCTCCTATACTATTACACGTGATTTTCAAGGGGATGTTTGATATAACCGTGCTTGACTGTAACAGCTATCGCTCTCACTTGTTTGCATTCTGTGGCGAAAAGTTGCGAATCTTGTGTTAGAACATCAGCCGAACACGTTCAGAGCTGGCTCGAAGCAGCCTGCTTCGAATCGGGACCGTGGAGCCTTCACACGTTGCTTGTTTCGGTTCGTGCAGGTACGAAGACGAAAGAGCAAGGACGACTCAAGCTCCAGTTCCGACGACAGCTCTGACGAGGACGAAGCAACCGCGTCCCGTTAAGATCGGCCTAATCCCGCCACATCCCCTCCAAAGCCGTCAAATTGCCGACACTATTACCGCTGCCATTTCACGTGAACATTCATTTCAGCTAAAGTCAAAAACCGCTTCGTAATACACCATTCCGTTTCCTTTGACAATAATATGACATTTAGAGACCGTCGCCGACGCATTGTAGAGATTGTACAGTTCCCTCGTATGTTAGTGCAGACTGTGTGTACATAGTTGTTTGTTAATAAAAAGGTCAAAAGTTTGCTGCCTTATTGCTGGTCAGTTCATTTGTTTACATCCATCCGTTCTCAAGCTGGTTTCCTAGGAAACCGGTCCAATGAGGTAAGACATCTGCACTCTTGCAGTCTGCAACATTCCTTATTGTTTATCCATAAAGGAACGGAAGCTTGGGGCATCTATCTCATTTGGCCTTTGGTAGACTGAATTTAACTGAATTCTACATTGACTTTGAATTGCCTTGAAAAAAAAAATGCTCTGCTCTAAATATTTGAAGATGTTGCAAAGTGTTAAATCGATACTCTTTTACAACGGTGCGACGAGATAGCAATACGCGACTGCAAAACCAACTGCAAAAGAGAAAGCAAGGAACTTAGATGACTTCACTTTCTGCACGGTATTGCGACGTCACGGATGGATCATCAACCGGCAGTTTTCCCAGCATTTCTCCTCCGAATCATTTATGTTATGCAAGTTTGTTTTTAATAAGGTATTATATGATAAATTAATAACAGATTCCGCCGTAGTTAGAGGGTGACTCGTAAAAATGTTTGAATGAAGAGTTGGACATGGCGGCAACTAAATTTGCTCGTCCGTGTACTTTGCCTGCAAAGGTTTCTACATTTCTAGTCCTAAATAATGTTAAACCATCCCTGGGTTTCACGAAAAAAAAGTGCTTTAGACCCCAGCCTCACCAACTTTTCACCGTCTTTATAGTTACTCCACTAGCTCACTTGCATATGCTTCCATTGTATCTTTTATATTTTCTGGAATGATCAAAGACTCGATTGCCATGGTCTTTGAAACACCTCTGGGTTTTCCAGGGAACACTTTAATTCCAAAGTTTTAAATGTCTGTTTATCTTCCATACAATGTCTGCTTTCCATCTCCTTTTCGACTGCAACAGTTTAAATTTTGCTTCCTCTTTTCCACTATTTGTCCTGGTTAGACGATTTATAGGTGCGACTTGCTCAGCTTCAGATGCGGTGTTGGGAACTTTGGGTCTAGTGTCATTTTTCTTTTCGGAGGACAAAAAGTGCATCGTGCAACCTCGGACAAAGCCTCGGATAACTGGCAGCGAAAATTTTATTGTACCAAAATGGTTGAATTGTTACTCCGAAAAATAGCTTTTTTGGTGGCGCTAGTTCCAACTGTCTCGGTGTTGCAGCATCCCCAACAGCAAAGAGCAGCCTATGCCTTTCGCGATGGAAATATCGAGGGAGTTAATTTCCATGTGTAATGTGGGGTCCTGGGCTGCAACCGCGATTAGCCAGGAATTGCTTTTGGAGATGGACCTGGATCTGCATATCAGACATAGCCTCCCCCCACCCCGGTCTATGCTGCGCGAGCTACAAGGGACAGAGTGCTGCTGGAGTTACTTTTCACTGCTTCAATCAAGGCTCCAACGTGGGTATTCTCGTGCCCTGCAGTCACCTTCGCCCTGTAAGGGCCACCCAGGCTTGGGGATCTTTTGTAGCCAAGAGCAACAAGATCGGCAAAAGCAATAATCAAGCAACTAACATACTTGAGTAACGAGGGAACACGGAGCAACATACTCATTTGTTGCCTATTTATATGACGAGAATATGGTCGCTGTGTAACAGGTATTACGCCCATACCAAGAAGGCTGAGAAGCTAGGTATGCGGAGAGCAAGTTGTCTGCTTCTTGCGCAGGAGTTGGTGACATCGGAACGACGCCAAGCTCTGATTGGCTTTGATTGAAAGAATAGTGAGTAGTCCTCAATGTTGGATGCATTGAGTTCTACCCACTATTTTTTTCAGTCTGCCACTAAGAGCTTGGCGTTCTGACATCGCAACCCCTGTGCAAGGAGCAGACGAACTTTCGCTCTGCGAAGGAGTCATTGTCAGTCCCATACACGGGGGATAACAAAAAACTCTCGGCCTTTCCACTCTGGTGAAGAAGGAAGACTAGCGAAGCTGTACTATGGTCAGACGACGTCTAGGACGACCTCAAAGATGATGTATAGGACGACCTCAAGGATGACTAATAATGCAACCTCGAGGATGACCTCAGGGACGACATCTAGACGATCTCAAGGACGACGCCTAGGAAGACCTCAAGGACAACTTCTAGAACGATTTCGAAGACGTCTAGGACGACCTCAAGGACGACCTCGAAGTCGACCTCAAGAATAATTTCTAGGACCTCTCTGACAACATCAAGGACAACGTCTAGGACGACCTAAAGGACGACTTCTAGGACGACCTCAAGAACGACGTTTAGGACTACCTCAAGGATGACTTCTAGGACGACGCCCGGAGAAATTCAGCCTTTTCACTCTGGTGAAAACCAGAGTGGAAAGGCTGTTGCCATCTATGAGCAAGGCCAGTTGCAACTGGGAATTGTTCCATAAACCAGTTGCAACTGGGACCAACTGGTCCCAGTTGAAAATTTTCGCCTGGGCCGGCAACCCGATTGTCTGGTTGCCGCCTTCGCTCATAGATGGCGGTAGCTGTCCTGAGTTTTGTGTCAACATTTCTTTGCGGGGGACACGATCATGGGGAAACTAGCCCTTCACAGCTGCACTGTAATAATATAGAAGCTGGGTCTGACACGTTTTCAGTTCGCCCGCGAGTCGCGAGCTATGGTATTGGGCTGTGATCGGCCTTGGGAGGAACCTCGAGAGGTGAAAGGGCCGAATGATCGAGTGTGGCGGAGGATGCGGGCAAGCGGGGGTTGTGGGCAACCGGTCCTGGTATGTCGCAGGGAGGTGACAAATTAACGGAAGCGAGATGTAGCCAGGAGACGCCGTCGCAACTTCGTGACGGAGATGCGGCGGATCCCAGCCAACCGATCGAAGCTCTCTGGTGCGCAGCTCTTGATAGGGTGGAGTTGAGCGTCCGAGCTGGCACCGCACGGCGCTGCACTGATTCAAGAGAGGCGGTAAGCAGCGCCGATATCCCACACCGAATGGCAACATTCCAGGGTGGACAGGACCAGTGCGGTGAACAAGGCTCTTGACACGTCGGGGCAAGCTCTTATTATGATTATAATGCAATTAAATGCAAAGGTGCAGCTTTTGACACGTCGGGACAAGCTCTTCTGGATTATGATTATAATGCAATTAAATGCAAAGGTGCAAACGAGCTGAACAAGAATCACGAAAATAATCCCCGGAGAAGGGTGTTTGCATGTCCTTTGTCCCTATTAATTGTTTCCCTTCTGCAGGGTTTATTTTCGTCACTCCTCTGGAGGTCTGGATAACGAAGGCCAGAAGCCGCCTTGCCATGGAAACGACGTCCTCTTTGTGGCGGCGAAAATTGAGACGATAATCAGTGCGGAGAGCAAGTCGTCATTTTCTTGTGGTGATGTCAGAACGACGCCGATTTCTGTTTGGCTTTGATTGGAAGGATAGCGGGTAGAACTCAGTGCTAGGTGCCTCAAAGTCTAACCACTATCTTTATTTATTTATTTTTTTCAATTAGCCAATAAGAGCTCTGCGTTCTGACATCAACGCAACCCCTGTATAGGCGGATGTCCTTGGTTCGCGTGACCACGGTACAGTTCAGCAATAAAGCTGAGGGCATCGAGGGCAGGCGCGATCTGGTACGTGATACGCATGATAGTGCATTTGAATGAATTAGGCGAAGTTCATTGTTTATTGACTAGGGGTGAACGCGGTCAAGGTTCGCCTCTAGGCATCTGTAGTCTGAAGGAGATACAACGACGGTCGAATCAGTGGCATCCGCAACGATGGGAAAACAAGGTCCAGCGATTACCACGATCGACGAACGGCACCTGACTGGTCATAAAACGTCGGTAGGATCGTTCCAATGTAGTTATCATTCGAGCCCCCTCCCAAGAGTTTGTTGTTCTCTAACCAGGAGCACGATGCCCGGCACTGCCCAGCACAATGAATTCGAACTTCCCGCGACGACCGATCCGTCTGCTGGCTTGGCTAACAACCCGTCAAACAAACTTCAACTGAACTAGACTTTTCGCCCCAGGGGAGAACAAGGGTCGCACGCTTGAACCATGCTTGAACACAGATGTGCAAAATAATATTACCGCCTATTTAAAAAAATATCAACACAAGTCAGCAAGATTTTATGAACGAAGCGGCAAAAAAAAATTCTATACGCCACTTTTATTCGTTTGCTTTTAGCGCAGCAGCATTCCTGCACGGGCAACTGTGCAGGTGATGCGCAAAGACTCCTGGGAATTATTTCGCGCCAAAATCGGTCGTCTGCATTGCTAGGTTGACTCAGCCTGGCGGCCTGGCTGTCGAAATTCGATTATTTTTCCTACCTGGTCCTCACAACGCGAAGCTGTATTTACCCGCTCCTTCAGATTATGTATAACTGCACGTTCGCGTAAAACATTTGACGCCTGTAAGCCGTTCTGTAGAAGGAGGCCTTGTAGCGACGGGAACGATGCCCGGCACAATGAGGGTTCCGAGGTTCGCCCACTCCGAAGGGCACACCGATTTGTGCTACGATCCGTCTGGGAGGTAAGTACTTAATTTACGTACTATTCCACGTGTGCGTAAAACAGTTTGCGATATAATACGGCTGAATTGCGCTTCGGATTTGCCATCCCCATACCGACAGACGCGCCAATACAAGAAAGTCTGGCTATGGGGCAATGTCGCATGCTGTAAACCGATGACGGTTTGTTTTTAAATCACCTCTAGGTATCTGCTGACGTGTGGGTCGGACGGAGACGTGAGGATATGGGACGGTTTCGAGGACAACGACCCGGAGTCTCATAACGTCGGCGAGAGCGCGCTGGCCCTGGCGTGTGCGGTGAGTTGGTCGACACGTCGCTCGCGTAAGAACCTCGCCATTCTTGAACCAGGAGTAGCCTGCGCGCTCACCATTCGGGCCGTAGTTTAGAAGTCGGGTTTGCCTCGTGAAATCTCGGTCGCCGTTTATAGACAGAAGGTGGGCCGGCTTTCGCAGTAGAGTGTAACGCTCGAGCGTGACGAAAAAGCGTTACAGGCAGGCCAAGGCAACATAAAGGACGCATACCCCGTACTAGGCAATGCATAATCATCCACATAGCTCGCATGTGAGGTCATTCGCGGCCATGCCAGTATTTTATATGTGCCTCGATCGTTCGGTTTGCCCTGTTAGTTTCACACTGCAAAAGTTGTAGTTTGAAGAAACCAGTAAATAATCGTCAGTATCCAGCAATGGCGACCCTTGCAAGCTATGTATAGAAGGCATAGGATAACAATTCATACATAACCATCTAAGAACACACAATCAAAACCTTGGAGCTAGCCACCAAGGAGCTCAGCGGGAATGGAATCCCTGGAAGGGGAAAGGAACTTCCGGACCATGGGATCCGCAGTCTGACATCTTTGCTTGGCTCCACAGGTAGGAGATGAACGAGAGCGCAAGTAACTGAACTAGGTATGACCTGCCAACGACGGTCGCCTGCAGTAGGTGTACGTGCTTAGGCGACTGTCTGCGGCGAGTGATACTTTGACCAGCATACTTAGTCTGCAAGCAACTTGTGGAAGTGATTTATGCTTAGCTATAGCATACTTAGTCTAACATACTCAGTCTGCAGGGGACCACTGGCGGTGAGTTATGCTTAATAAGCATACTTATATAGTCTACGGGCGACTGTTGGCAGTGATTCATACCTAGTTGAGGGTACACTTAGTCTGCAGGCAACTTAAAAACCTTGGCTTTTGGGGGTATATCCTTGATTTATTTAAAAGTTACTTTTCCAGCCGCACGCCACGAGTTAGTATAAGAAAGTGTACGAGTGACGCTGTGCACACATCTTGCTGCGTCCCTCAGGGATCTGTTTTAGGCCTCATGTTTTTTAACATTTACATGAACGATCTAGCCTTATTGTCCTTAAAATATAACATTTATCAATTTTCTGACGACACAGCATTAGTTCTGGCAAATGAAAATTATGATACAGCAGTTAAAATTGTGCAGAATGATGTCAATGAGCTAACGAACTGGTTTTCTAAAAGCTATCTATTTGCCAACAACCAAAAAATGCAGCTAATGTGCTTTCAAATGCAGCTGTTTACCACTTCCATGTGCCGCAGAAACAAAGTATCTAGGTATATACTTCGACGAGCAATTGTCGTGGAGTATACATGTACAGTATGCATTTCCGAATAATATCATCCTGATATACAGATTACGAAATTCCGCGGATATTTTGCGCACGGAACCCAGCTTGAAAACCTGGTGTTTGAAGAACAGCTGGTTGAATTTAACCTATTGACAGTAAATAAACTGTGCAAATTGGTGATTATAACAAATCAATTCTTCAGAGTTCAACACCATCAAACAAAGACAACTGAGAAAAACGGAGAAGTTTCAGATTCCAAAATTACGTGCAACTATGGAGCTAGGCACCGTAAATTTTATGTGCCCACATATTTCAACAACCTTCCTAATAATCTATGTGCCCTCCACTCTTTAAGTTCTGTAAAAAAGAAAATGGTATACACAGGCGACTGAAGGTTAACTAGTCGTTCTCCCAATCTCATTTATTCATTACGTCTCTTCTGCCTAGTACCAGATTAGCACAGAACTGAAATCTTAATGCGTTCTTCAAACTTCCTTAGTACAATATCACATAATTACTTACAAATTATCATGTGTTTATATTGATTAAACATGTTGGTTTACTGCTTGCCATTTTGTGTTATCTCTTGGGATAACTCGTGCTCGCCTTTGTCGTTTCCCCGAGGCCACCAAAATAATGTTTCTTGACATCCGCCTTACTTCTTCGTAGGCCGGCAAGTTTTTCGTCGCCACAGACGAGTACTCTGTGAGTGCTCGCAAGTTTCCAAGTGCTGACCTGGATGGCGTTGTGACGCGGTTCCCATCCGACGTCTATGCCGTCACGTGCAGCCACGACGCTCGGACCCTCGTTGCCGGATCCGGGTAGCTATCTTTCTGGGCCCTTCCTGTAGATTTGTCAGATTTCTCACCCCGCTCCTTAATTCACCCTTTTCAAAAGTGCGCGCCATCTAACAGCTTCTGCACCACGTGTCGGAGTCCGCCCTTGTTCGGGCACACAGTCCGAGCATGTATTGGACACGAGGGGCTGCGTCAGCGTTCAGCGTAAACTCGGATCCAATTTTGATCTAAACAGAAAGAAGTGAGCAGCTAAATCGACTAAGGCTTTTTTTTTTATTTCCTGCAGAGCCTAAACAGTATTATTGCAGCAAAGTGATATAGTATACAAGTATTATACACAAAAATAAACGAGCACTAAAAAACTTGACAATCGAATGAAAAATATCATAACGCAGGAAAGAAAGCATTAATCACTCTTGTTTAACAGAAATTGAAAAAACAGGTCATTCGCAAGCATTAAAATAATATATCGCTGGGGTGTCGATTTCATTGTTAAGCTCTGTGCAGAAAGAACGAGTATATTTGAAAGCATTGGTTCTAGAGTTGAATTCTCTAATTTTGCAAGCACGATCTGACCTTTGATCTGCTTGTGCCGCGTAGGCGTCAAAAAAGTGCCACTTTGGTTGCTTCTGACCTATGCGGGGTGCAAGTTTGTCTGCTTTTTGAGCAGGGGTTGCAGCGATGTCAGAACGTCGAGCTCTGGTTGGTTCCGACTGGAAGGGTAGTGGGTAGACCTCAAGGTGACTATCATTGAGGTCTACCCACTATCAGAGCCAGTTGGACTTTGGTGTTAGTGACATCAGTGCAACCTCTGCACAAAAAGCAGACAAACTTGTGCTCTGTTTAGCGTGACATGCTTCTGCCACTTTCACTTCATGAGTGGACCTGACGTGTCCCAAAGCCCACAAGATTAGGTCTTGTGTTGCTCTATGTGTAGCATAACATGCGAATTTGGGAGCAGGCACGGTCACGTGTCAGGCCAAAGTTGGAAGGACGTGTTGTACATTTTGTGCCTGTTCTAGGCATCATTCAGTAAACGTCAGAAGTTCTATTTCACTTTAAACTCGTCTTTTCGGGCACTTCCACTCATAGAATTTTAAGGACAAATCGACGTTGTACTTTGAGATGCCACCTCGGTATGTCGCGCTACGTTTGGCCAATAACTCTTGAGGCTATTTCATTGTCTATGAAAATAATCTGTAGAAGTACCGGGTTGCACGATTGTTGCACCTCTTAAAGGCTGGTTCGGGCATTTGAGCTTGATTGAATGCATTACGCCGGCCTTTAATCACTTCCCTGGGACACATCCGGCCTTCATACAACTAGACTGGAGGTTTTTGCTACTATTTGCTAGATCATATATTACCTATGAAAAATGGTCTCGCGTAACGTCGTCAGTGTTACTTGAGCACACGGCAAAGGAATGAGGAGTAAAATATACAAAGCTAGTTGCACCCAAACGTGAGTGCGCAAACTTAAACCTGCCTCATCTCATTCTCCTTGCAAAGTGACTTCACCATCAAGGTCGTCGACGTCGAAAGCGGCAGCAGCAAGCTCCTCGAGGGTCACGAGGCGCCTGTGCTGTACTGCTCCTTGGATCCGAAGGAGGAGTTTCTGGTGAGTTTTACGTCGCCTTTCGTCTGCCTCTTTGTTGTTAACACTGTTTTTCGCTTACGGATACATTCCGAGCAGCAATTTGTCCGCTGCCTCCCTTACAATTTCAGTAGCAGGTGAGGGGTGACGGAGAAACGAGGGCGCTTTAACGACTCCATGCCAAACAGATGCAGCAGATAGCTCAGAAAACCAAGTGCTCCTTTGTCACCAGCGTGTTGGCAAACACTATAGTTCGTTGGAGGTTGAGAATAACAGAAGAGGCCCCCCCCACAAAGCTTTCTGCTTGCTAATATTGGTAATTTCCTCCTCTCCACTCACCTCCACTTCAGCCTTGGCTGTGATAAAAGGAGGAGCTTGTCCTGCTATTCTTAACCTGCAACAGACCATAGTAACTTCTTCCACTGGGCAAACATTCACCCAACATTGCTCGCAGGCGGTGCAAACACACCCTGTTAGTAGCCTTTATCATACTGGAATGCCACAATCGGGCCGCAAAGGAACACGTTTCTGAAGAAGTTGGGCGGCCAACAAGCGCTCCTTCCTACGCCAAAAAGCTGGTCTTGCTGCGTTGGTGAGCAGTGTTGCACTAAGCCATCATGAGAACGGACGCATGAAGACCATGAAGGCAGAAGCAGGCATCTTTGAGCTTGTACACGTCTGTCGTCATCGTCCTAACGAGTTTTATGCTTTTGTTTTATGAGGGCATATACCTTCTAATCCTTGGCAAAGGCAGCAATCCTTGACCTGTTTTCATTTTCTTCTAAATAAAGAAATGAAAGGGGCATTTTTAGAGTCTGTGCTTTATCGCATTCGCTTCACAGGCGTCCTCGAGTTGCGACGGCACCATTCGCGTCTGGAAGCTGGACGACGGGACATGCGTCAAGACGTGGAGTGTACTTCCTAAAAGCAATGACTTCTGGTGCGTCCACTTTTGTTGTTTCTTTCTGTTCTCCCCTTCCTGGGCAGCTTTTGTTGGTAACAAAGCTTGTAGTGTTAGACATACACAAGGTTCAAGTTTGAATTCAAGCACAGTTTTTTTTTCTTATACCGCCTCTGGGTGGAAGCCACTTCTGGAAGTTACTTCGTTTCGGTCAGTCTTTTGGGGTACCATTTTTTTTTCAATAATTTTGCTTTTGTCCCCCCTTTTTTTTTTAGAAATAATGGGGGATCAGTGGCTGTTAATGCATTGCTTACGACTCAATGCAAGTGCCGACGATTGGCGTTGCTGCCGCACAGCCGTTCGTAAGCAGTCGCAAGAGGCTTAAGGACCGGTTGTGGTGCAGTCGGTCATAGTCAAATGTAAGTGTGTAAATCTGCCTTTCGATGCTTTCCTAATAACTTTAGACATGCAGCAAGATGCTCGCTGTTCGATATATGCCTTTTTTTATTGACCACAAAACCTCTCATGCTAAAATATCAGTTATTAAGGCGAAAGCCTTATATGTCTTGCCAATCAGTCAACCTTCAAAGTCCTTGAGCGAAAACACGTTGGCGACACGAAAGATACCAAAACGTTTGTGACCATTGTAACGTCCGTTCAGTCGTATGCTCAAGGACGACGCCATCTTTGACGTCGTCCTTGAGGTCGTCCTCCAGGTGTTGTTCTTGAGGTCGTTCTAGACGTCGTCATATAGGCATCATTCTCGACGTCATCTTGTAGGTGTCGTTCTCGGCGCCATCCTTAAGGTCGTCCTTGAGGTCATCATAGATGTCGCCCGAGAGGTCATCGTCGGCGGCGTCCTAGATGCCGTCCTAGAGGTTGTCCTGATGCCATACTTGGCGTCGATCTCTAGGATGTTGTCCTGGACGTCGTTCTAATCTTTAATACATGTAGAAACATTACACCAAGGCATTTCACCCACTGAACTATAAGGCTTTTGCCTTCCTACAAGTAAGCAGTCTTAAGTGTCTTCCTGTATTTTTCAACTCTATTGATGGAATCAAGGGGTATATAGAATTTAGCATCATAGTTGGATTAGCTATAAATACACTTTTAAGAAAGGTGTCAGCTTGCAATATTAAGTTGCTGGTTCTTGCGGCTTGTTTTTTACTTTATACATGAAGCTATCTTTCGGGCATGTTGCATGTGTGTCGCATTCTCTTTGGAACCTGGGAGTTTTTTGCTTGCAGCATGTCGAAGACGCTGGGCCGCCTATCCTGGTCAATGAAAGATGGCAGTGTAAGTTTGTTCATTCCTTATCTGGGCGTGACGACCGAAATTGTTATGTATAGAACCTCAGCTGTATCATCAATTTGCATTTTTCTTAGTAGTTACCTTTTGTTTCACACCAGAGCGCACTCTCTCTTTTAGTTTTCCCAGTCTCGCAGCATTGTAGTGTTCGTCCTGCAGTTTGGTCTGTCCTTGCTGGCATTTTTGCTGAGGGTCACAAACTCTGAAAATGGCTGATATTTTATGTCACAGCTCACAAGTGACCAGAGCACTGTGCTAGTTGCTTTTCTGATCAATTGCTGTCTGCACAAGATACTTTAGTATATGCTAGTAGTACATTCAGTCACAAAAAGGCATTTAATTATCTTTATATTGCTAGAAAGAAGGCAACAATGCTTCAAAGTTGTGACTTGGAATTGATAAGAAGCCAGTGATTGATTCGTCCTACCAGCAACCATGACCCATCATATTCCATAACCACGATGCACTTTCCACTAAATCAACCCAGAACCTCTGCATCAGTTAAGAACTTTTTAATTGCTGGTTTCTGTGATACTTAAAAAAAAAATTTTCTCTTCCTGCTTTAATTCTCCTCTCCTATTTAACATTTTGCACCCTCTCCAGACTTGTTCTGTCCTCGAATCAAATATTTTTTGTATTAGTTGAGTTTTTTTACTTCTTCAAATTGACTCTTTTTGTAAACATGCCTTTATGAACACTGACACTTTACTTATAATGAGCATCTCTACACACTTGTTTTTTTGCCCGCAGTACCTCGCAATTCCCATCGAGAAGGAAGTCCGTCTGATCTCGAGAGGCTCCTGGGATGTGCAGCGGACGCTCACTGACCCTTCCGTCGAAGAGGTACTGCTCAATTTGTGTCGACCTCTGTAGTGCTACTGCCCAGTCAAAGAAACGCCCGTTGTGCCTTTGGCGGCGCAAGCAGGTCTGCATAGTTAATTTCAGTCACGTTTACGAAATTCTTAACAAACATGGCAAAAGCTTTATTATCTGTCCTCCAAAACTGACTTAAAGGCCTGTTCACACACTTGCCGAGTACGACCGAATAAGACAAGACTAGTTTTCAAGACACTTACGGCCGGATGCTCTGCTGAAGAGCTTGTCTTAAGTCGTCACAAGAGCCTTAAAAGCCAGCCTTGTCCCAGTCGGTTGTAGTCAAGCAGAAGTGTGTGAGCAATCCTTAAAGGCCCGATCATACACTTGCAGCCAAGTATGACCAAATGAAACAAGACCGGTATTAAGCCTCTTGTGACGGCTTACAACCTGCTCTGCAGCAGCGGATCCAGTTGTAAGAGGCTTAAAACCAATCTTGTCTCATTCGGCCGCACTCGGTTGCAAGTGTGTGAACGGGCTTTTAAGGACCGTTTAAAAAATTCTGTTGGTGTCATACCGTGAAACAAGAAATTAAAAAAAGGCATATAAGTTGCATCGTTGTATAAAACGTGCCAAGTAAAATGTTTAAAAAAAAAAACTTATACACCGGAAAATATGTTACATGAAAACACTGTTCGAATTAAGCGGGACAACCAAAACTTTGGAATTTGTTTGAATTAACCAGAAGTATGAAATATCCGAGTTTGAATTATCTCGAGCCTACTGTACTTGAAATAGTTCTGACAGTCTTATAAGTGACGACGTCTTATAGATAGCACATGGATTTTATCTGACAAATATTGCAAAAACCTTCAGCCTAGTCACTGGCAGATCTGAAGAGTTACAAGGCTACTCAGAAGATGGCGCCAGCAGGTTGTCTCGTCGTAAGCGCCTGCAAGTCATTGCAGTGCATTCGGTCTCACCCAGATGCAAGTTTGTGGACCAGCCTTACCCTTACAAAAATGATCAATGAGTTTCAGTTGAGTTTCTAGTGTATTTTTATAAAATACATTAGAAACTTGATTGAAACTCATTGATCGTTTTTGTAAGGGTAACGCCATCCGACGTCCTTCTCGCTTTCAGATTTTCTCGATCGCGACGTTCAGTGCGTGCGGAACCTTCCTTGCTTCGAGTTCCGTGAAGGGAGAGGTCTTGGTTTGGAATCTCGATACCTCCAAGCTTGTTGAGAGGTTTGATATTTTTTGTTGACTCTGGATTTTGTTTTTGTTTTCCTGGCTCTGTGTTTCATGCTCCATTTTTGACGTCGCCCCCATTTGCCCTTTCTTTTAGGTTCGTCCACGAGAAAGGCTACAACATTTGCAGCATGATCTGGAACCCAAAGCGAAGAGAGCTGGCTTACTGTGACAGCCAGGTATGTGCTTAATTGCTCCTTAGCTGGTGATTTCTAGAGGGTTGAATTACAAGTGTGAGTACTTGCGCTAGCAAAAGTTGTGTCAAGCAAACGTCCTCGTGCTCAAAAGCGATCGAAAGCAACTATTTGCCGTAAACTCTAGGACTCATCTTTACATCTGTATGTTGACACTTCTGAAAATACATTCAGTGACGTCAGTGTCTCATGTAAACAAAATATTGATTCATTGATTTTATTGATTTTATTTTTGTACACAGCAAAGAGGAAACCATTGTTTCTGTCAACTGCTGCCAACTCGTTTTGTGAACAGATGGTGTGCACCATTTTGATGGCTTGCACTTCAAGAAGCAGATATTCAGCCTTAATTTTGTTTTTCCAGTTACCTAAACAGTGCTTACTCATATACCTACTTATCATTTGGCAGAGTACTTACCAGCACCCTGTCAAATGTTAAGATGTCACATTCCCCTTTCCTTTTGAAGAAATTGTTCGGTAATTGAGTAGTTCTACCGCACGGTTGGCTCTTGAAGTCACTTCTCCGTGTTGTCCACTTGAGGGCAGCACGCAGTGATTTCTTACTTTGGTAAACATTTGTAGCGGGTGCCAGTCTGTTTTGTATGGTTTTGTGAAGTGGTAGCTTCTCTCATTTGATTATGTAAACTTTAACTTCATGCCGATTTAACTTTGGTTTCTCTTTTTACCCCAACCAGGGCCAACTTGGCGTCATAGAAAGTATTGGAATTGTGCAGCCTCCCAAAATAACGGTAAGACTTGTTCCTGCAATTCGAATGATGCCTAGAACTTTTACTAAAAAACAAATCTGGTGTGTTCGCAAATTAAAAAGTTGGAGCCAGTAAATTATTACTTAGTCTCTTTCGATTATTTGAAACGTTGGAGCATTAGTGTATGAATTTGAGTATCAGTGTATTCAAATAAAACTTGAGATTGTATAGTATAGGACGATGGTTCTCAAATGGGCAAATGGGGGTCCGTCCGTGGACCCTTTGGGGTCCGTGAAGGCATTCAGGGGTCCACGAAGCCCTGCCTTATCAGTCAAGTCCAGCAATATATGTTGTATTTTTTTCAGATAGAGAAGAAACATTCCAAGTTTTGGGTCAGTTTTCTCATGTGTATGTCAATGAGAGAAGTCTACTTCAGAGTAACCCTTAGTTATATCAATTTATTAAATCATTATCATAATCAACCTATACCTTTCCCTTCCCCTCACCACAAATGGTGTCCTCCATTATTTTCGCCGATCCACAAGGGATCTGTGAAACATCAATAGCTGAGAACCACTGGTATAGTGCAAGCTTTGAGTATTTTTCTGTTTCCAAACTATGCTATCTAGGACAAACTGTTGTCACTCCGTTGATTGCACTTCTCCCATGGTACAGGTTCACTGTGGAGAAGCAAAACTTAAAGTCGCAGTGTTGGAATTACATTTGTTTACTAAAAGGTAAAAGCTGTGTCACAATCATTCACCTTTAGTAAGGTAAGTAACTTCATAAACAGTCGCCAGCCGATTTTTCAGACCTCCCAGGGACCAAAAAAACGTATGAATAATGGAGCAGTCTGAAAAATCAGTAGATTAAAAAAACTTGCCTTTACCACATCTAAGCGGGCTTAAAAAAAGCCATCAATAGTGCCTTGCTTCAGGTTACACATCCCCTTTCATTTGGCAGCTTTAATTAGTTTGAGAGTCACTGCTTTCTTTTTCTAGCGGTATGGTCGAGTACTTTCCACGCTTCTTAGTGGCACTTCGCGACAGCGGAAGAACAGATGGGGCCATAACGTCCAAGCCAGCCTAGTTCGAAAACTTGATTCACTGAGACGACATGAGAGGCGGAAGTTCATGACTGCAGAATGCCGAACGAACAAAGCAAAATGGTAACAACAATGATAATGATGCGCAACTAACAAAAAAAAAAATAAGCGGTAGCATTGCGTCGCCTAGCAGTTGGACTTAGTACTCAAGTAGCGCCGCCAAACCAAGCCAACCCACCGATCCATGTGCAGAGTAGTGCAGACTAGTCACTGAATGTTCCCAGAGTACCGAAACTCCCAAGCTTTGTTTCAGAACCGAGTCGCAGCGCAGCAGTCGCAATCCCCAGTATGGCGCTTCCCTGTGCGGCCAAAGTGAAGTGGGTACAGTGTAGCATTCATTCTCATGCGAGCTCTTCAATCCAAATTCCTGGCCCTTGGTAACACTGGTTTGTTTTAGAGCGCAGCTCTTAGGCGCCCGTTTCCAGCTCGAGCGGCGTTGCTGTACCCCCTGAAGTCACATGACCCCGTGAGGTCACGAGAGTCACGTGACCTCATGGTTACGGCGACGCTGCTTGGAGGGAGGAGCAGCAGGCAGGATTAGGAGGAGGGAGGAGGGGTGTACCCTCCCCTCAGTACCCTCCCCGCTCCTCCTCAAGAGCTGCACTCTAATTTGACGTTACAGGGAGTTGTAAACGGCTTACATTTTTTATTACACTTCTTTCCTTCATTCTGAGCGGTGCGTGACCTGCTCCTCGCTGTCTTGTCTTTCTCTTGCCTTGAGGCACATCGAAGTCGAGCATTAGGCCTAGCGTCTGAGACGTAGAGTTTTTTGAGCACTAGCACAACCAGAGCGAGCAAACGAGCCGGCAATCTTTTTTGACAAACCAGATTAGCGGCTTCTTGATAAAAAAGCTTTCAGCCTTTCCACTCCGGTGATGAAGGAAGAGCAGCGGAGCTGTACTATGTGCCGCCATCTATGAGCAACAGCAAAAACCAGACAACCGGCAAGCCGGTTGTCTGGTAGCCGCCGTCGCTCATGGATGGCGGTAGCTGTCTGGAGGGTTGTGTCAAGATTTATTTGTCCACAGACACGAAGCTGGGGAAACTAGCCCTTAACAGCTGAACTAGGAAAAAACTACACATCTTCCATTCGGTCCTAACTTGTCAATGCACAGAACCCTCCCCCCCCCCCCCCCCCCCCCCCCCCCCCCATGCATACCCGCCGTAGCCGTGGTACCCACAAAAACGTTTTAAGTGTGTTTTCTTTTTTTCTTGTTTTGGGCCAATGCACCAAATGGCCGACTGGTGACTTCCACTACTGGCTAGACCAGGGTGAAAGATAGACAGGTGGGGAAACGGCCCATAGAAGCCTACCGCAGCGCCGTGACCGGATTGTGTACTTGTCTGCTTGCGGGTACCCCGATTTGCTTTCTTGGCGCTGCGGCGAGAGGAAAAAAAGTCGGAATCGGATTTGCGTGGAACTCTGTGGGAGAGTGCGCAAAATAAACCGAGAGCATGACAGTCCTCCATTGAAAATTTACGAGAAACCATTGCCGTCAGTTTAGCCGGTCGCCACCGGTCGCCCACCCGGAGTGAGAGTTCGCGGTGCTCCACATAGATGGCATCACGGAAGAAGAGAACCGAGGGGGACACAATCCGGTCCCACATTTGGCTCTCGTTTCCCCACCTGTCTGTCTTACACCCTGGGCTAGACCATCCAATCAGAACTGGATTCTACGGGGAGTGACTTCTCCCCGTAGAAGGGAGAAGTCACTCCTTGTAGAAGTCACTCCCCGTAGACGGGGAGTGGCCTAAAGCTTTGGCGACGCTCGACTTTTTTTCTCCGTTCTCAATCCACTGGATAGCTTCCAGTTTTGCAGCAAATGTCAGGGACGTCCGTTTTTTAGTGTTTGGAGCCATCACTCACGCAAGGCAACACGACACACGAAAAAACTACGATCACAGGCGTAGCACTACCGATAATACCGAGGAGGAGGAGTCGGTGCGGCAAATGCAGTGCGTCGACGTTGCGACGAACTATCCAGGTAGCAGCGTGCACGCGCTGCTACGTTCAAATGGCGCCCTCGGCGTGTGTGTAGGCAGTTGGAAGCGCCCATTGCGCCATTGCTATCTTCGAGGGTGTTGCGGGAAAGCTCGCCGCCTGTCAAAAGAGCGCGGGCTGTTGGGGGTGGCGGAGTTCGATATATCCATATTATGCCCGACCCCGTTCGAAATAAAAAATAAAAAATGCATTCGATTTTCCGCGTGATATAGAAAGCGTTCGATATAGGCAATAATTCTATATATCCGTGTTCGATATATCGAAGTTTGACTGTATTTCTATCGAGTAAGTCACAGTTCTTCTTTTAGGTTGAAATATCGACCAGTTCAAATTATCTGTGTCCGAAAAATCAATCAGCGACTGTAAACCTAAACATAGGGCCATCTAGACTTGCATCAAGCTCTGAGTGATAGCAATAGTAGTAATATTTATTTGAGAGTTAAAGTCAAAATGCCACAGAAAGGCAGGTGGGCCCGTACCATTGTCGGAAAATATGAAGCGTGTCAGTTTGTTTTAGTTTTAATTTATTCCAAACATTTTTAATGAATTGAGGCCTTTCTCTTGTTTTTAGGTGGCGGAGAAAACAGCGGAGGAGTTTCTCGACAACATGGCCGACGAGGATGACGACAACTTTCCGGAGGATGTGGGGGACATCGACGACGAATTAGTCTCGAGGCCGGAAGCGGTGCGTCGAAAGACAAACGTCCTTGACAGCGACGACGAAGACGCTATCGGTACCGTGCCTTGACATTGTTTTGCTAAGGCACCTACTAAGTCGCACTGCAACACAATCCTGGAACAAGCCCTAACAGCATGTGTGATCCCATGGGCATTCTGAGGACTTTATAATGTCTCATACATGTCCTAGGAACTTTTGTTGGATCATCTGTGTCCCCTGTAAGAGGCCGGCTCAATGGGTTTCTTATGTATCTTATATTTTTTTTAAATTTCCCTTAGTATGCTTTATACGATGGTGTGTTTGTAAGTATGAACCTTAACTGTGCGTGACATAGGCCATATCGACATTTCCAACTAATTAAGAAATGGAGGATGCCGTTGGCCTGCTGTTCTGGCGGTCTGAAGACGGCTCGAAGCGTGGCTGCATAGGTCCGCGGCATCGTCGTAAGCTTTGTCGACATAGAAGCATACGCACTTGGGCTAGTTAGTGAAATTTGCAACGATACCTCACTGACATCACTGCAAAATGGCGACAAGAAACGAAAGAAGGTGGTGACGGGCGAAGCGACGAAAGGGCAAATATAATAAAGTCAGCACTGCTGCGAGCCGCCGTTAACCACCGCGAGCAACGTCAATGCTGCGAGCCGCCAAAAGCAACAGGAAGTGAAACCTTCGTATTTGATTTTGTTGCGTGTGTGCGAGGGGGAGAGGAATGGAGGAGAGGGGGCAAGGTTTGGAGCACATCGTATCCCCCTTCCCCCCTTGCGTTGCGAGAGGCATGCGTGAGCGGCGCCGGTCATGGCAGCCGCGGATGGGTGCGAAATCCAACGCCCTAGGGATGCCCGTGAATGGCGGCTCGCTGGCTGCTGATGTTTCGGTCACCAAAAGCTTTCCAAAAGAAAAAGCGGCGCTTTGGCGACGCCGAGTCGGTAACTCGTTAGCTCCATGCGCTTGTTGGGGTCATGAAATTTGGTCACGAATGAAGGTTGAAATTCTCTAGTCATGATTGTAAGTCGACCCTTAATTTTGACAATATTTACGGAAAGAAAAAGGTAGACATATTCAAATTAATACGGCACTCTATATCAGGGGTTCATGCACACTTTATTAGGATGGAAACTTGCCACCTCAAAATTGTTCGTCTCGGCGTTGTTGGGGATCCTGTTTCTTTGTCTTTTTTCTCGCTAGCTTTAGCATTTGCACGTGCTAAGCCTTCCTCGAAGTGCAGTGACCTTCCCCTGCTCGTTCCTAACTCAGCTACTTTTATATGTATGGTCATTTTAAGCATAGTGTCCGGAACGCGTCTCCGACTAGTTGCTGTCTGTCGTCGCAACGGTGATGAAAAACCCTTCTCTCCCCTCGGGGTGCAAGGAGAGAGAAGTCGGGTGTTTCCATTGGCTGGGCACCCTGCGAAGAGGGAAGATTGTGTGTCCCCCCTCTGCTCGTTGCTGTACGTTGACATTACACTCTCCCTTCGCCGCTCAACAACGCCAGGGAAAAGTGCGCCTTCGCTCGCGCCACCACTGCCGCAGACTCTTCCTAACGGCGGCACCACACTAAGGCCCTACTTCGTGCCACGAGCACCACGAGCGAGTGCGTAGAGAACAACTGGCTGCTGTGACCCTTGCAAATGCCTTCGACGTTACCAAACCGAAACATATTGCATGCCAATTTCACGCCATGGGCCGCGACAACGTCCCACTCGTCGTAACCCGCAGCTTTGACGTCCACCTTGATGGCCACAAGGAGTGGTTCCGCAGCTTCGTCGCGGCAAAATCTGGCCTCCGTGCGGTGTCCGACATCTGTGCATTGATGACTGGCGTCGGCACCGCCATCGACCGTCGGCACCGCTGTCGACCTCGTGCTTACGAAGAACATCGACGCGCACATCCCGTGTCTTGCCCTGTCCACATTCTTTACCAATCGCCGAGTGCTCATGGCAGTTGTCGGTGGCATCCACGACAACAATGTGTGTTAATAACCACTTCGTACCTCCGTTCTCGGGTACATGCCGACACCGTTTTTCCCGCACTGCGCGAACGTGCTACTGCTACCGCTTTTACTTTTTTTTCGCATTGCGGGCGATAAAGGGTGCCTCTTTTTTGAGGCTCAGTAAACACACACCAGTCGAAGACACATTTCGGGCACCATCATTTTTGCTTGGACGGCGCTGTCGTACGCGACGCTTGCTCCACTAAGGTACATAAAAGGCTTTTTCTTCCCACTTTGCCGGAATCGCTCAGATTTGGGGGCCATCAAGGCGACATACGAACCCCGCATCTTTGGCGAAAATTCCAACGAGAGCGGCTCTCGGCGGGCAGACGTCACTTCCACGCCCGCAACCACCATCATCCGGGAGGTGTACAAGGGCCCAGAGCCACCGCTGGTGCAGGCGCCATTCCAACCGGGCTCCACGCCGACTCACCTTCAGCATCGTTTCATGGTGAGCGCTTTGAACTAGCCATACGGCTCAAAGGGATGGCGGAAATTTTTCGTTCCGTCTAGAGTACGGAATAAATCGATTTTTGTTCACACTTGCATTTATAAAACTCAGATTTTTATCGCGACGAAATTATTGCGTGCCGGAATCAGAGTCCTCCGATATTTTTCTCCGCACTCTTTTGTTTCTCGATCTAGTTTAACAATAGTCGGCATATATCAGGTGACAACCCTTTCAACATAGTTTTACAAATGCCCCCTACCGAAATCGCGATCATTGTCAAGAAGCTACAGTTGAAGTATGGTGGCTAGAATACTTCCCCCATTTAGCATCCTATCGTTGACAGCGGTCCTGAAGTAGCAACAAATGGTGCAGCGCTAGCCAGGGTGTCATGCTATCGAGTGTCGGGATCCTAGCGGCTGGTCGTGGAAGTCCCGGCAAAAAGCACGAGTGAATGGGAGTTTCTCTGTCGTCGTGGTTTAGAAAATGGACCGAGGTTGTCCGTTTTACCTTGCCTTCGATTTAGGGCCACTTTTCCTACGAACAAACGGGTTACGACTTCGAAAGTCCCGCCGCATTTTTGAAAAACAAATGCCAGTCGACGCGAGTGGTGTGCCGACCGCACCGCAAGCTAGGATCGCTTCTTCCCCTCAAACGTCGTCGGAAATTTCGTCTTCTGCGGTGTCCCAATTGTTTGGGTAAAGTTGGGAGTAGAACGCTGCGAATCCTGAACACTGACGTTGGCGTTCCCGAGAAAAGGTACTTGAAAGAGAGCGACAGAAGAGCAGAAAAAAAAAAGCAGATGAAAGATTAGGCGTGTTCGTTTTGCCGCGACGAGTTGGAAGTTGCTCAAGTGCTTTGTCAACTTTACTTATTTTTATACAGTGCACTTTTCTGGTGCTTTCCTGCAAAGTAAGCTAGAAAAGAACAAAATACAGACCTTACAGGTGATGTTTTGCTGCTGCTTTGTGCATATTAAGTGTCCTTTGCGATATGGGCCTGTCGGGACCACCGAGTGGGCCCGCCTATGCCTGTCTCTATGCCCCGCCATTCTGAAGCAGCCCGAACGCACGGGATTTTTCCCTGTAGATTATTACAACTGATCAGCGATCGTGGTCAAGCTTTTTTTTCTGCGGGTTCTCGGAGCAGCCATACTGCTACATTCGCTACGTGGGCCCTTACAGAATCGTCTCCCGATTCTCCCGGCGTCGCATACAAAATCGACCTTTGCAGCCCGTGTTTGACCGGCGTCGAACGTCAACAGACATCATACCCGTTACTCGCACAAAGTCATATTACCCACCCGTTGCACCGTAGCACCCTCAATCATTCTTCTCTAGCTGCCAAAACCTTCGCTCGAGACGACCCTGCAGTTTTTACCGGGCTAATGCCACGAGGAAGAAAAAGACGGGCTGTCACAGACGTCGCGGCAGCATTGGCGGTCATGAGCCTGTGGCGGCCAGTTCGTATAAAACCCCACCATTGAGCGGACGTCTTGTCTGCTCAATGACGGGACATTGAGCAGAAATCCCGCTTAACTACATTAACTCTGTGGTCCCAGGTATGGAATTCTGTGGGCGTGGTGCGTGCCCACAACACGGAAGAGGAGAGCAGCATCGAGGTGGAGTTCCACGACAGCGCGGTGCACCACCCGATGCACCAGGGCAACTCGCTCGGTCACACGATGGCCGCCCTCTCGGACGAGGCGCTCCTGCTCGCCTGTCCCCGGGACGTCGACGGAAGCTCTTCCAGGTGCGAGCTCCACTCCTCTCCCTCCTTTTCAACGAGCAGAAAAAACCCACACTGCATTTCGTCACTTCTATAAGGTTTTTTTTTTTTTTTTTTTTATTTACTTTTTGCAGGAAAGCTGTGAAAGCTATGCAAGTAATGTGATCTGAGCAAACGAGTTATGCGGCCAGGGGAGCATAGTGTAGGGGGCAAACCGTCACGATTAGTCAAATAATTAACTAAAGTTTGTTAATTAACTTTGAGTTACACATCAACATATGGTTTCCGTGTGAGGGACACTGACAGGGTATTTGTGCTCGCCAAGGTTTTTACTTGTATGTGACATATGAGAGTCTGACTACCCAGAACACACTGCGGCCCGAAATTCATTATCTCTCTGCACGAGGATTGCCAATCGAGAACTGGCCGGTTTGAGTCGCTCTCACTCTCTTCTCCGTGGTCATGTGCCGTTTTCTATAGTTTAGGCACAACCACCAAATATAATCAATGTCGTGGGTCATCAAAGGCACACACCCATTAAAAATATTTAAAAAAAATATGGTACCACATTTTTTGTGGTTTCTAAAAAACTGCTAATACGTTGATTGAAAAAAAAGAAAGTTGCACAGCCATGTGATTTTCGGCAACACTCTCCTCTTCTATATTTCTTGTTCCTTCCCAGTTCAGTTTTGATTTTGGTTTCGAGCAGTGGCGTTTTCTTACTTTATTAAATATATATGTGACGCTGTTGCAAAATACGGATTGAGTAGTGTTCTGACACTGTAATAAATCGCATGGCAAAAAAAAAAAAAATAATTTGGGGGTGTCAGTGTCCCTTCAAGAACTTGCTTAGCATTGTCGAAAAACCCTGAATTAGTCAATTCTAAAAAGTTCTGGGAGTGCACGGGAAGTGCAGCGATGGCACTAAAGTTTATCGCTCGTGCAATGGGTGCAACGCTGCTGGTGCAAAAAACGCGGATGATAGGAAACGGAAAAAATGTGCAGGCACGTTTTCGCGCCACAAGCGTCGCACCTGTTGCACGAGGGGTGGTTGCTAAACTGCGCTTCTCACATTTCCCAAATCAATCTAAAATTTACCGATATTTGGTGGTTTTCAATGGCGCTTGGTAAGTTTATGATTGAAACCATATTTTTACATTTTCAATAACTAAAAAGTTCACTAACAAATCTTAGTTAATTTACCCACTTATTGTGATGATTAGCTCCCTATATTAGGTATGTCCCCCTTGCCATGTAACTCGCGCGCACAAAACGCATTAGTGTAGCCTTCACGGCTTTTTTTACAATGAATCTGTAAATTCTTGTCACTGATGGGATATAAAACGGCGAGCGATTAGCGTCGCGACGACCATCTCTCAGCCCTGTGCCAGCTTTGCAACTCGCATGTCCACTCCGCACATGACGTCAGTGGTGCAGTGCAAGCACAAAGGAACGAGATTGACGTCACAAGTGCTCTTTTGCCCACCTGGGTTAGGTTTTAGGCCATGTACAAGGGTGAAAACTCTCACGCGTAGCACCTGCCCACTACAAACTTTTTAATCAAGGTTTAATGTCGTGGCTAGATTTTTCTGAGGTCGGGCAGAGATTCTCCAACTACATCATGCGCCCCAAAATAAAAATTTTAGAAGTTATTTAGTAAAATCTTTTAGTTCAATAGCTAACTCATAGCTATGTGATGCTGTAGCAAAATATTAATTGGGTAGTCTTCCAACTTCAAAATAAAATGCCTGGAAAAAAAAAAAGAATTTGGGGGGGTGTTGGTGCTTTTAAAGCGCATAAACCCTGACAGCTTCACAACAATTTTTTCTTGCAAAATGAGATTCATATAAATAAAAAAATGGACATCTGTGTCTTTGATCAAAGGGAAAACATATTTTTAATGTTTTGTCTGAAAAACTGAACTTGTTTTTTGGTGGCTCTGCAATGCACGCTCTCGACAAAGGCGGCTTTAAACCACTCCCATTCAGTGGAATGGACCCTTTGTCAAACTGGAATCAATTAAACAACTCAAGAGAGGTAAAAGGCAAAACCTTTTCAAGCTATGTTTCTGACCTTCCCAGTAAGTTTCCCAGTGCTGTGTATTTTGAAGAAAAAAAAAGAAAAATCCCCCTCATGGAGGCGGAGCAAAAGGGCATAAATGAACCAGTTCTTCTTTCATGTCCTTGTCCTGTCCCAACGTCTGCAGGCTTTTAGTAATTTTGCACTGCCTGCGCGTCAACTCTTATTTCCTTTTTCTGTTTTCTTCCTCCGGCCTTCTCTCCCTGAAGCAAGCTGGTGTGTGTCCACTTTGGAACCTGGGACTCAAACAAGGAGTGGTCATTTGAGATGCCTGAAGGCGAAAACATTGAGGTACGGCCCTTCAGTACTAGCTGCCTGGAAGTCGCAGCTTGGTTTGCGGGCAGTTGAAACCCTTAAAATTTGTATTGTGCAGCTGATTCTTGCCAAGTACCAGGGAGCGCCTGAACGAATCGAAACCGATCACGCTTATCGACGTGCACGGTAGAATGCCTTAATGGCCTCCCAAGCCCGGCGGCATTAGCCGCTACACATGCAAACTTTCGCGTGTGTCACTTAGCAACAGGGCTCAAGATGCCTTGCACCGCGATTACCATTGAAAACATTGAGATAAATATGCCACTTACCGTATTTACTCGCAGAATGAACGCACTTTTTTTCCGAAAAATCAATGCAAAGTTGGGGGGCGGCGTTCGTTACGCGAAGTAAAATTTTTGCGTCCGTATTTACTCGCATAATGAACGGACCTTTTATCCAGAACAATCGAAGTAACTTCTTATCTCTTTGCGCGCGGCGCCCGACCTTATAACCTAACTAAGCTATGCAAAAAAAACAAAAAAAAACTCTTTGTTTTCTTTTTCTTTTAATTCCTTGGGTGTTTTTTTTTTTTCTTTTGCCGCCTTTCGTAAGCTGTTTTGTTTGCTTAGGCGAGAGCCCTCCGCTTATCTTTCTTATCTCCTTGCGCGCGGCCCTCCGTAATCAAACTGCGCTGTGCAAAGAAAAATGAAGAAAAAAAGCTCCTCTTTTTCTTGTTTTTTCTCAGTTCCGTTGTTGTTGTTTTTTTTTGTTTTTTTTTTTTTTGCTGCCTTTCGCAAGATGTTTCGTTTGCTTAGAGAGCTTCTCCGCTCCTTTTTCTTACCTCCTTGCGCGCGGCGCGCGACCCCCGGTAACCAAACTGCGCTGTGCAAAAAAAAAGCAGAAAAAAAAATGGCTCCTTTTTGTTTTTGTTTTCTCTTAATTCCGTGGGTGTTTTTTTTTTTTTTGTTTTTTTTTTTTTGCCGCCTTTCGCAAGTTGTTTTGTCCGCTTAGAGCGCTTCTCCGCTTCTCTTACCTCCTTGCGCGCGGCGGCGCGCGAACCCAAAGTCCAAACTGCGCTGTGCAAAAAAAAAAAAAAAAAAAAAAAAAAAGAAAGCTCCTCTCCATGTTTTTTTTTCTTGCATCCGTTAAATCTTTGCGAATTTCTTTAACGCCTTTTGCAAGGCGTTTTGTTCGCCCACGCTGCCCATGCATTCGCGACCTCGCTGCACCAGGATAAAAAAATGTGCGTTCATTTCGCGCGCGTGGAGGGAGGGGGTCAAAACTTTGACGTCCGAGTTGGGGGCGAAAATGACGAAAATAACGTCCGAGTTGGGGGTGCGTTTATTACGCGAGTAAAAAAAAAGTCGAAATTTTGAGAGCCGACTTGGGGGGTGCGTTAATTACGCGAGTGCGTTCATTGCGCGAGTAAATACGGTAGTCATCATAAGTTTCAATATACCTCACAAAGAGTTCTGGGTTTCAAGTTTGGCAGCTTGTAAGAAATAGCTCTGATCCGAGCTGTGAAGTATGACTGCTGGAAAGTGTTTCCCCTTACTGTATTTATAGCTACAATTTCAGTAACAGGGTACTTTCTAAATTATAAAAAAATTTCTGCAACTGAAACTTACTGAATTTGAGGAAGATGGAATTAGAATGCAGGAAAATCCAAGTCATGTGAATCATAACGAGGAATAAAGTTAATTTGCGGTTTACATCACGGGGATCAGTTTTCTAAACGCTTTAACACCGGACAAATAGACCCGTCCCGAAATTCAGCCTGGCCCTTTCGATCATTATCATCATCTTTTTGTATGGCATCTGTGCTGTAGTAATGGCAGCCTTCTAGTAGCTGATGAAGGGAGAAGCTGAGGATGCTCCCATGTGCACGATGCAAAACCCGTGTACATTTGAGACGTCTGTACAATCCTTCGCACGACAGAAGTGCTGCGTCGACGCTTATTTTGGTCTGGTCAATCTTTTGGCAAAAAGTTGACTCTAAAGCCCCTTGACGATGAAAATTTTATCAAGCGGTCCTTTCGTTCACAATATCAAAACTGAAGCAAATCGAGATATCTATGATGTGAAGAGCCCATTCTCATGTGCCGTTGACATGCAAAAGTGATGGTGCCCGTTGAAATACACAGTGTTGGGAAGTACTTTAAGTACATTGTACTTAACAGTACTACTTCAAGCAGGTTAAGAAAACGTGTACTTTACTTGAAGTACATTCAAGTATCTACTTGTACTTTAGTTAGTCTTTTTTTCTTGTACTCTCCAAGTAAAGTAGTACATCTCCCAACTTCAAAGTGCGTTCCCCAAATTTGGACTTGTTAGTTAAATTTGTATCACGAAATGATTCTTTGGCAATCTCTAACAAAAATTGTGTATCGTCATTTGAAAATGCGCTGTCATCTTTCGAGACGTCACCCGATTATTTTTCTGAGTGAAGTAATGGTGGTTACAAGACTGACACAAAAGAGTGCCTTATCAGTAGATCGTTTTAAATAGTTTATCATAGAGAAGAAAACAACTATTCTTTGACCATTTGACTTTATTCAATAGTTGCCGTCATTTCCGAAAACAACTGATGAACACCCAGCTTCTCCCAGGTCAATGTATACAAGAACACTGAATAGGGGAATGAAAGGGCATCATAAAAAATTGTGTCAAAAAGCACTTGTACTTTACTTTGAAACTACATTGTATTTATATTGTACTTTATTTCAAGTGCATTGTATTTATTGTACTTTTTTTCAAGTATAATGCACCTGGCATACTTAGGTACTACTTTACTTGAAGTACACAACCTCTAATTTCCCTTGTATTTCACTTCCAATACTTTTTATATGTACTTTACCCAACACTGGAAATACATATCTATGGCTGCCATCAGTGCGGCAAAAGTTAAAACTGTTGTTTGAGCCACCAGATGGCAGGGGATTTTGAAAAGCACCATCTATAGGGTGTCCCAAGCAGACTTTTCATCGTAAAACGATCCTGAAAGATTGGCGCTTACATGTAGATAGCTCAGACTTTCACCGAACGTGCACCGAGCGGGTCAGTTTTATTGCTCGAAATCTCAAGGCGCAGCTCTCTTTCTGTAAAAAATATTAAAGCAAATCATTCGCCAAAGTCAAGGTTAGAGGCGCTCGCAAACGACCGAGTTGGCGACGCTGTTTACTTGTGGCGCCATCTCCCGACAGGCACAGCAAGCAGACATCAGCGCGTCGTCTGCTTGCCGCGCCAATCGGGAGATGGCGCCACAAGTTAACGGCGTCGCTAACTCGGTCCTCCACGAACGCGCCGAACCTTGACTTTGGAAAGTATTTTTAGGCGATTTCTTTCGAACGCTCGGTCACCCACACACAGTCATTACCTTCTGTCGCCCTTTTTACTGTGCGTTTATGCCGGAGGGTCATGAGATGCCGAAAGTGTCGTCAAAGCTATTATTAAGCTGCCGCCGGAGGCGAGACAACTGAAACTTCCCCACCATTATCGTCCCATGTGCGACTACAACTGTGATTCGCGGGCACGTCGAACTGACGGCTACACAACCAGTGAGCCGGTATTTGGGTGTCGAACAAAACGAAAGTCTCTTGCGTTTCGTTTGCCCGGCCTGCAGGCGATAACGCTCGGATCCGGATGGGCGGCTGTCGCGTGTTCCTCGGGCCTTGTCCGCCTCTTCACGCTGGGCGGAATGCAGAGCGGGGTTTTCCGAGTTCCCGGTCCCGTCGTCTGCCTGGCCGGTGCGAGCGACAGCCTGGCCATCTTCTATCACCAAGCCGCCGGTGAGCTTGTCGGGCTTCGCACCAAAAGAGAAGTTGAAGTGAAGTTCTGCTTTCTCAAACACTGTCATTTTATTAAGGCGAGAGCCTTATATGTCTCATCGTTCAGTCGGTCTTCAAAGTCCTTAAGTGAAAACACGTCGGCGACACGAAGCGTATGAAAACACGTTGACGGCGCAAAAGGTACCAAAACAAAAAGTACCAATGAAACAGCGCCAAAAGTGTGCCGTCAAAGAGTGCGCTGTCTTCGGAGGTTCGCTATCACCGGGACCACAGCCGATGCCACAATTCGAGTGAGCCAATGAAACGACGCCAAAAGTACATCGTCAGAAAGCGCGCTGTCTTCGGAGGTTCGCTATCATGTTTACGTGACCACTCAGGCAAATTAGAGGCAATGAAGTTAAGAAGGATGCCAAGGCGAATTAAGAGGAATCAAAGTGAATGTGCCTGTCTTTAATGCATCAGCGCTTGGGTTTTCGCCTTCAAGTCATCTTAGAGATAACATAAGAGACCCCGTGATTTTTTATTGCACAGCTGCGGGAATTCCCTGGATCGGCATCATTAATCTATGGGCTGTGACCACGTTGCGCAAGTCTCGTTACGTCATACTTTTTCTGCCGAATTTGGCGGGAAATTTTCTCCACCAAATATAGTGGGAATCCGATGTTACATGACATTGTCGTGTGGCCACGTTGCACGACATTGTGGTGCGATGCAACGTCTGTTCGCTAAATTTAAACGCGGTAGAGTAGCTGTGTGCAGCAAACCGTGCTCCGCCCTGACCGTCGCCGCAGTCAGTAGCAAGACAGAGCAAGGAACTGCTGATTCTTTTATAAAAGTTTGTAATTGCATTCCGGAAGATTACTCATCCCTCACTGTTCATCTTCATTGTGAGTGGGTGTTTGCTTGGAATTTGATTGCACTCTACTTAAATATTGGTTTTCTTACGGCGGCAGCTGTTAGTGGCATCCCTCCCGGTTTTGCGACAGCGTGAGCATAAACAAAATTAAACTGTTTCCCCGCTAAATTTGGCGGGAAAATGATGTCATGTGACCTGACGTCACCGGATTCAGAGACAAATTCAGGTTCTCGCTAAGTTTACTGAAAAAACAGACGTCACGTGACCTATGCGCCAATTCAGTTTCCCCACTAAATTTAGTGGAAAAATCCGTGTCACATGACGTCAGGTCATGTGACCTACAGACCATTCGGGCGGGAAGAGCGTAGAAAAAAGATGCCCTCCCCCCTCTCACCTCGCGCATTGTCGAGTGGACAGCACAGCTGCCGCTGTCTATTTTCGCAAGTTGTTAATTTAATTAAAGAAATCTTGCAGGAGGGGTGTTTTTTTCATACAGGCTTTGATTACGTAAACGGGACAAGGGCCGTGAGAGTTTATGGTCACCGTCTGCCTCAGGTCTTCCCGGGCAGCAGTCGGTGGCTATGTCGAGGTACCGGGTGGCCAAGAAACAACGCCCCGTCCTTCCGGTACAGGTCCCGTTGGGCTACAAGCAGGAACTCTCCTGGGCGGGGTAAGAAAAAAATCGCCCTTCTACTCGCGTCAAGCGACGCGTGCAGCCTCGAACAACAGCTCCTCACCGGGTTCTAGCTAGACCCATTCATTTCCAAATCAACGTTGAACTTGATGACATCACCTTTCGATGAACTCTCACTGAGCTTTTATGCGTTGTTGGTATTCCAAGTGAAGCATCATTTTTAAAGCATGGAATGCCCTTTAAGGGGGGACACTGGCTAGAGATTTAACTTCTGAACTACTCAAGTGATAAAAATGAAATTTGTAGGGGAGATGTAACGTCAGATGTAGGTGTGCTCTGCAAACTTTCAGCTCTCTAGGACTGCTTTACATACTTGCATAAGAAGATGTGTCACTCTTGGTTAAGAAATCTATGATAAGCAAATTAAGTTATCAAGCACCATTTTGACTGCTAGAATATAAAGTGGAAGAAGTGGAACTTCGGGCTATCTAGTTTTTATAACTCTAATGTAAATGTTTCAGGAAGAGTGATTACCTCAAAATATGATTTGCATATCTGTCCTATGTCAATTTTCGAAAACAGATTTTTTTCAATAAGGATTTTAACTCAATACGAAAGAAAGTAAAAAGCCCAATTCCCCAGTAAATTTCAGTTCAGAAACATTTTGATTGGGATATCAGAATACTTTTACCTTCGAACAAAAGATTCCTTCGCAGCAAAAAGCAGAGCTGAGAAAAATGCATTCAAACTATGAACTCCTTTACTTTGTTACTGCCTCAATCTGTTGAAAATATTTTATATTAGCCCAAGTATTTGGCGTATGGCTATCAAATTTAGTGTCAGGGTGTATAATTAGCCTCTAGAACCAAAAACCTCAAAATTAAAAAAATGATTTTTTTTTTTCAATTTTAAAATCTAGGTTGATGTCAGGATCCCCTATTCCTGAAATATTCCGTTCATCCTTTCATTTCCTTGCTAAATTTGTTGGGGAATATTGCCGCGGGCATGGCATAGAGGAAATGCCACTCTATACTTTTAGAAGATTCGTAATTACCCTTACCCAAATGTTTGACGCTCAAACTTTCTAGGCCGAATGTTCGAGGTACCGTGTTTGTACGATTCTAATGCGCCCTTTGGTCTAATTTGCAGGCAGGTTTTGCTTCCAGATATTCAAAAAGTAAATTGCTATTGATTCTAGCATGCAGGTAAAATAATGAAGATTGAACGCACACCTGATAAAACAGTATGAAACGCACACCAACACAAAAATAAATACCGTGCACTAGTCGCCATGGTCAAAATCCGACGATGGTTCTTCGGTTCTTCGCGGTCCACAGAGGTAATCCTTGCTTTTGTATAAAGCGTTTAAGTGCCGCACTTTTTGTGCTTGTATGGGTGCGCAACCGTTGCCTCTTGGATGGTCGCCTTCCAAACAACACTTTGTGAGCTCGTCGGGTCGCTGCGATTGCAAGCCCACTGAGTGCTGCTTCGTTGTTATCTTTTCCTCCAAGCGTGATGGTCTTTCATCTAAATAAAGCCTTTTAGGGAAATTTCTTTTGTTTTCCGTCTTAAAATGGCAGACACGAGTCCTTAGGTGCGAGAGAATGTGCGTGATATGGCACCGAAATGGCGAACGTGAACAGACGGTCATGATGGCAATGGGGCTAGCCACCCTATGCCGAATATTGCGTTTTGCTTATGAGCTTCGGTTGTTGGTTTTGACACCCAGACTTTATATGATACATCTCCCTTAACAAGAATGCAGCTGGAATTTAACAGGCTTGACCAATCTGCTATAGACATTTTTAGTGACGTGACAACTTTTTGACATACACCGGAGTCAATCATTTCTGTATAATGTTGAATCTATGTGGCTGTCTGCATTTAATTTCCAGTGACGAACTGTGTACCACTATTTAGGCTATGTGCTGTTTGTGGACACTACAAAATAAAGATTATTATTGTAACGCGCATGTAGAACATGTTCAATCATTACCATGTTCAATCATTACCAACTCGCCCAACTAACCACTTTACTACAACATGCATGTAGTTTTGGGCACCAATTCCGGCGAAAACAAGTGTGCATTAGAATTGTGCAAACACGGTAATAAATAAGGATGCCAACGTGGCCTTACCGAGTCAGTATTGCCCTAGTTCGATGCTCAAACATTCTAAGCCGAATATTCGAGATACCGAGCGTAGTAGCTAAGGAGCCCAGCTTGTCTCGCCAACACCTCGACACTCGCTTCTGCTCTCTCGACGCTCGTTCTTTCTTTTGTTTCTGGGACAAGTTCGCCGATCAAACCGTTATTTTCATCTTGCTATGCAAACGCAAAAGGAGACAAGGGACACATAAAAACACATCAGACGTGTTTTTGTGTGTCCCTTGTTTTCTTTTGCGTTTGCATACCAAGATGTTTGACCAACACGCCCTCCTAATTCTATCTATCTTTATTTTCAGTTTTACATTTGTCGATCCTATTCCATCCGCAACAATATACGTTACATGACCCATGACGTCATGACGTGACATCACTGTGATGTCACGGCGTCAAGCCTTAGTGTTAACATATATGTACTATGTGATCTCAGGTGTCACGTCAGGTCAATCACCCCAACAAATTTCAGTGGGGAATTGGACAAACAATATGTCTTTCTTCACTCCCCAAACCAGTGTTTGATGCCTTCTAAGCGAATTTAGACGATCAGTCCTTAAATGTTAGATTTCATACATCATAAGTACGGTTCTGTGTTTTCGGTGTTGATCTTTTTTTTTCAAATTTGGGGGAATTTTTTTTACGGGTTTACTTTTAGATGCGGAGCATCTCTTGCTCGGGTCTATGTCCCGCGGCGTCGTAGTCCGCACTCACACTACGCATGCGCAACTCTCCTCCTCCCCTCTCTCCAACAGCTGCGCGTTGCACTCTCCGCTCTCTCTCTCCACCAGCTGCATGCACTTCGCGTGCGTTCGCTTCTACTCACGCCGCGCGCGCATGCGCAACTTTTCTCCTCTAGTTTCCTCTCCTTCAAGTGTGAATATAAGCAGCGGTAGCGCGCTGCGAGCGTTCAAGGGGAGGAAGTGGCCGAGTGGGCTAACGCGTCTCAGCTCGGAGCGTGGAGCGAAAGCTTGCGCTGGGAACCTCCTGGGTTCGATCCCCGCAGCCCCCGCCCGTTTCGATCTGGATGAGTTTCGTACCGGCGCGCGTTCGTGTGATGACTACTGCGTGATGCACGTTAAAAAACCCAGGTTAGCGGTTGTACTGCACTGGCTAAATTGCTCATCTACAGCTAAGAGACCAATTACCCGTTGAGGCGCATCTCCATCAAGGCTGTATAAACATAAAGAGCAAACCAATTTCAGCGTGCGTTCAGTTCACCGTTGTTGACTCCACTTCACTCTGTTCTTCCAATGAAGGGTGATAGAACGATGCTCCGCATCACCCCATGGTTTCCCTCGGGAAGATGGTGTAATATTTCCTACAGATTCAGTGGTTTTTTGTCTAAATTGGTTATAACTTAACCAATTTATACCAAAAAAAACACAGAATCTGTGGGATATAATATACCCCCCCAAAAAGAATACCCCCAAATTCGAGAAAAAGAACAAACACTGAAAACACACAATCCTAGTAATTAGACCTTAAAGATGAAGCTTGCTGGTTATTTCCTTGTAAGACCGGCGAGATGGTCCTTTGGGTCTTTAAAAAATGCTGGTTTATCTCGTCTTAAGCTTGCCCGTTTCAGGGCAAGCCCATATATGCCATATTTGTAGCTCTTGTATCACAACCAAACTTACCTTTGAGATAGACAGTGTGCGTGCCTGAACGAACTGTGCAGGTTTACGGACGAGGGGTCTCCCTGTTACGCCGACTCAAACGGTACCGTCTGCGTGCTGAACAGTTCGTTCGGACAGAGCTGGCTGCCGGTCTGCCTCACAAAAGAACATGTGAGTACCTTAGTCTCTACTCGTTCCATTCGACGAAAAACTGTATGAAGTGTGACACTTTGCGGGGACTTTGGTCGCCGACAGGATGAGGACAGTGGGGACGTCTTTCGGGGTTCCCACCTCTGGCGCAAGTGTCCAATGAGGTTGATTAAAAAATTATCCGCGCCCTGGCTAAAGAATTTATTTCATCTAGAACTTTCTGAAGCCCAAGTCTCGTGAATTACTGCACAGGCAGAGCATCGGCCAATTTGCAAACGATTTATCACATCATTTACCAACCCTCTTTCATCCGTCAGAGTCGGCTCACGTACACGCCCAATGTCGTCGTCGGTTGAGGACGTGGATGGGCGGCCGGCTCCTTCTTCGTGGCCGACACTCGTGCATTCTTCACCCGAACGTCCGCATTTATTCAAACACGCTTCATCGCGACAAACACTTTCTCTATACCGTGCACAGTCTAGGATAAAAAATTACAGGTAGACACTTAAGCTTTGCCTTTAGAAGTGGAATGCGATAGCTAAACCTATAAACCTCCGCTCGTTCCCAAGCCTTGCAAGCATGTCTGCATGGCCTGGTCGGTAGCGTGTCTGGTTCGCAACCAAAGGGCCGTGGGTTTGAATCTTGCCTCCGCCTAAAATTCTTCGAATTATTTCTTCGAGGCAAATCAATTTATAATGTGAGATCATTAGAGGCATGCGGCGACCTTTAATTCACGTTACATGTCACGTTTTACGTGCGAGACATATGTTCATATTCCCCAATTTTACGAATTCAGGGCATTTTTAATGCACTGAGCGTGGTGGTTGATGTTTTCGAGAGTGAGTGAGTTTTTAAGAGTGTACTAAGAGGTAGTCTACATTTACTAACATCAGCGTTCGGGTTTTATATGTGTTCTGCCATTATGTGTACATGTTTTTTTGTTTTCTTTCTAAGGTGTATGTTGTGCGTGAGTGTGTATCAGTACTAAAGCCTTGGCTGTTTCTGGACATACGACAAATAAATAAATAATTAAATAAAAATCTTTGGCGCACAAATCAGTTGGAACCCATCTTGGCATGGATTCTACGAGTCCTTGGTCTGTGCCTCGAGTATGATTGTACCAGATTTGTAAGCACAGGTCACAGAATTCCCATAGATTATGAGGAGTTTATAAAGAAATTTTATTAGCAGCATTCACGAAAGTAGAAATATAATTCAATTTAGTCCACCAAGCCCTGTTGCAAAAAACTTTCCTGTGTTGGCACTTTCACTATGGGGACAGTTAAGTGGGGACTATTCCAAACTTTTCAGGCTACCGTTGTGTCCGGGGATGAATGAGAAATCACTGAAGTTCCAATGGTAGAAAGGTGTTGGTTCAATATTGTACAAGTTTTTTTGTTTTTTTTTCAGGAATAAGAGGAAACTAATTTAAACAAATTTTTGATGTTTTCCTTTTTGTTGTTTTCCTGTAACATTATCTGCACACTCTTAATTCGTCATGTGTTTTCTGTTTTCTTTTTTTTCAGACTAAAGGAAAGTCGGATCACTTCTTTGTGGTTGGGGTGAGCGAAGTGAGGCAGCACGTCAGGTGAGGTTGCCACTCGCTCCACCGCATTTTGGCAGTTAACATCGTTGACACACTTTATGAATTATAGTTTCAACCGTGCCTGCGTTTCAAAGGCTGGGAGCTTGCAAAAAAAAAAGAAAAACTGCCTGTTTTTGGTATATCTCAAAGGCACTGTAAATGCATGAAATTTATAGATCCTCTTTGAAATCATAATGTCACAAGATGTCGCGGTATCGCATGGCAACTGTCATGCTGACGACATCAGGTCACCAGCTTCCGCTGAATTTAGAAGAACACCTCTCTTTCACCACCCCACAGCCATGAAAGCCCTAAGAGCTGGCCTTAGAAATATAAAAACATTTTTGGAAGACTTTTTAGGGCAGTTTCGTTGCAAATTTGCATCTCCGCAGGTGCATCCCTTGCAAGGGGGCACGTTACCCCGCCGTGCTTCCGCGACCCGTCACTTCGGTCCTGGACTTCAAGCTCCCCCTGCTAGAGGAGAGCACGGAGAAGGGAAAGTTGGAGGTATGCGCGCCACCAATTCTTTCTTTGTCGTCGCGGCGGAAGGGTGTGTAGTTCTGTGACAAGCGGCCCGAAATCCGTTCCGACCGGTGTCTCTACCACATCCTTTATTGCGATCCCTCGATTTTCACTTTATTACGTCGCAGAAGCGTCGTGCTGTATTGGTGTTGGGGTGTCACAGCGGCAAACTACCAGTATGACGGTCCAGGATTTGGGGTGCCATGGTGACACTCGTATTCGCTCCAACCTTTTGCCAGCACTTCTACAACCGGTCGCTGAGATCGCAGCATCCGACTGTATTGCATTCTGGCTTTTGCGACATCATTGACACCAGCCAGGGACGCGTTCCAGCTACCGTATTATTAGTGACGGATGGATGGACGGATGCTAACGGCTGTACCCTTTATAACAGGTGGTAGCTTGCGCCACCTGGCAGGCAGACAGGCAGTTAGTTGTTCACGGTTGCCAACGCAGATTCTGCAGGCAGCCGTGGCGCAGCGTATATGTCTCGGTAGCTCGCGTCGTTTGCCTCAGTCGGGCTCGTAGCCTTTTTGAAACCGAGAAGGAGGTTTCTACCCGCCATCCATTGCAGGAAGAGTATGGGAGGGCGAGCCGGCTGGTGGAGCTTCTCAAGTTCTGGGACGAGAAAGGCATGGAGGTCTCGGAAGAACTTCGGACCACCCAGCAGAAGCTCAACCACACCCTGCTCAAAATGTTTGCGGTGAGTCTGTCGCGGAAATCTTGTCTAGGTGGCCGGTCTGTCTCGGAACCAAACATCTGACACCCACAAACGTTGCAAGCTCCCTTACTGTACAAGCGTGCAAAAGGTCCTTAGATGCGTAGCATTTATAGGGCCAACTCTAAGGATTTTGCATCCCCTCACACGGCCTCCACGACTTCGCAGTGTCACGTGATGCTGCAAAGGGTCACGTGACACTGCGAAGTGTCACATGACGTCTTTCCAAAGTCGCAGTCGCAGTGTCAGTGTCTTCCCACGGTCGCAGTGTCACGTGACGTCTTCCCAAAGGCACTTTGAATGCGCAGTACTTAGAGCTCTCCTGCGACGTGATGCGAACCGACGTCGCACCACGTGGTCACGTGGCATCGGGTGACACCGGGAAGTGTCGTCATGGTCACAGCGTGGTTTGCGAGAGACACGCCCTCTGCTTCCTGGTCTCTGTCGGCACGATCGAGCTTGCGCAAATTTTGAGATCATGCTTTCCGACGTTGCAGCTGGCAACCCGGGCAGACCGGGAGTACCGAGCGGTGGACGTTGCCCGCCTGATGCCCACCGAGGCGGTGGTACAGGGGGCGTCCCAGTATGCTGCGCGCTGCCACCACCTGGCGCTCGCCGAGAAGGTTGGACGGCTCGTCGAAGACTTTGACAGCGGGGAGGCGCTTGACGGCGGCTCCGCCGCGGAGGAGGAAGACGAGGACGTGGAGAGGGACATTCGCGATGCCAACTTTGCGGCGGCTTCAGAGAACGCCAAGCTGTCTCGGTAAGGGTGGCGGCCTTTCTCGCCTTCCCAAAACGTCGTGCCGGCGTGCTGAAATTCCTGGGACCGGGGTGGGGAAAGCGGAGGATTCAGGGGTGACGGCGAGATAGAATGCAGGATAAACAAGGTAGCGAAGCTCGGTTTGTGCCGCATTAATTTCATAATGGCGATAATAACCTTTATTTTGGTATGTCCACAAACGGTGCTAAGCCTAGAAAGGGGTACACTGTCATTAGAGTAGAAATGAAAACATACAGAGCAGAAAGAATGAAGACGAGCCGAGTCGTAAATGCACGCACTAGTGGCACGATTCCTCGTCGAAAAGTGTTTGGATTGCAAATATTTAAACTCGCCTTTTATGTATCTTGAGATTTAAAACGGTGCAAAGGATGAGAGAATGGATGGCAGTGCTCTGTGTGCGTCTTTGTTTGTCCAGGCTCTCGTCCTTCACACCGTTTTAATTTTCAAGTATGTACCTACTCGCCCAAGCTTCAATTTTATGTATCCTTCTCTGTCTTGCCAAATTCACATTAAGATAAGCTTGCACCGACTAGCATTGCACTATAACCGTTATTCGGTGCCATTGGAGAAAATAACAGTTAGCCCATTTAATTGTTATATTTGCAAAACTGCTATCTGCAAAAAATGAGCGATAGTTTTGCCCGTTTTTTGTAGTATAGTAATTGAGGGCGGCAAGATCAGTTGTTCCTTTTCTAAGGTAAATTAAGTCAGAAAGTAACAATAATTAATTGCAGTGTGCCAAACTTTTGCAAAGTTGTCTATCAATTATCGGTTGCATCATTCGTCAGTGTGTAGAAACAACTTCAGTGTTATTTGACAGTTTTGATCCTCTCTGCTTACTTCTACCACTGTTGTAGGACGTCATCTTGATACTGTATCTTCGACGTGTTATATTACATTCTTCTAAAATTATCTTTGTTCCCACTGTGGAGACCATGCAGAAGGCTCGTGTCAACACGTTCATACCCAGAACGAGAACTAACTTTATTCTCTCGAAAATAACATACGAAGCCGCTCCGTGGTGGCACAGGGTTGCCTGCGGGAATCACATACGCGAGGGTTGCACCCTCTACACCCACATGTCGCAATTATTCGTCAACTTCAATAGTATTTAACCACCACGTTTCACGTTAAATATAAATGACATATTATCAGGAAGGAAGACCTGGAGCCTTGGACCTGGAGCCCGAATGGCACTTGGGAAAACGGAAGTCCAGGAGGAATTTGTGGAGGGATTTTCAGTCTTGCTAAAGATGATTTTGTGTGTACACTAACATACATTAGCCTTTACTTACTGTACGCTCCCTACCATGGGTGTGTTCACTGGCAGCCAGAGTTGCGTGCTCTACGGTCAAAGGCCAACAAGCAACCAGAAAGGATTCTCTCAATTCCTCCTTTCTATTCAAGAAAGAGGGAGATCCTCCTTTCTGCGGGAGTGAGCTTAGAGACCCGCTTTTGTGGGGAGAGGGGAGAGAAGGGTGCGAGAGGCGATGAAGGAAAGGGATATGGGAACCGGTTTTCTTCCAGGCAAAAGACAAATCTGTAGGCGGTTGGCCCTTCACCGTGTAGTGACGGTAAGCGTTGGCCAGATCCCTTATGCACCTTCAAAACTAGCCTGTAGTAGACAAGTTGGTTAACCCAAACCTTGGGCTGATGACCACGTCTGAATACATCATATGGACTGGTGAAACTTCAGTGATTTGAGAAGTGATTATGAGTGAACTAATGAGTCTGCTTGTCTTCTAGGAGCGTCCCCAAGGATAACTCCTCCGTCCTCAAGCCAAAGCCGGTGCTGTTTCGAAAAAACTCTGACGTTCTCATGAGGTCCACAAACGACAGCGAAGGTACGGCGGAGCCGCTTAATTAATAATAATATTATTATTATTATTATTGTTTTTCTTATTTTAAGAGGCCACTAACAACCCCAAGATTGATCTTCTTTTTACTGTCTCTTCCCCGAATTCGAGCTCCTCCTCGCTTATTTCTTTAGTGACGTAATTGACGAAGACATCTTTGAACACGTTAAGAGGTGTTGCAAGTTGCACTGTAATGATTATTACAGTGAAATCTCGTTTATTCACTCTCTTGATTTAAGCTCACGGATAATTCAAACTAATATGCAGGTCCCGTCCCATGTATTTCCATGACGGAAACTCCCGGTAATTTAAACTTTGCATTTTTCAAACAAAGTTGTGGTCCCCCTCGGGTTCAAATTAACGACATTTCACTGCATTGTAATTCATAAAGTATGTTTTTCTCGGCAACTGTAGAGGCATTACACTGCCGACTTAGAAAAATAACAATCAAAGACCAGAAGTGTTAATGACGAAACATCCGCCGTCTCCTAGCTTTTCCTTCATACTCTCAATATGACGCGATGCCGGAATGTTTGTCAGAACGGCGGTACGTCTCATTTGAGGACAGAATCCAACTTCCGACGATAAATATGCGTTGAGGTTTTTTCTCGTAATCGTCTTCAACAAAGCGGTTAGAACAGGGCGGGGGGGGTATAAGACTGGCCCCTGCAGCTGTTCTTCTAGGATTGCAGCCAACCGAGCATTATTCTGTGCTTTGTCTTTTGAAAAAAAATTGCGTAGCACAGCACTTTTAGATTTGTTAGTACCGGGGCAGACCTTCACGCAGCACCTCTGCGACGTCGCCCCTCACATTGCTCGACATGAATCGCTGCGCATAGTTTTCTTCCTTGCCGTTTTAAAAATCGTTTCAGACCAACTAACACCGCCAAAAAAAGAGGAACTGGAAAATGATGCGTCGTCTGCATGCAAAGAGAGGTCTAGCGAAATACTCTCGCTGGTGGTCTGGCAACATGCACGTGCGCCCATGAAAGACGAGAGGGAAAAGAAGTTCAGCAAATCTTTCTGTTTGAAGTCATTGAACAAGGCAAGGAGTGCACCGCTTTGCTAACTACGTCATGGGTTCGGGCGAAAGTTTCAAATTAAGCTTTCCGAAAATATTTTTTTTTTCTCTGCAAATACAGTTTTCAAGCTTGATGTTTTTAGAGCGATCCCGAGAAATCATTATCAGTCGTTTGCAAAATAAAAAAATATATATACTGTATATAGATTTTGGGGTTGTCTGTAAACTTTTAAGATGCCAAATCTTTTTAATTGTAATAATAATAATAACTATCATTCTTTATTTCTTTGGTGCCCCGGTACAACCGTGAGGGTTTTGATGTGGCGGCACTGCTTTGACATGTTGTTTAAGACCTTTCGAAAATATCTAATGCTTTGAGATGTTGTTAAAGATCTTTGGCAACCGTGGCTTCAACATATTGCGGTTTGTGCAACTACATATTGGGGAGCATAAGGAGCGACTGAAGTAGTATAGCTTCCTAGCAGATCATATCTGCAGCTACAATCGCGTTCGATCATGAGCAGCATGGCTGGAGTGAGCAACGGCAGTACATTTGCGGCTAGAATAAACCATAATATGGCCGAGTGTTAACCTCGTTTATTGGTTGGCTACGGGTTTACATTGCCACTGAGTTATGGTAGCGTGAGCACTGAGGGAGTGTCATGTGTCCGCTTTCTGCACTAGTGATTGCACCTGTTGCATTGTATAACAAGGGACAGAGTTACAGCCTTATGCAATGATTTGAGAGGGTAGTTAATGCAACTCGCCAGTTGCTTGCTAGGACATACTGCTCTTGTTTCATTCTATATGGCCAGCAAGTTGTGCCAAAATGTCACCTTCCACATGCGAGAGTAGGACCTAGCCTAAGAGAAGAAGCACGGTTAGAGAGAGTGAGTGTGTGACGAAGTTCTGCCACTGCATCCGTCTTCTCCTCGATGGCTGGGGAGCAGACAACATCTCGGCCACGGGTTTCCCGTTCCTTGTCACGTGTGTGGTAACTGTTAACCAACGACAAAGAAAGAGGAGAAGAAACACCCTTCAAGGTGTTTCTTCTTTGCTTTCTCAAAGGCTAAGTCCTCGTTCGTAAAGAACCAGTGGATATCCAAACGCTGTAGAGGTAGTAAGACAGCCATTACTAGAACTACCAGACACCGCCAACGTTTTGTGTCCGAACACTCGACCCCGATACCACTCCTCTCTCCGTGCGAATAGCAGAAGGCGATATTGCTCACTCTGATTGGAGGGATGCAGTGGGTGGATACAAAGAACGCCAGCCTTTGCGTCTAGTCACTTTCCTTCCAATCAAAGCTTGGTGCTGCGAGTTCACTATAACTGCTGCGCAAGAAGCAGACAATTTCACTTGCCGTGCAGAATGGCCGACGCAAGACTGCAGTTGGCTAGTAACTTCCGCTAGAAAGTTTGTGGGTTTTTTTTGAAGTGGAGTGCACTTGCGTCTGTTTTCAGAAAGCGTTGAAAAGAGGCAGCCGGAACAAGCGAAGGTGCTTTCCGTGTCTCCATTTGTGGCCAACCCTTTCAAGGTAGGTCAACTCTTCTCGGATCAGCTTGCACGGCACTGAAATATAGAGGCCAAGGTACAAGATTCAGGAAGAGTATCTTGCACACAGTATCGTGCTAACTTTCTTACTCTGGGACAACCCTGAATAAATTTGGGGCGGGGGGGGCTGAGGTTGTCCTTTGACGTTTGAATCATCGTGGACGGTCACAAAAACATCACACGTAATTAGAAGCTTTTCCGTCTCCTCTCTACTTCAGAAAACGAGCCAGCCTCAGCGCGTAGCCAAAGGCATGGATGCGGTCATCAAGGAAGCGACGGCGCCAAAGCCCGTTGTCAGCACGCCCGTGGTTCCAGCCGTTGCGTCCAGAAAGACCACCAAGGCAACCGGCCAGGAGCAGCCAAAAAAAACCAAGGTGAGTTCTGGGGATAGTATACCACACGAGACGAGACATAGAAATTTGTGCTGTGCATTTAGAATTACACAAGTAGTCGATTGCGTCTTCATTTGTCCCCTCTGTCCAAGATATTGTTCGAGCTAATTAGTAGTTGCTTTGTTCTCTTTTCAGAGTGCAGCGAAGCAACTCAAGCTCTTTGCAAACCCAAAGCTTTTGGCGAACAAGGGCGACGCCTCGGAGAAAAGCGAAACGACAGACAGCAAGGATGAAGTTGAAACGCCAAAGCCTCAAGAAAACGGAACACATTCGTCCCAGAGTTTGACGGCGAATCAAGCCGCCAAGAAATCCGGCTTTCAGCTATACCTAGACTCTGTGCGTGACGAATTGACCGAGGAATTTCCGGAACTCGACGACAGCGACCTCGCCAAGAAAGCCATGGCAGACTTCAGAGCGCTGCCTCCCAAGGAACGGACGGTGAGTAACTTGTGTTTGCGTGCGTCAATGATCCGTTTTCTTTTGTTCGAAGCAAAAGCTTGAATGGAAGGAAAATACCATATTTTCCAGACTATAGTTCGCATGTATCGTTCAACCACAGAAGCAAAATTTGGTTGAAAAAAAAGCAAGAGTTTTTCCTTAGATAGTTGGTACCCGGTGCACAGTCCGCACATAAAAAATTCTCATGCTTGGCACACCTTGATCAGTGCCTACCGTATTTGCATGAATATAACGCAACCATGAATATAATGCAACAGCAAGTTTTGATGCCCTCAAAAAGAAAAAAAAAATATTATTGAAACGTGAACCGAGGTTGCTTAAATTTACCGCACTTGGAGGCATAGCAGAAGTGAAAAAGCAATGGAAATCGAAGAAATATCAGTTTCTGTTTTTACTGCACTCATCCTCACTGCTCAGGTCCTTCCGTTTGCAATCTACTTGGCGACTTTGCAGATATGCAGCAGCACGGCGCCGCTTGTCTGATAGTTCACTTTTCTTTGACAAGCTCCTCAGCAGCCCACAAGCAAACCAAAGCACGAAGCAGAAGCACCAACACGCGAACACCAGATCACTCTGGAGCAGAAACTAGAAAATGCACAGGCAGAAAAAAGACTGCTGAACCCGACACACGATCACACACATTCTTGTTCTGGTTCGTCCACATAAACAAACACGGTTGGTGGTCTAGGCTTGGCTTGTGTCGACTTGGTCAGTGCCCACAATCCCGCGTAGTGTGCTGCATTTCTGCGACGCACAAAAACAAAAGCGACAAAAATGTTTTTTGTGTTTTCTATTCCCCCTTCACGTGGCCAATAGCTAATAAATTCCCTCCCACACCCCCACATATTTTCTTACCCGATCTTCTGCATTGAGCCGGAGGGATTGCTTTCTCCAGACTCGCGCGCCTCGTGACTGAACTCAATTCTGAATATAATGCAAGGTGCGTTTTGAAGCTTGTAATTTCGGAAAAAACTTGTATTTGTGCAAATACGGTATTTAATTAGCTCGCAAACAAGCTTGTATCATACATGAATTGTCATTAACATCCTGTCATTCACAAAATCCATCACGTCTTGTCATAATGAGCAATCTGGAAAAAACTAATTATCGTGTAAAATCTGAATTTTTAAAACACTTATTTAGTTTGTGGAGAAAATTTGGCATTAATGGGGAAACTAGAGTGGGAAATTTTTTGTGATCAGGATGGCTACGATAGGCTGTAGAATGGAAATAGCGAGTTAGCACCTGTTTGTTGTGTACATTCTTTCCTTGTCCATTCTTTTGGGCACTGTTTTTCATCATCTTTAAAGGGGTAGAGAAACAAAATTCCAGCGCTCATTTCCTAGCTTGAATGTGTTGCATGTTGCACCCTGACCTCAAAAATACCAGTCTTCCATTGAAAGGCACAAGAAAACTAATTTTAAAGCTAAATAAATGATCTTTCAATGTGCACCTGGTGGATGCATGCGGAGCCTATTTGGGAGGTAGTCTAGCAACGTTGTGGAATCTGTTACGTAGTCGTGACGTAGCAGATTCCTTCGGAGCAGCGCCGCTCTTTGGCATTATAACATCTTCCCTCTTAGCTTTCCTCCTCAACTCACAAGTCGCGCATTGTACCAAACGGTCCAAGAAGACGGAAAGGAAGGACCTTTGTTCTCGGACCTTGTTCATGCAACTCGGACACAGTCACTTTCCCCCTAAAAGATTATGCCGTCGCTCAAAGCTCAAACAAAAGTTGCTTTCCCCACCCCGTTCAGCCCTAAGCTGACAGTGTTGTGGAAGCTACGTGCTCTTTGGGCCAGCTGCACGCTTGTCGCCCCACGGGTACTTCGAATGGCTCGGTTGTAACGCGCTGACGCTATTGACACCACCACATCGCTGACAACGCCACCAAGAGCAAAGCTCATAACCACGGCTGCCTTGTTACGTCACGAATGCGAGGAATCTTTTCTTTCTGTTTTTCTTTGCGCCGGATATCCCATGACGCATCGCGCTCTCCGTTCGCTTCTCTCCGAGCGCTTGCTCGAGGGCACCGTTTGGAACGAAAAATATAGCCAGTCGTTCAAAATACAAACGTGCGATTATCATTAATTGTTATTATCCATCAGGCTTGACTCATTTCCAAACGAAATTTGAATATTTCAATTTTTGTTTCCGTACCCCTTTAAGCGGGGACACTACCCAGAAAAGTCAACTTCTGTACCACATGCTTGGATTTCAATCAAAGTTGCAGTGGAAGCTTATATGAGTGGCAAGTCCATCACTGCCGAATTTCATTGTTTCGTGTCAATTGTGACGCTTGCACCAAATGTTACAATATGGAAGTCAGTGTGTTCGCTAAGGAAAACTATTAAATACAAATTAGTGATTTTTATGTATAATATAGTCATAGGAATACCCATAGCACATACACAGCTAGTTTTGCTATATTGCATTGTTTTTTATGAGTTTAACTCCATAAGAAGATTACAATTTTTTTTTCATGTCGGCACTTTTTTACAAATGTAGTTTTTTTTTAGCATGAAAGAATGTTAAAGCAGAAAAACTAACCAGCCAGGCATGTTCCTCACAAAATTTTGTCCCAGAAAATTACTTAAGAATAATTTTCTATTGTGTAATAGGAAAACGATAGTTCTCCTAAAGTGAAATTTATGCCGAAAAGTTGAACGGAGAAAAATGCATTCAAAATGCTCCAACCCCTACCTTTTCTCAATGAACCGAAAATCATTCATAAAAAAATAACCATGCAGTGTAAACTAATTAATCTTTCTGAGAATACTCTCTAGATGTTTGTTGCATTTTTTCGAAATCAACTTTTTTTGCAGAAATCGCTTTATCTGGGTAGTGTCTCCCTTAATGATTACCAACTTGCCTACCTTACCACCCTACTGGAATTATAGCAGTTTCAGAGTTCCAAATGCTGATAGTGTTGAGATATGAGTGCTGATTAGTGTAACAATCATTTAAAAATTGGCTGCATGGTTGGTCATTCTGCCGAACACCTATAAATGCGGTGGCTTTATTGGGTGGTTGGTGTTCTCGGTTCAGGTGGTGCTTAAGGTAGGGTTTCGTATGGAAACAAATTATGTCACACCATTGTCCCTTCGCGACGCTGCCCGTGCTTCCCTTCAGCACCACCTGCATACAAAGCTTTTGCACTGAATTTTCTGGGTCACCAAGAGAAGGGAAATGCACTCTCTTGCTTGTTCCACTCCTCGTTTTGCACACTGTTTCTACATTACCTCAATTTGCTTTCCTCTTTCTTACCCGTTCCATCCCTCTCCACTTCGTGCACTTTCTCACACCACCTGCTTCTGCTCCCCCCAGTCCTGCATGCTGGGTCCATAGCTCAGTCAGCAGCGCACTCAACTTCCAAACCGCTTGCCTTTTTTTTCCAAGATCGTTTAGCAGTTACAGTCGGACCAACCTACTAGTGATGCAAAACTATTGATAAATTGACTATCAATATTATTGATAGTTTTTCGAAAACTATCGATAGTGTCGCAAAACTATTGATAGTACTATTGAAAGTTTTTCGATAGTCGACTATGGATAATACTATCAATAGTTTTTCGATAGCCGACAATCGATAGTAATATCAAGTTTTTTTGTGTACTATCGGTAGTTTTGCACCACTAGAGCAAACACAGTTGCCGCATGCCGCTTGCTTCCCTTTCTCCTCTTTTCGCCCAAACTCCAGTCTTCGTCATTACTGAAAGCTGAACCAAAGTTGGGATGTTAAGTGCTTGGGCTAGTTGGTGCCCCATTTGAAAAATTAAAGCGAGAAAAAGAAGAGGGACCGACGCAAACTGCTAGTGTCGCAAAACTATCAATAGTAAACCGTCGGTGGTACTATAAATAGGTTTACGATAGTCGACTATCTATAGTTTCTTGATAGTCGATTAACAATCATTTTCCGATAGTTGACTATCGATTGTACTATCCATAGCTTTTTGATAGTCAACTATCGATAGTTTTTCAATAGTCTACTATCGATAGTACTATCTATAGTTTTTTGACAGTCGACCATAGATGTACTATCGATAGTCGACTATCGATAGTTTCTTTTACTGCGACATCTCTGCGCAGGCTCTTGTGCAACTCTTTTGTCTGGTGCATACATGCATGCGTCCGTGTGCGGCGTGCTATCAACATGTGTTGAGGCGGCGTTGCTGCATTGCGTGGACGGCACCACGAACACCGAGCTCAAAATGGGACGCTTTACAAACGTTTGTGCGTGGCGTTTCATAAAATCCTTCTTTACCCACTGGCTCTGACTGAAACATCGCACAGCCTTACTAACCATGGTCGCGACATACCGGGAGAAGGAGCAGGTTCACGGTGACCTTATTTCGGTGGAGACCGACTTTGACCGTACACTCCGCGGCTACATTCCAGGATATGGGGCGTTCACTAACCTCGCAATCTATGAATCGGTCACTGCTTGTGCTATCTTTCCGATTTTTTTTACAACTTTTTTTTTTGTCCTAGAAGAAAGTTTCATTTGGTTATCTCCATTGTTTTTCTTTCGCACGAATGTACCCCAACTTTGGGGTTACGGAAATCGGGGAGGAAATGCGGAAACAAAGTGAAATGCCTTTTCCTTCTTATTTTACTTCGTCATGGATGTCCTCCAACTACAAGGTCCGCGGCTGCGTCATTCGGGTAGGATGAATGTTCGCGGACCGCGCACATTCGTTTCCAAAAAAAACACTGTTTTTTCGGAAATAAATTTTTGCCCAAAATGTTGGGTGGGTGATGACTCGGGGATGGGCGATGACTTGGGATATTACGGTATGCATTCATGATGCCCATCCAATGCCTCGAAAATGTTTGTGGCAGTACTCTACTTGGAGACAACTTTTTGTGGTTAGGCAGTCAAAGGTCCAAAGCGCATGCAAACTCCTCTTCTCGTCGGAAATGCCACAGGAAGTTGTCCCCAAGTACAGTGTTATGCATTTAAACTTTCTTAGTGCAAGTCCATTGCATGTTGGCATGTAGTATTTCAAGCTAAAACACTCGTGCTGGTATTGGTTTAGCAGTGAGCACATCTCTTGACCAGCCGATGTCATAGAAAACTCGTGGATCTGTCTCCCAACTTCAATTAGGGCTGGAACGAGAAGGCGAAAAGACCCGGCGGCGGCGACGACGCAAGCTCACCCGGCGGCACGAAACGCAACATCTCCGAGACAGAAGAGTCGTCGATGAGCAAAAAGTCTAAAGTAGACGGCAGCTCGAACGCCAATGGTTAGTACATGTACACGGCCAGCACTTCCTGCGAAATGGTCGGGCTCACGTCTGGCAAAACCAAGGAACTGGACCCACTGTGTACATTTCCAGATTTTAACGCTACACATAGATCTCATGTAATGTTTCGGTGATTAGCGGAGACCAATCCCTTATTCTGTGCCGGCTTTTCCGGGCAGCGATTTGTGTAATATACTGGATGTTTTTTTACCCTTTTTGATGTCCTGTTTCCTTGTGTTTCCAATAAATTTGTTGATCCTTTTCATTTCAGTATCGCGTGGTTACAAGTATATCAGTACGTTTTTCGTGGCACCGCAGTAGAAAAAAAAGTGTCATGGTTGGATGTTCTGTCAGGTGGAATTAAGCCGCGATAGCGCTTGACGGAGTTTTTAATGAGCAGCACCTCGAAATGCCTTCGTGCCTGCTAGATTATTCTACCAATGTAAAGTTTGTATCAGACTACACAGCTTCATTGCGGGGGGGGAGAAAGGGGTGTTAGCAAACTACTTCCCTCTCTCCCCCCACCTACTTTGCACTTATGGCCTCACTATGGTGCAACCAACATGAACAGGCAAGGTCCACGCAAAAGTCCCGTACAAAACTATGCCTAAAACAAAAAATTCAACATTGGCAATTGACAAAGCTTCTGCCCTTTATTATTGACAACGACAAAGGCACTAAATTTTGACTGACGGCCAAGGCACTTGCTTCCGCGACGTCTGCTCTTTCTTTTCTCTCTTTTTATATTAATGCATCGAGCCCGTCTCTAGAAGTGGTATGTACAGCCGGACTCTTGCGTCTCTCGGGCTACCCCGGTCAGCTGTCCGAGGTGACTTGCTGTAGGCCGTGCTCGTCGAGGTTGTGCAGGAGGTTGCATATGATGGGGGACTCCACCTGCAAGAAACGCACGGAACAGTGGATGCGTTGCGGTAGGTGCACGTTTCGTAGTGGCAGGAACTCACCCCCAGAATGTACTCGCACGTGCGGGGCTCCAAGAGGTAGAGAGAGACGCTGTCAGGGTGCCCCTTGACATCCTTGCACCTGTGCGGAAGAGACGAAGGTCAAGCGAACTCTGCCGTCTCTGAACGGTGCTCGGAATGTGCCCTCAACCGGCGCGCGCGGTGTCCCATACCAAATGCATGAAAAGTGACCCCGAAGTAAAGACACATGACGTCGCTCAAACTGGCGCGGCGCGCCGTCGGGCACCGCGATCTTGGCTTTTGGCTGTGGGAGTTCCAGTTAAAGATTGCACGCAAACGCAAGTGTTGCCGTCGTTGCGGCATCCTGACTCGTCGCCGCGGAAGCTTCCGCGGACCGTCGAGCCTACGGCAAGTCCCGGCTGAACGAGCGTCTGCCGTGTCCGCCGCCACGCCACCGCCAAGATTGCGACAGGCAGCGGCACGACAATTTTACGACTTTGTCGAGCGAAAACCGCAATGCCATGTCTGAAGAAGCATCAAACGCGCCGGTCGGAGATGCGCCCCAGGCACCGACGTTGGCTTCGGCCGGGAAGCCGAACTTCGAGGTGGCTCGGGCCGGAGCGTTCCCTCGTTCTCAGGCCGCTCACCTCAGTCTGACTTCGACAACTCGCTGCTTCTTGGTGGCATCGCAGAAGTCCCCGCCGGAGTAAAAGTGGGTCACGTACCTTCAAAGAAACAGGTGAGAAATTACTTTCTTGTACGCGTGTTCGTGGCTTTGTGCCGATGCAATTCATGTGGACCTCTTTAGTCGTTAACGGTACGAGGACGCTCGGGAGGTCTTTTGGTTCTCCCGCCTCCGGCACAAGTCGTCAAAGCGCAGCGGAAGCCGACAGGCATGCGCCGGAGGCCGTTTTCGCCCTCTGGGCGACTATGGGAGACCGGACGCGTTTGGACTAGAGCCGCTGTCGAACCGGTTAAAGAAAGAGCCTGAATGAGATAGTGCCGGGTCATTCCCAGTTTCCCTTTTGCAATGGCGAGCCACTCTATTGGGCTGTTCTTAGCCTTTGCTCTGTTATGAGTTACCAGTTACAAAAGACTGTTGTTAACTTCGGGGCATGGGGAGGTTGGAAGAAATTTAGAAACGACGAGACGAGGTGGACCTCTCGCGACGAATGGCATTCTACAGTGACGAGAGATTCGGACGCGACTCTGCCGTCTACCAATCGTCGCACGTGTCGGCAAGAATAACATAACGTTTTGTGTCTTTCACCTTGCCCCTGCCAAATTAACAAAAGTATTGCTGTTGTATGAGCGGCTTATTAATGGACCCAACAATCGCCCGCTCGGAATGAATCCGGGTACAATTGTCGTATTAATGTCTTGTTAATATAGGCACGCAGCCCTGACGTCACGCAGCTGCGGTGGCGCTGTCGACAGCACTGCGCATGCCCAGACGCTTCACCTTACGCGAATATGGTTTCTGCGCACACGCAGTGCCCACACCTGGTGTGGGCAAACGCTGGCTTGTTTGTAAACAGCTTGCCAGTCTATAGAGAAACATTTGTGGCGACGAACCATCTAGCTATACACACATTTTTGCCACGTCGTTTCGAACATCTCGCATTATGGATGCTCCCTTGGGGTACAGAGGTGTCCATAGTAACAATGTCGCTTTCCAAGCTCTTCCTATACAGGCTGGGTCGCACATTTGCATTTGACTGTCACTGAATGACTCGCAACGAGGGAACAGACTGGCATTAACTATCCAACAGCCCTGGAACTTCTGATCTGCATATTCTTGCTAATGTTTTTGCGCATTGTTTTTTGACCATGTACCCCAAGTACTACGTAATTCCGACGATGTTACAAGCAACCATTTCTCATAGTGCAAAGATGTGGTCGTGCAAATACTGCAAAACCTTCAGGCTAGTAACATGCGGGTCGGAAGTGTTTCCAGGCCTTCCCGACAGATAACACCAGCATTTGCGCGTTGCAATTTATAAATAAATAAGAAGCCATCATAACACGATCAATCAAATGCAAATGTGCAAACCAGCCTGGCATATTCAATGGTGAAGGCGGTTTAGCCAAGGGCACCGTACGTCCCCAACAAATTGAGGCGAGGCGGGTGCTCACTTTGGAATCTTCCCTTTCTTGGGTTTCCTCTCCGAGCGCTCCTCGATCCACGTCACGTGACTCTTCTTGTCCCACGTTCCAAGCAGGATGCTCGTGCGAGGTTTGTCTTTTTCCTGAAATGGGTGTTTGCCAGTTTAAGAACGGTCATTAAAGCATTTGTTTTAAATGTTTGAGGACGGTTTTCGATTAAGCGTGCCGGTGGCCAGACACGCGAGTTGCCACACCCTGCCACATCCAAGAATGCTTTTACAGTTCATGAAATTCCATCTCCATGCAATATACGGGGTGCGACCGTAAGGACTGGCCATTGTGCATGCCTCACAAAATTCGAATTCCAAACGTACATACCTGAAATTGAGCACGCGAGCATAGTTTTACAAGAAAGTTTTTGTGTATTCTTTTTTTAGAGTTTAAGTTGGAGGTGATAAAATATAAAATAACGCAAGAATGGCGGCCGTGCATTTCCTATGCCCTGTACCGGACTATCGTCGTCTGCGCACTGGTGTGTGAGCTTGCTCCCAGGTTCATATATTTCGTTAGAAGTGTAAATTATTGCAATTATTTTGCTCGTCGCCAGCCTCTGCTATTGGTTTTTAGCGTTTCTGCGTTCAGCGAGCCACCTGGGAGCGAGCTCATAAACCAGTGTGCAGATGACAAATGGGCCAATATTGGAGATGGGAAATACGTACTGTCTCCAATTTTGCTTTATTTTTAATGTTTTCACTATCTCGAAATTGAGTTCTAAAAAAAAACTAGACATAAAACTTCTGGTGAAACTACATCCACGTGGCCAATTTCAGGTATGTACACTTGGAATTTGAATTTTGCAAAGCGTCCCAAATGTGTTCGTCCTTACGGCCACACCCTGTATTTTCTTTTTGTGAAGGTTTCCTTTCAATGCGTAGCCAAAGAGATTAACCAGTATGACTTACAAATTCAGCATTCTGTTGAAAAAAAAATCCAAAATGAAAAATTTCTTTATTTCTTATCAGACTGCACACTTCCTTTCAAACTTTTCAATATTGAGGGACCCCTATTTGCATTGAATGGCAGCCAGAGAAGCCTTGTCAGTCTTGACATTGATCCCATAAAGCAGTTAAGAAGCTTACAGACCTAAACAATACTGCACATTGCTAGAGCATTTACTTCATGGTTATGCACTAATGGGTTGCTCAGGCCTGTTAAAAATTGTGCTTAACTGGAAGAATGTTTTGCTCGGGGAGGGACGGTCGAGGAAGCTCGGAGGACCTCGGAGGGTAGTCTGGGGAAACCCCGTTTGAGGACCCACGCTCTAATTAATACTGAAACATTAATAACATTTCTGACAGGCTCAGTTTTCGTGCGAGCCAATAAGCCCAAGTGGAAGCTCTACGCAGCACTGCCCTCTAGTAAATAGAAAAACTTCACTGCCAAGAACAGTGCCTAGGTTTTGTAATTAGTTCTCAGGCTGGGACCCGCAATGAATTCTGCGAGAGCTTCCGTGGCTCTGTGTGACCGGAATGGAACTGGACGTCCAATCGGTGGGAAAGCACTTGCCTCGTGAAATTGGGTGACCCTTTTTCCGTAGCAGAACTCGTACTTCCACCAGCCAACTCCCTGGAAACGCAAAATGCATGAAATAATTTCCTCGCCCAGATTAATAAAAAAAAAAAAAAAAAAAACAATCGCTTGCAAGATTTTATTGAAAGGCAGCACCAATGCCGTCGGTTGATGATCCCCAGGACTGGATCATTAGCTATGTTTCGTATATCCGAATCTCGCAACTTCAAGCACTAAAAAGTGACGATATAAAACATTCATAAAGCATGGGGTAAGTATCAGTTTTTGTTGACAGATGCTGATTTTCACAAAGAGCATTTACGAGGCTTGCCTTTTATTTCTTTTTGGCAACCCACTTCCCCCATATAGACGATCGCTCCATTATCTAAACAAACTACTACCGTGTGTACACTAACGCTTGAATCCCACTTTGGACGGTCCGTGAAAATTGGTTTCTCAATGTATCGTGCTGACATTTACTACAGAGGTGCCCGAAGGTGGTGCACTCATTAATTGAGAGTATGAATACATGGATCCTCTGGAGTCAAAAGAAAGAAAAAAAAAACTGGTTTTGTCTATGGAAAAGTTATCTCTAAGCCTTTTCTTCAAAGTTGTTGAAAAATCGTTCTGGGCTATTGTCGCGTTTATTACAACTGAAAAATCGGTTGAGATGAAAAGAAAATTCAATTCGCTTACTATTCTTCACGTGATTTGGCCCAAATAAACGCCACAATGACACAAAATATTATTTAAGTGTACATGCAAAGTATAGAGCAAACAATTTATTTTTCGTGACTTTCTCGGATGAGCCAATTTTTCCACAATTTTAGTGAAAGTTTCCACCACCTTTGGGCACCTCTGTAATATAGATCCTAGTGTAAGTCATTAAGAACCCAATTTATGCGGACTGTCCAAAGTAGGATCGAAGCGTTTGCTACTCAAAAAGTACCAAAAAGAAAAAAAAGATAATGTGTTCTCTTTTGCTTTTTCCAAAAGCGTTTTAAACGCATAGCGTTTATAGAGCCTCTTCGCACTCCTCCTTTAGCAGGCACAGTAAGGGGGCCGCTCAAAAGCACATTGCTAGGGCTTACGAATATGTAAAGCCATCACAGTCTCGCACAACGTCGCAGGACACTTTGCCGTCGCACGACGCCATACGACGTCAAACTCTAACAATGTCTGGAGTTCAGCCTCTGCCTCTGCTTTGCTAACCCCAGCCTGAGGCTACAACAAACATTGGTGGCATACAATCCGCTCCGGACCACGTGGCTGCTACTTCTGGCCGTAAGTTGAGGGGTGGATGCTGTTCTTGTTGTTTTTTTTTCTAGTGTTTTTTCTGCCACCACCATTTCGCAGAAAGAAAAAAATACTACCGTAACATCTTGAGAGATAGCCCACCTAAAATCATCGAGAGCAAATCAGTTGTAGCAAAAGAATGTGAAGGTATGTTTACGCTTCGTTCAATCATTGTCCTTGTTTCCGACGAGGTCACTGATGGCCCGGGCTATCTTTCAATGTTTTGGGAAAAATACAGAATCGTGGCAAGAGTAGAAGTAGGTTGTCTTTTGGGGGTGGGGTATCTCTCGTGATACTAAGGCAATGCATGTTTCGCAGATTATGAACGTTGTTGAAGATTCACTCTAAGCGGTATTTGCTGAAAGAGTGAAAATTGGCGCACAGCCCCTTTATTAAGTGAGGCACAGCTGCACAAATACGGCACACTTAACTTGCCAGAAAGCGGGACGCATTGTCACAGGTGGTGTACGTTTAAAAGGTCGAGCGGCGGTCCCAAACTTCAGTCAGATTCACTTGTCTGCAATATAATTGGGATTTTTAACCTCGATTTAAACTCGCGACACCAAACCTCGAACTAAAAAAGCATGTCTTAATCGTGCTCTCTTAAATAAAATAAGAAATAAAAAAAGGCATTAATATAGATTTGGAATTAACAATTTCATGAGGCCAACTAGTGCCTCCTACTATAACGCGATAGAAGCGGACGTTCTACGCAGGTGACACGAGGGCGACTTTTCCGAAGTCGCAAGTTGTCGCAGCTTTTACACGCTTAGTGTGTTGGGGAATGTTCCGAACCAGGACGTACGGTGGTGGCCGAGAATGGGGCTGGAACTTTGCATGAAAGCGCAAAGAGATTATTAAAGGAAAGAACCAGGTCGAGCGGGGTTCGAACGCCGTTCCTCCTTGCGACGGCCGCGTCCGTTGCCAACTCTGCCTTTCACGCTGCAATGTCTGGTAAACTTGGAAACGCATGACGTGTTGCAAAATGAGCTGGGCACATGGTGTGCCCGGCTTATTCGCACACCCCATGACGTCGCGTGACTTGACGTCGGTGTGTAGCAACGTCGCAATTTTTCTGCCGTATTTAACGGGGAATGTAGATGATGCCCCCGTGGGGCTGTATTGCGCGCGTGACCCTGACCGGTGCGTCGGTCGGGCACGACGTGTTCCTTTTCTCGTGAAACCCGGCCCTATGACACATTCCGAGTTCATTTGAAAAGTCCTTGATAGCAGTTTCTGGAGAAAGGAGTTTTAACAGAGAGAGGAAGGGGAAGGGGGGGGGGGGAGGGGCAAGTGACTCACCCCGGTGAGGCAGTGTTCACCGCTGAGGAAGTCTTGGAGGAGCTTCGGGTCGTGCGGAGGGGCGCTGCTGCCGCCGACGCTCACCGGGTCGACGACGGTCGGCCTGCTCTCTCTCGGCGGCCTGGGACTCTTTCGAGTTGCGATGCAGGAGAGAGGACATTGAAACATGAACTATACAAAACGCGGCTTTTTTATTCGGCGTGTCGAAGAAAAATATTTACAGTGTTTTTTTTTTTTTTTTTTTCTGTTGCAAAAATATATATGTTGCCAAACGCTCGATCTCCAGCAAAATGTAGCGCTAGGGGTCTGGACCAGACGTCAATGTTTCGAAAGTAACTGTTAGCTGGTTCAAAGTTCCGAGCAATGTTCCGCAATTTTCGCCAAAAAAATAAGGCCCGCTCCCCGTAGCTCCTGTGATTCCGCCCCTTGTATTCGTGGGCTTTTTCAACCACTATTTCCCCACTAAAAATTTAAAAAAAATTGCTAACGACTTTCTAATAAGATAACGGTTCGTTCATTTGTTTCGAACCACTAGCACTACATCTGGACAGAGGGTTCGACAGCGGTCCGGTTTATCTCCCTTTTTTTTTTCACGCATTATTCTTCTTTCTTAACTTTAAAAGCTTTTGTCGGTGTTATAAGCTACCAATTTCCGTGGGCAGTACATACATTTGACCTCGCAAATACCGCAAAACCTTCGCTCTAGCGAAATGCAGTTCCGGGGTCGCCGCATAGACGGCGCCAGCATGCCAGCACGTTCTCTCGTCGTAAGAGATCGCAAGAGGTTTTAGAGCATGCAGGCTTTTGGTCATATACAGTAAAACCTCGTTATAACAAAATGGGATATAACAAACTAATGGATATAACAAAGCAATCATAATTCCCCTTGCTTGCTAATAGTATGGAGAAATGGACATTGGCTATAACAAACTAATGGTTATAACGAAATAACTACGACCGCTCCTTCAACTTTGTTATAACGAGGTTTTACTGTACTGTTACGATTGGTTGTCTGTGTGCTCTGCAAGGGAATAGACTTGCGCACCCTGGAATTCGTAAACAGCGCAGCTGTTACTTGAGTAAATTTATTAGACAGCTTTAAGACTGCATTAAAACCAAATGTTGAATTTTTGAAACATTTGCACTGTAAACTGGACTACACTACTAGCTGGACTCATTGTCTCAAGAACATTATGCGTGATTGCAACTATGCCTGAAAAATGGCTCATCCGGTAAACAAGACATCCCAAAAACACCCTGAGACTGGGGAATGCCCAAAGGGGGGAACGGTGTCTGAATTGTGGCTTTTCGATCCCCTGTTGTCAGTTTCTCCCGGCATCTACTCTGCCCAATAGTCCGTCAACAAGTTCTTGAGCCATTTTATTTTTTCATGCAAAATTATGAGGGACATATCTCTCAGCACAGCTTTCACATATAGAATCTGCAGTTGTGCAGATTATTACGACTGTAATCAGAACAGTGGAATTGACATCGCTGCAATGTCTTTCACGTTCAGGAATTAGATGCCCATTACGAGGCGATCTCACTGACGCTGCTTAGTGGAGGTCAGAACGTCACCGACCTGTTCCTCGGGATACAGAAGTCCGTGGGCTTCCTGATCCATCAGTACCATCCCCTTGGGCCTGGTTGGAGCGCCGTCCTTGGCGATGCAGCTGATGTGGTTCTCGGGAGCAAAGTCCAGTCTTGTCACGGAGACGGCATTTGCAAGATGCAGAGTAAAAGTCTCCCTCAGGAAAGTGGCACAAAGAAGACAAACTTGAGGACAACTGTAAAACACTTGGCCAGTCTCCGGTAAACTCCATCTTGGGCAAAAAACATCTAAAAAATACTTGAAGTACAGCACAGAGTAAATGAGAGCTTATGTACTTACGAGTAGTAAATACACTGGGCATAATGTACTTGGAGTAAACTACTATAAATACAGTGTACTTTTAAAGTAAAATACAAGTACTTCTTAACACAATCTTTCATTCCCTTACGCTGCATTTTTAAACTGGTGTGCATTGCTCAAGGGGTGATCGGGGAGATGCATCAGCTATTTCTGGAAATGGCAAGTATTGAATAAAGTCCAGTGGCCACGGATTAGTTGTTTTACACTTAACACAATCGACAAAGGCTCTTATTTAAATCGGTCTTGTAGCCGTCATTACTTCACGCAGAGAAATGATCGGATGACATCTTGAAAGAAGACAGCATGAAACAATAATGTGCCATTTTTTGTTAGATGTTCGTAAACTCTCACACTTGACCTAAGAAGTATATAGAACTGGGAAAGCCAAGGACGCAAGCATGTGGTCCTTGAAAAAACTTAATTTCACCGAACCCAGTTGTAAGAATGTACTTTGACGTCGCAAGTTGTACTTGGAAAATACCAGAAAAAAAGACTTTAAATACAAGTAGAAACTTGGAGAATGTACTTCAGGTGAAGTACAAGTTTTCTAAACCTACTACATGAAGTAGTACTTTAAGTACAATGTACTTAAAGTACTTCCCAACACTGCATGGACGTCTGTCTGTTCACTCATCAATACCTGTACTTTCGTGGATGTCTCCTCATTCATAGATCTATGTCTGTTCACTCATGGACGTCTACTCATTTATGGATGCATGTCCCTTCCCTCATGGACGTATGTACTTTCATGGATGTCTGTTCACCCGCAAACATCTGCCAATTTACGAACGCGCCGAGGAAAGTTAAGCACAAGTCGGGGAGCACCTCACCTGTAGTCCGGGTGAGCGCACAGGTAGGGCGTGAGTACCACCACCTGGTACTCGCACGTGGAGACCTCCTCGAGGCTGAGGATGTCGTTGCGGGAGTCCTCGCTGCACACGTACAGGACGCTCGTCATGCGGCGCACATTGTTGATGTCGCACATGGTGCCGTCCGTCATGTTCACCGTGAAGTAGGGCATCTCGAGTCCCTCCAGCCGCATCGTCGGGGGACGCACTTTCTAAAGAAACAAAACAAAAAAATTTGACGTTTCAGTTTAGGCAGTGTAAGCTTGGTTTGCCTTTGAGGTACGGAGACACTGGTTATAACAGATAATAATATTGTTTATTTCCTGTTATGCATCGCGGTATGGGGAATTGTGGAAATTAAGATGGCGACGACAGGCTCGAGCAGTCAGTGCCGAGGCCGCCTGCCACCCGTACATCACTTGGTGTTTGGGCTCTTAATTATGATACTTCCTGGAACTATCACATTTCCATTTGTACAAATGGTGGGGAAAGAGGAAAAAAGCTTCGAATTGAAGCTCCACGAGTCGTCCGACCCATGGCCAGTTGGTGAGCCAACAGTTTGTACAGCGGATGGCCACAAAAAAACATGCACAAAAAATACTAAGTAATGCAGTGATTGAAGTAACGGTAGAAAATTAATCTTAAAACCACAACAACTACAAAAAGGTTCAATTATGTACATTACAAATGGTCCATTTCGTAAAAATGTGCAATGGTGATCTTTTGGTTTCTAGCAGTATATTAATGTTTCTAAGGTGATCTAAAAGGCAGGGAACATATGTCAAAGCATTTGTTGCCCATAGTTAGATCTGAAGATGAGAGATTTAGTCAGTGCAGTATGACTGATTTGTTGCTCATAGCTCAGTAGATCAAAGATTTAGCCAGCGCAGTACGACTGTTGGCTTGGGGTCCTTAGAGAGGCAGTGCAACAACACTCAGTTGGAATGTTTTTTTATTTTACACGAGCCTACTGGCACGGTGGAACCCAAGTATACTCGCACGCAATGCCACTGGCCAAGAAACTCTTTTGATGCGGCATAATTTCGAGGATAAAAGCAAGCGTTTTCTTTCTGTCTCTCCTTTGCCAAACTCGATGACGTAGCTGCAATGTTGCAGTGTCGGCCTAGTCCCCCAGTGACAATATTTGAATGTGACTCGTACACTGGACCCAAGCATCGCGCGTGAGCATTCGATTTGGTCTAGCGACGATCGACACCTCGACGAGCATTCAAGTGGCGGCCCACATCCAATCGCTGCAGCAACGACGGTGGCCGAACTGTAATGAGGTCCGGAACTTGGCGTGTGTCGCATACTTTGCCGACCGCTGGGTGTAGCTAAAGTCAACATTGGGGCCATATAACTGATCCAGATCATGTGGCCACTTCTTCTGGCTACGAGTTGGAGGTGAACGCCGCTCGTGTTTCTTTAAATATTTTTTGGAGCTTCTATCGCGTTGGGTGAAAAATGAATGCATGCTTTATAGGTCATGAACGTCGGGGATTATTTCTAAACGGTATTTGCGCAAAATACAAAAATTGTTGCACCGCCCCTTTAGTGTGCGTCGTGCGGCAGTGACGTGCAACTGCACGCCGGTACGGCGCTCGTCCAGATCAAACGGGCAAAGTTGGGGACCGGATGCGGGATTCCCGGGTTCCGCTACGGGAGCTTCCGCTCCACGTGCCCCGAACAGCCCTAATACACTCGACCACCGAGCGTGTTACGAGGCTTGGCCTTAGGCTATCTTTGGGGCCTCGGGAAATACAAATAGGAATAATAAACCTGCAGACTAATCACTTTTTTTTTTTTTTCTGCACAAGGATACATTTTGAAGAATTTCGTCTGCTCTTTGAGTGCTAGGTTTCCAACCTTTTTTGTGACTAAAGTCCACCGAAAATATTGTTTATTCGTCACTAAGGGGCGATTCTTGCTTTGTGCAGTCCAATAAGGCAAGCTGTGACACAACACTGCACCGTGCTACAAAAAGAAAAAAAGAATTTCTGCATATTTTTGTTATTTTTGCAGAGGGAGGGGGAAGGAGGGTTGCAGCAAAGTTTGGCATGGTATATGCCTACCGTAAAATACCAAGGAAGCGCCCACTCAAAATTTGAAAATAATCGCGAAAAAATAGGGGATGGGCGCATCATATTTTTTTAGATGTTTCGAATATTTTGGGGGGTGGGCACTTAGCGCAGAATGGGCGGATGCCTGGTATTCTATGGTAGTCGCCTATATGTAATGCTTCCAAAATGAAAAAAAAAAAAAAAAACCAACTTAAACAACCACATTTGAAAAAAAAAACAATGATGTTAAGAGGTAAAACTCCCCCCCCCTTTGAACCATCCCCTCCAGGCCGTCGTGCCATCCTTCTCTTAATTACGTGTAACAACAACAAGAGGTGAAACAGGCCTAGGCACTTAGTCAACAGAAAACAAGCTGCATCTGGGTACAATCTGGCAAATAATGACTCGTAATTGGAGCGACACTACCGGTGAAATGCAGTAAAAATGGTGTCCTGAAGCTTCAGCCAACCTCGACGCAAATTACTGCAGACATTTACAATGCGGGGCACTGTTGCCACAAACATGACATCAGTATCTTTTTGCATTTTACTTGGGAAGGGCAGTGTTGGGAAGTATTTTAAGTACATTGTACACTTAAAGTACTACTTCAAGTAAGTATAGAATACTTGTACTTTACTTGAAGTACCTTTTTTGAGTATGTACTCATACTTTACTTTTTTGGAAGGCCAGGAAGGAAGACCAGCAAAGCTGTATTATGGTGGGACGACTTGAAGGACGACTTCTTAGACAGCCTCTAGGACGACGTCTAGGACGACCTCAAGGATGACTCTTAGGATGACCTCGGGGATGACTTCTAGGACAACCTCAAGGACGACCTCAAGGGCGACGTCTAGGACGACTTCTAGGGCGACGTCTAGGACGACCTGAAGGACGACTTCTAGGACGACGCCTAGAGAAATTCAGCCTTTTCACTCTGGTGAAAACCAGAGTGGAAAGGATGGAAAGCTGGCCACCATCTATGAGCGACGGTGGCAACCAGACAACTGGAAAGCTGGTTGCCTGGTTGCCACCGTCGCTCATCAATAGCGGTAGCTGTCCAGAGTTTTGTGTCGACATTTATTTGGTGAAGGACACAAAACTGGGGAAACTAGCCCTTAACAGCTCTGCTGTAAAAACTTTAGAGGGTAATGAAATTGTATCATGAAAGATTGTGCAAGTAAAAATACAATGTACTTGAAAGTACATTGCATTTATAGTACTTTACTTCAAGTACACTGCACCCAGCGTATGTAATACTTTACTTGAAGCACATAACCTCTCTTTCACTTTGTACTTTTCTTCAAGTACTTTTTTATATATACTTTGCCTAACACTGGGAAGTGCATTGGCAGACATGAAACTTTACTGCTTAGATTGGCGCCCCAGATGAGCACTTCCCGGCACTCTAGCACTTCCTACCACTCTTGATTGCATCAACAATGTCACACATCGTAAAACATAGCGTGGCACTATTAGCACAAACAAGTTCTTCTCTTGAATTCCTAAAGCTTTCATCAAAACCTTAGCTGAGAAGCGCCGACTTGGGGCACTATCCTAAGCGGCAAAATTTTGATGCCCACCCTTTCGAAGCAGGAAGCAAAACAGTGTCGACATCATGTTCACACTAAGAGCGTACACACAGTGTACACTGCAACAATTAAGCTACACAGGGGGTTTAGCGTTTCTCATTTAAACCTACAAACAAATACCGAATTCTCGGTGTTGTGCGTCAACCTCACTGTCCTTTGAAGATGAGGTATGGATTGTTTTCATTGTGCAGAACGGCTACAGTAACATCACGAGAGATGCCCCACCCCCAAAAGATAGCCCGCCCCCTATTTTTTTGTATGATTTGCTGTTGCTTTCGGAAACGCCGAAAGATATCCTACTTCTAGTAACTGCAGGACCCTGGCCAATGGTGACCTCGGCGAAAACGGTGTTACTTAACCACGGCGGGAAATAAGCAAACATTGCTGTCTGGGATGGTTCATTGCGCCTTCCTGCGATCACAAGTTTTGAGGGTTACAAAAATCTAAAACAAGCATTTTTTTTCAACTTTTGTTTTTTTTTTAAGCCACACCGAAAGTTAGCTTTTCCCTTATTTTCGTCCAATTTGCTATCAATTTTAGTTGGGCTATTTCTCGGGATATTAAGGTAGTTACATCTCAATATGGCATTCTCTTAGTTTCTATGGGAGGCAATGGACAAGGTTCAAGCATTACAACCACAGTTTTGTGAGTATATGTGAAGTATGCAGTACTTCGAAACATAATACCGGTAGTCTCTTGGTTCCCACACTTGACTGTTCTGTTATCATTTCAATGTTGCGCGTGCTCCTGAGAAAATCACTATTCTATTTCATGGATTTGTCTCGTTACATTTTAAACCCAGTCATAGTTTCCAGATTTTCAACCATTTCATATGGCAGCTGCATGCAAACTCCCTATGATAGCGCCTTGATAAACACGACCCCTTGTCAAAGAGACACTGACACCCCCCAAAACATATTTTCCCAAGCGATCCATTATGGTGTCAGAAGACTACCCAATCAACATTTTGCTACAGTGTCCCGTATATTTTTAGTAAAGTAAAAACATCGCAACCGAAACTGGACTGGGGAAGAAGAAACATAGAGGAGAAGAAAGATACCCAAAAATCATGTGGCAGTGCAACTTTTTTCTTTTTTCAATCAACGTGTTTGCAGTCTTTTAGAAGCCACAAAAAGTGGTTATCATATTTTTGTCCATTTCTAAATTCAGCGCGTGCCTTCGATGACCCACGACTTTGATTATCTTTGGTGGTTGTGTCTAAACCATAGAAAATGGCATGTGACCACGGAGAAGAGAGTGAGCACAACTTAAACCGGCGAGTTCTCGATCGGCGGTTTTCGGGCTGAAAGAAAACGAATTTTGAGCCGCAAACTGTGTTCTGGGTAGTCAGGCTGTCGTATGTCACGTACAAATAAAAACCTTGGCGAGCACAAATACCCTGCGAGTGTCCCTTTAATATTCATCCAGTGCCCACAAAACCACCTTTGGACAAATGGTTAAAAAAAAAAGAAAAAAAAAAAACCTTTAAAATGCAAAAAAAAAAAAAAAAAAATATTTACTACAAAAATTATGGCAAATTAAAAAAAAAAACAAAAAAAAAAAAAAAACCATTATTTAGATATAAATGTGCACTTTTAAATGCCTCACTCTTCGAGGAACACATTGGCGCAGCCATTTACAGACTTTTCACTTATGTCCATTTATGTCAACACAACCCCCAGCCGCTCCTACACACCTTTCCAAGGAACACTCAAACCCAGGGGCAACAAACCGTTTTCGAGCCCAGTCACTGGGTTTGAAGCTACAGTTGCTGCTAGCGGCAAAATTCTCGTCTTTTCTCGCTGTATTTTGTGTTTCATGGTGTATGTATTTTCTCGAGGACATTGAGAAAGCGTTGTACCACAATTAAATTTAAAAAAAGAAAATATTGTAAACTATTTTTGCTGGGTGCGCGTGCGACAGAATGAATGCGACTGGAATGTTAGTTTGTTTGTTTTTTCGATAAGTTTTGATGAGCATCAGCAACATGGCGGCAGCCTAGGAGCATTTTTTGGAAAGGTGTATAGATTGTGAGAAACACCCGCATCAATGAGATATGCAGAAATTCTTGATGCCGCTATATTCCATGGAACTACTATGGATACTATAAGAATACCTCACCGATTCTTCCGTCAGAAACAACATCAACCACACCTGCGGCCCTCGCAATGAGCTACGGAGATTAGTTGGACACATTGTTTTGCTCGAATCTGTTTTTCCACTCGTCACTAAACAAATGCCATACGCAAAGTTGGTCGACAGAAATATTTCTGTTGACTATTTGAAAACACTTCTCTGTTGCGTTTCAATGTATATGTTTGCCTTTCAAGATGTACCTTTTTCTTTGTTTTGTTTTTCGATTATTTTTTGTCTCTTTCGCAGCACATGGACCGAACTACTGCTTTGGTTTTCTGGGGGTCTGTTACTGCAAACACTGACTTAACAGTTCAGTTGGAAAATCAAGAAATGACCTTGTCAGGTTTTTTTGTTTTTTTTCACAAGTTTAGCTTTTCTGCCACGGCTCCTTATTAACAGGTGGCTAGCTCTCCTCAACAATAGTCTCGTATCAGCACACTACAAACAACTCATATTTCAGGCCTTCAGGCACGAAGACTTACACACGAGGGCACATGCTATACGTCTTTCAAAGATTTTGTTCAGGTTTTCCCTGCCTCTAGAGTTGCAGTGAGGATCAAGGAACATACCTTATTCGAAGCCTCTTGCCTTGACTTGAGCTGCTGCAAGTACTCAGCCTCTGAGGAGGTTGAAAGCAGAGAGCAGTAAGCCAGTTGAACTATGCATCGTGACTACAGTCTATTAGAACTATGCATCGTGACTACAGTCTATTAGAACTATGCATCGTGACTACAGTCAATCAGTTGAACTATGCATCGTGACTACAGTCAACATTAGAAAAGCAAGAAAGGCTCCCCCACAAAGCCTTCCACTTTTCCCACTTTAGCAGAGTGAACGCTGGAGAGAAGGGAACCACCAATCCTGACAAGCGGAGAGCTTTGTGGGAGGGGCTTATCCTGCTACTCTTAAAGGCCAACATACCACTTCGCGCCTTCTACTTCTGCCCACCTCCGCCTTTCCTATATCCTCTCCACTCTTTACCTTGCCCCAACTTGGCTCCCCTCGCACCTTACGAGGGGGGAGCGCTAAGTTGATTATCTTCCTTTCAGAAAACCAAGGTTGTACGTCGGCCTTTAACTTGCAATAGATTATCGGCATGAACAAAGAATAAGCAATGTTCAAGTCCTTACCGTCTTTTTCCATTTTGTCTGCGTCGTATCTCCCCAGGTGGAACTGTTGTAGAACGATCTGAAATTGACGATTCTATGACACTCGTTATTATTGTGACCAAGAGCTAAGCGATACAAAAACAGCCACGCATGTCCCACTTAGCAGACACTGTGAAATGAAGCCCTCGCTGCACAGTTTTTGTCGGGAACAAACATGCTCCCCTAGTCCAAGACAATTAACCAAGTAACTTATTCCCTGCTCCCTGCATGGTCTTGGCAGGGAATAGCAGTGTCTAAATGCTAAGGGAGACACTACCAGGCCACGATAGTGTGTGTTTTACCTTGCTGGGCTGGTTTTCTTCGTGGTATTGCCTGATGCTCCTTCCATGACACAGTTCATACGTCCAATACTGCTCCAACTGCAAAAACGTTGAATGCTATTTCATGCGACAGCTTTGCAATCCTGAAGTGATCCGTGCCTCCACTGGCCCATTCCACTACCTATGCACACTTAAAAACAAAAGAGCAAACAGCGTAGTCACACTGACAAGAGTTACCAGAACCCCCAGTTTGCCTTACTGCTTTTGTAACAAACTAAATGTATAGTGTGTCTGCAATGAATCCTAGCGCCGTAAAATGTGCTGAGAAAAACGGCACCTGCACATAAAGAGTTCAAAGTTTCATTGAGTGTACATTTAGTGTGTGTCATCTGCTCACAGCATCTATTGGGAGATGGCGCCAAAAATTACAACCATTGCTAACTTGGTTGTCTACAAATATGTCTGACATTGAACTTGGCAAATTTGTTGGTATCATTTTTCACAGGACGAGCTACACCTTAAAATTTCACCAGGTAAAACGCACTACTTAAATGCACATTTGGTGAACGTTTGAGCTTTCTACGTACACATGCAGATCTTCCCGGCTCGTTGTACAGTGCTAGGATCCATTATAGACGCCCTAGGCATGAACATTTCGACGCCGCACCACTCTTCTACAACAAACGTCGATGCAGAATCTCGATACAAATAGAGCTGGTTTGAATTGACACGCACAGCTAGATGCTTATGATATACAGAGGTGCAAATTAATGCATATTGTGTAGCTTACTTTATATGAACAAAACATTCTTGTGAATAATGGCTTCAGCAGCATCAATGGAGACGGTCCTGTGTATGGGGTCGAGCGGTCAGCATCCTGCAACATAGCAGTGTAATACAGGACTAGGAAACGAGGTATGATAGACAGACTTTCTTGCTACCGTAACAAAACGACGTCTCACCGTTTTTGAGGTCAGTGTCTTTGGAAGCATGCATTGGTATCGTTCATTGTCCGCAGATACAACCCATAGCGACTCCTGATCCTCCTGCTAAAATCGACAAAAAATATGTACAAACAGCAGTGTTTTATAAGTTTCTTTACGATTGACATCCGATTCAAGACAGATCACACATCTATCTGTAATGGGCTGTAGACATTACAGCAAATGTAATTTTCGGCAAGAGCAGCAATAAAAGCAAACAATGTAGCGGGGGAAAAAAAAGAAAAGAAGCAAAGTGCACAGACATTAGAGAAATTGGACAAGCAATAGTGTACAAACAAGCCTCTTCAAATCAGACGACTCGAGACAGATCACACATCTATCCGTAACCAGCTGTAGATGTAACCGTGGCTAAGCGTAACGACTTTAAAGGCGTACTTAAACGTAACATCGAATCTCTCAAATGCAATTTTCAGTATCATCAGCTATGAGATCAGGCGTAATGTAGCACGTAAAAAAACCCAAACCGTAAAGACGAGAAAAAAAATCGCTGCGCAAGTTTTTACGAACAAAAATTTAGGTGTGCCAGTGCGTTAGTGTTGCCTATACATGGCAAAAAGTACCTGGGACTCGAGTTACAGATAGACGACTGAACACAAGCACGGGGGTTTATTTTTCTTACGTGATTGTTTGTTTTCCTTACTCGAATGACTGACCTTAGTTAAATCTGGCTGATCGCTCGCTAGTCTCCCATTGCCTATGTCGTCTGCTGTGGATCCAGGCCAGTTGATGCTAAACATGAGCGAATCGTCGATGTGTTTGAGGTCGCTTGCCGCTCCGGTGAGGTGAAGTAACGTGTACAGGAAGACGGGTGCATGGTGTAATCTGCAAATAAACATGGCTCCTCCGAGACTATCCGTTAAGTTCGCAGCAGCACCAGAATTCAGATTGAAGACACATCAGCAGGTGTTTTGTCGTCTGCGGAGATTACATTGCTTCCCGTACGTCGCTAGCTCATACCTCCACCGCACAGCCCAGAGCTAGCGCCTCTCCAGCTGGCAGAGTGGGAGCTGTGGCTGCTTGTTACTATGGTGAGGTACGTGCGTGCTTACTGTTAATGGCATGTTTCAGAGGCAACCACGAGGGCTAAAATAGCGCTGTAGTCAAACACAACAAAATAGTTATTAATGCGTTTTTTATATATTTTACATGGCGTTTCATAGTGTGCAATTATTTATTGTGTGTGTTTTCCTTATAATAATACATTTTGTTAATGCATATGTATGTGTCTCGACCGTCTTAACACCATTTTTTACAGAATGTTTTGACTTCAAGTAAGTTTCCATTTTCAAGTTCGACAAATACAGAACCGATGTTGCCTCACTGAGAGAATCGAATATCTCTGAAGCCGACTCGCACCAAAGGTTGTGGTGCACGCATTTATCTCCCATTGGACAGTTTCGGGGCAATAAAAAGTATTTAAATGTAGGTATTGTTACTACTTTTTCAAATTTTATTTTAAGTTGATAATTGCAGTCAACACCATAGTGTTTTGTAACGTTTCAAAAATTCTAAAGGCGCAAAATTTTGTTATTTTGTTTTTATATTTTTATTTAGTGTTGGCGGAGGAGCACATTATTTTCTGCTGTACATCTTTTCCGTTTTTGCATCGCTTTACGAGTCTTCCGAGAAAGAAAAGAGTGCAATATTTTTATTGTGTTTTCTTGTTATATCAACGTAACACACTACATTTCTGATCGACCAAAATACTTGATAGATACGTAAGTTTTCTAACGAGTTAGTGTAACTGCGCCACATCGCCAAACGGACGATCGAGGATGCTGCACAAAAAAGAACGCTTTTCGAGATTCGCGCCACAGATGGCAGACGGTTTGAAGTGTACCAAGTGTTTTTGTTTGTGTTCCCGTAGACGCCGTTCGGCGTGAAGTTTAAAAAATGTTCTTTGTGTCCGTGATCAGCCTACTGTCGTCACTAGGATTACCTCAGCTACGGCCGGTAAGCCCAGCGTCACTCTGCCACGAAGAATGCGTTGGAACCCGCTGTGGAACGTTCCATTCGTCTCGTTTAAGGTCTTGCTCGGGTGAACATGGAACCTCAATCTTTACGTTGAAACGCATTGACGTTTAAAAGTGATGAATTCTGTTTGGAACGTGGTGCAGTATTGAACACAGCCATGTTCTTAGAATCATTTAGATAATTGAGTGTGTTCGGCTCTGAGCCTCTTACCAAATCACCTCGATTCTCACCGGTACATTTCACTCATCCAAGTTCCTTTCACATACAGTTCTGGGAGTGGATGATGATCAGAACCTCATTAGGACAAACTTTATGGAAATTAGCTATGGTCGCTGACAACTTATGGAACACACGGCGTGGTTTATTATGGTAATATGTTCTGAAGCTCATTCGTAAGGAAGGTCTTCATCTCGTATTGTGTGAACACAGATGTCAAACTACAAACCAAAAGTCTTACCTTAAATTGTGCGTAAACCCTTTAAAAAAATAAAATTGGGCGATTAAAGATGGGAAAAAAATGTTTATTTACGTCAATGCAAATTATGCATGCATGGAAATGGACTTAGCCGTGCAGGTCCTTGTGGAGAAAGTTTGTTTTCACCAATTGGAAAATTCGCCACATGATTGGTTATATAGGGTGTCTGAAATACCGAGGCTCGATTTAAAATGGGCCTTAAAATCGGTGCCTGCAAGTAAAAAATTAAACTTTTCGTCAAAGGTGTGTTTCATAGGTGGGTTTTATCTTCTTAAATTACAAAGCGTAGCTCCCTTTCTGCAAAAAAGAAATAGACAACTTGTCAGGATCAGTAGCGGACGGCGACTCGGACGACCAAGTCCAGTGGCAAGGTGCGTTTGGCGCACGTATTGATAGACGGTGCTACCTCCTTTTCGAGGCTGCTCGCGACGACCGTTTAATTAGTATAATCTTTTTGTAATGAACCTTTGGTTTAAAAATAAATGTGGGCGATGAGAGCAAAACTGGAAGTAACAAAAATAAAAGAATACTCTGTTGTATATTGACATCACTCTTGCTGCCGACAAATTTCGTCTGCTTGTCTTCCGCTTCCGTTCACTGATTGGCTACACCTTCTGACACTGCTCCCGACGCCATCTATCAATATGCGCGCCAACTGTGTCCCGCCACTCGACTCTGTCGTCTCCGTCGCTGTCTGCCGCTGATCCTGGCAAGATTTTTGCTCCTATTTCTTTTTTACAGGAAGGGAGCTACGCATTCTTTTTTCAAGGTAAAACCCACCTGTGAAATACACCTTTAAAGAAAAGTTTAGATTGCATGTGCAGGCACCGATTCTTACGGCCCATTTTAGATCAAGCCTTGACATTTCAGACACCCTATGCATGCGTTGCACATGGCATCATATGTCACCGTACCAGGTGCCATGGCTCTGTACCATGCTCCTGTGCCTGTACCTTGTGCAGCATACATATGGCACCTCCAAATTTGTCTTCTCGGCAAGGCTTGCCAAGAAGAGCAAATTCGATGGTGCCAAATGTATGCCGCAGAAAGCACGAGCACAGGAGCATGGTCCAGAGCAATGGCGTCCGATGTGACATCAATGTGAGCCATGTATTATACAATTTATTCTTCAAAACACACCTTTTATACCTATAAAAATGCTGAAAGGCTTTATAAAGTATCCCTTTACACCTAAAGGGATGCTGAAATGAAAACTGAAATATACCTCTTACATTCGGAATTAAGTTAATTATAATCAACAACTGTAAATGAAAATAGCATGTTTGTACATGGAACGGATGGCCATATTTTTCGTTCCAAACGACCGGTTCTAGCGAGCGCTCGAAGGGCAGCCATTGGAGAGCGCGTTGCGTCAAGGGAGACTCTGCACGTTCGTGACTTCAAGCTTGGCGTGGCTATGTGCTGCGCCACTTGGTGGCGTCAACGCGTTGCAACCCAGCCGATTGAGATGCCCAAGGACTGGTTGGGCAACGCTATCGGAGGCACAAAAGTTACTCACCTGTGCCCAAACCCCACGGACCTCCTCCTCTTCTCTTACTCTCCCCCTCTCCCCACGGGAGGTGGACAGACCCAGTGGGTGCGGGACAGAAATGAAATCTGGTTCGGCCAATTTCTACGGGGAGCGCACTCGCGTAGCTTGCCGCCAGACTTTTGTGCATCGGCGCTATTTGATTGGATTATTGACATAACGGCATTCGATGAAGCCTTGGGAACATCCACCAGGTGCAACCTGGTATAATTGTTTTATTTACTTTAAGCAGAGTTTTCGAGACTTTCTGAACAAGAAATTAGTTTCTTTGTGGTGTTGCCACAACATGGTTGACATTTAGACAATGAAAAAGGCTCTAGAATATTGTTTCTATATATTGAAGGCTCCCCATCATTGTGACAAATTAAAGACTCCTATTTAAATTGTTTAATTGTGGTTTAGTAAATAGACCATTTTTTGTTTGCACTTTGTGACCTGTAATGCTTACTGCTGTAATCTGTACAAATGTTTGCTTAGCTCGTGTGTACAGAACTTACTTCCTGGATCCGGCTCTGTGCGAAGACGATGCTCGCTTCTGTTTATTCAGACAATTCTGGAAGGCTCATATTACGTACCACAAGCAATGACAAACATCTTCCATCTGTTTCGAATTCCCTCGATTGCCATGCATAAATAGGGGTTCTTTGTTTAGGGGTAAAAGCCATTTGTACCCGAAATTCATATCTGGATTTGATTCTTTCAAAATTGGGGTAAGCTCAGTTTCTCCCCAAATATTAGAAAAGAACATTGCCCTTTGTTTTTCAAGCTATTTGGAGATGTACAACCGAACCATAGTACCATTTTTAAATAAACCACCTAATGTCAGTCAGAAATTCCAGCTAGAATAATTTCGTCTTAGGAATAGAAATGTGGGTTTTGTAATACACCTTTGCAGGAAATTAAGCACAGCTTGTTAATTTCAAAGAAAAAAACCTCGATTTTAAAAAGATTTTGGTCAAAACAAAAAATAACTTGGACATTCAACCTTTTAAAACTTGCTATATATAAAAACAAAAAGCAAAGAACTCTCCACATGAGCAGCGTTTGCTAAGGCAAGTGCCAGCATTGTCTAAAACCTTACTTCATGAAACGTTGTGCGTGGAGCTTCCATCAACGAAGCGTCGTCCTCTAAATGAACGCTGACCGTTCCCCGTCACCGAGTGTCCGACGTAAGGGGCAAAAATACCGGGCTGTAATTTTACCATACTCCATTTGACATTACGGTGGACCCATCCCAGCCAGTCCAGCGAACGTATCACATGACTATCTCGAAAGTCGTGTGACATTCGTACGGCATTAGATTGGTTTCGATGGCTCCTAGCATCCTCCAAAATCTATCGTAAGGTGAAACAGAGTACAAGTAGATGCTGCCCGGGCCTTGGTTCTGCCAAGATGGCGGCCGTCGCGAGGAGCAACTGTGCCTTACCGTCACCGGTTCACGCGAGTCCGAGAAAGGATGCGTCGGTACTGTCTCCGCTAACGGTGCTGTACAGGGGTGTGTTTTTATTTCCTTCAGATTTGGTCGGTCTACAGTGCTCGCACAGCCTTTATTCCTCTGCACAGGACGCACTGAAAGAACACAGAGTTGCAGGGACTCCAGCACAACCCCAGGGAACACAGTGCTGGAGTCGACTTCGTCGCAGGTTGCTCACACACATCGAGAAAAAAACATGCATCTACACGGGCTCATGTTCTCACATGTACACTCGGAAAGATCCTAGCAACCCTGAAAAGGGGGCCTTAAAAAAAAACAAAAAAACTTTTGATCTGGTCAGTGCGCTCACCCGGCCTGCAGTCAACAAACAAGCCTGTGGAATATTTTGGGTCGTTTTCTGCATACTTCACAACATCAACAACAATTGGAATGTCCATAGTATGCGGACAATTCTTTTTTTTTTCCTAGTTACCAAGCTGCCTAGGCACAGTTCTAAGCGCTGGCGTTCGGTTGATACTCTTGGCGTTTCGTTTCGCCGCCTGCCTTCGTTTTTGAAGCGGTTGTGTTTCTGCCGAACCTGATGACCTAAGGATGTGGGGAGCTAGCACCAACTCGATGGTGCCAAGTGGTGGTTCGGTTACTCATAAGTTGGATGCCTAAATTAACAAGGTGAAAGTTAAAAAAAGAAAAAAAGTTGCAGAAACCAGTAGGAAGAACTCAGAAAAAGACATGGTAGCCATTAGCAGTACCATTTCCTTGTGAACATTACTCGTGTTGAAACATAAAGTGAGGTGGGAGAGGAGCATACCTTTTCCTTTTTAACGCATTAAAGGAGGAGCTCTCCCCCGTTTCACTGATGCAGTCCGATGTCGAAGACTTCAGCACATATGTTGGCGTAGATCAGTTGAAAACGAAAGCACGAAACGCACAGAGTCCCTATGTGTTTTGCGCCTTCAGTCTCCCCGGCCTAACGCTCTACTGTCCGCTCGTAAGATGAGCAGATGGCACGGCATTAATCGAATGCGAAGCGTCGCCATTTTGGATTTCACTTCATTCTTGTGGCAAAAAAAGGTTTGAAACCGTGTTTAGAAGACCCAGGCTTTTCAGGAAATAAAAAAATAAATGCAACATTGTTTCACACAAGACACAAGCAATATCTCGCTTAAAACCGTGGCAGCGTCTTGCACTCGGTAGCAGCGAAACAACCCCCTGTCGCAGGTTTAGAATGACAAGTCCCTTCAACGAAGCTCTCTGCTCGTCACGACTGGTAGTTCACTCCTCTCCACCCACCTCCTCCCCAGCTTTCACTCTTGCTAAAGCGGAAAGGGCAGAGTGCCTTGTGGGAAGAGCCCCCGCCCTTCTAGACCAGCAAGAGACTTTAGCAGAGCTGTCTGCACGACCTCCATAAAAATTCAAAAGGGAATGTCGCTCGCAAGTCTAAATTGTGGCAATTAAATGGCGCAGAAGTAAGGGGTGCCTTCCATAAATACAAAGTGAAATGTAACAATTCTCACTGCAGTTTCACATTTCATCCAATGAAAAACTATAGCCCTAAGCAACGGATGACAAGCTAGTTTGGGGAGTATCACTGTCGTTGCAAACACATCTCTATATTCCTTGTTCATAGACCGTCGAAAAGCATTCCATAGTAACATCAACAAGATAACAGCTCTTTTTTTTTTTTTGTACTTGAAACCTTACGGTCATTTCACCCGGTCACGTAAAGAAAACAAACATCCATAAATGCAAGTATAGTAAAGAAAAAAAAAAAGAGGGTGTAAAAATGTGCGCCTTTGTAAATAAGATATCCCTTGGGACAACACGTCTCAGAGCTGCACGAGATAGATGCGGCATACACACGCCCTTGACTAGAAGTGACCGGCTCATAACAGGAAAGTAACGTGCAGAAGCAAACCAACAGCACAGCCATCAATAGTATGTACACAAAAACACCGCACAATGTAACGCGACGTGCAGCCAATGCAACGAAGGCTCTGTGTGGGCGTGTCTACTTCGTCGTCGGAATTCGGTTTTGGGCCAGCACGTTTGCCCCGTCTCGCTTCTTACATTGACAGTTATCAAGGGGAAGGATCGCACAAACTGAATGCACCGTTGTTCACAAAGAACGGAGCCGCACTCTGCTTTTGGGAAGTATAAAGGCTGCGCGCTTCGAAATGTAGGCGCATTGGTACGCGCTCGTCGTCTCAGCACGTTGAGAGTAACCGTGGGCAGCGAGCTTGTTATTGCATATTTTGCTGCCAGAGTTGCTCCGAGGTTTTTACAGAAGACCGACAATGTTAGAACTTTTTCTTTTTAGATTTTAGTCTTTGAAAAGCGGACGTAGCCCCCGGTTTTCTTTTAACACTGCGTGCAGGCTTTGCCAATGTACCCATTAGCAGTTCCTGTTTCCCTTCTTCAAGCAGCATTCATTTTGAATTCTTGCATGTGAACCTAGTGCAAAGGTACTGGTGTGTATGTGCGACCTCCATTGTTTTATCTAGAAGCGGTACCGTACTGCTGTAACAGCATAACATGCAGTGGGCGTCAGGAAGGGGTTAAGGAGTGCACTGGAACCAAGTTTCTCTGCAATGCACGCTAAGTTAAGGAAAACAAAACCTGCAGGTCTTAAACGTCCCAGAGGTCTTCCTCGTTCGCTTGAACACTTTGTTTGAAGTAACGTGTCTTGTGCCTCCGCAGGCCCAACACACACATCCACGCGCCTTCTTGACAGATTGAAGCCACAGCATCATTGTAAACTGCAGGCAGAAAGGAAACGGTCCTCCGAGGTTGCCACCAATTGAAGAAAGCCGTTACCCGACGTCCGGCGTAGTTGCACAGGCACACGGAACACGCATTTAAAACAAGCTACATATCCAGCAAATTCACCGAGAACAAAAAAAGAAAGGAACCAGGACCACCCCTCTCTCCCCAGCGTGCCCGAGCGAGCAACGTCGACCGTAGCAGCCGGAAGTTGAGCAGACACCACTTGGACGTCACCTACACGAAGGGACACGCAGCACCGGAGGAGCAAAGAGCGCACCGGAGACTTTTACGGCCAACGCGAGAGGACCAAGCCACCGACAAGGCGCTACGGATTTGCCGACCGGCGACCTCGGCACTTCCGTCCCGACTTGCTTCCCAATCGTCCCATTCGTCGAGATCATTCCTCCGCAACCGTCGTCGCCGAGAGCTCGGAGGTACACCCCTTTCCAGCACCGTCGTTCGTCTTGTCTCGCGAGTCTGCCTCGTCCTTCCGGAGGAGTCTCTCTAGCTCCCTTCTGTCACCTCATTGGCACGTTCAACTCTTGACGTATCGGGGTCGCGAAAGGCCGGCACGTGGCTTAGTCGCTGTCGCTGTCCGCGGCGGTCGCGACAGCCGCTGCGGCGGGTTGCGCGGGCTCGAAGCTCGCTGACTGCGCAGCAGCGGTGGCCGCAAGGTTGGAGATTTCGGTCTGCGAGGGCGGCACCTCCCCCGTCTGCAGCTCGAGCTCGACGCGGTACTCGTGCTTGGAGAGGTAGCGTACATACTTCTCCGGCGGGTTCTCGTTGGAGACAGAGATGGAGCGCACGGTGGTGTGGGACACGCTCGTGGCCGGCATGGTGAATTCGACGTCGACGTGCGTGCCAAAGGACTCCGGGATCTGGTCGAATGACGTCAGGTCCAGCCGCAGCAGGAACAGGTGTTGCGTGTAGGCACCTGTGGAGGTGCGGCATTGTGTGACGGAGAGTCATGCCCTGCTCGTGACGGTTGTTGCGTCGGCGGACCGGGCAACTGTGGACTCTTTCGCCGACTTTCACCGAGAAACTGAGCTTGTTGGGAGCTCTGGGGAAGCTAAGACTCTTGGGCGACTACACTAATCGTGTAAGGCACGAGCCACAACCTCTACGCCAGCCTAGGGCCCTAACGCATCCACTGTCCCGAGGCCTGCGGCACAAAGTTTTATCAATGAGGCCAGGACTATTGGAGAGGAGTTCCAACCACTACGGCTCTAGTGGCTAAGCTCAGAACTAAACCCACGGAGACAACCAGAACGTGAATTATTTGCTTATGTTTCTGACGCAGCGCTAGGGTGATGCAGCCAATTGCCGATGCGACACTCCTGTTCAGCGTGTGCCCTGTACTCGATCGAGGAAGACGACATAAAGAACCCGGTCCACGGGCCTTTTGTTTTGGGTTAACACGGAGCTACGTGGCAACTGAGCTGGACAAAAAATAAGGCCCCTGCAGACCAACATGCCGTTTGCAAACAAGCCCGTGCTCGCCCACATGGAATGTGGGCACGGCGTGTGCGCAAATATTAAATTTGCTCGAGGTGAAGTGTCCGCACATGTGCCACGTAAGAGATGTCAAGGGCTCTAACCTAACCATCGGACAACCGTCGAGCCCGAGGCCCCCCGGCCAAAGGAGCGGGACGGGGAGGAACGCACCTTGGCCCTCCTTGGGAAGACGTGGGATGCGCCAGACGACCGCCCTGTAGGCGTGCTCGTACTTGGCCTGCCCGGTGGACACCTCGATGAGGCTGGTGTCCAGCGGCTGGGCTGCCCCTATGATCCTCTCCAGACCCTGCGTGGGGAGGCCGTCACCGTCTCCTCGGCAAACACGAACACTCCCAACCTTTCGCTGCATCGGCACCTCCACCGGTAGTCTAGAGCGTCTACTTTCCCTCAGAGCACTCGGGAGGGCCAATCGCTGCATTCCACAGGGTAGCTCGGCAAAAAAATGTTTTTTAAAAAAACAATCTTATTTAGTACTCTGTGACACAGAAAATAACGCTTGCACAGACTGTTTTTTTTTGTTTGTTTGTTTGTATGCATGCATATAAGCGTATTTTCTGCCCCGTCATTTTCCCGTAAGTCGTAGCAACTGGTTCTCCCGGGTGTTTTGCAGGAAAGCAGACATGACGGATTTCTTGCGGCAGGAAAGGCCCAGTTGCGCAAGTCCCCGAATCACTGTATTGTTTCATCCGCCGCCGTCCACGGGGGGCAAGCCGAGCCAATTTGAACCGAGTCGACGTCGAAACACGCGCGGTAAACGGACGTGTGACGGGGGACAGCACCTTTATCTTGCCGGGCTTGCGGGCGGCGGACTTGAGGGCCCCGTAGCGGAAGTGCTTCTCGACGCGGAACAGGTAGACCCAACACTCGGGGATAGGGAAGCGTATCTGGATGTCCTCGCAGGCCACCTGGCCGTGCTTGCGGCTGTGGTAGCCTGGCACCAGGACGTCCCCGCGGAGCTCCACGTGGCGTGGCGACACTTGCATCACCACTTTGAGCTGCGAGACAAGACGCGGCAGTTAAATTGGGTGTTGGGGGTAAAGGCCGGTTTACACGTCTGCATTTGACCGCGATTGACGGCGCTACGATCACGTGCGACAGCTCAGGACGAAGGTACGCTTTGGCCCTTTGGCGCCATATGTCGAGGAGTCCTACACCCCTTTAAATCTGCACATTAGTTGACCGAAGATTTCTGCAGCATTTGCAAGATTGAATCTATGCACTATCTATGAGGTGTGACCTTTTATAACATTTTCAGTATTATTTTGAGCTCATGGTGAGAAAGAGACTCGTAAAATAGGGAGTTTTAGAATAACATACGGAATTTTAGCGCACACTAGCGCTAAATTTAGCGCTTGTGTTAGCGCAGGCTACGCAAGAGTGGTTTGAAATAGCGTTTCTCCGCCACAACGCAAAGCCCAAGCATCTCGCGCTTGCAACACCACTAAGATGCAGTAACAATTTTTATTTTACACACGAAATGTTGTAACTTGAGAAAAAAAAATTTTCTTTTGTTTCAGAGTAACATTTTAGATTTGTTTAAATATGAGAATGCGACGGGAGCAGTCGACCGGTCATGTCCGCTTGCGCAAGGCTTAACATCGCCTCGGCAGGCGAGGTCTCGCGTGCTGAGCTTGGCACACCGTGCCTTCGCCGAGAAACGTTAAAGCGTTGCAAGCAGCAAGTTGCCGGCGATCGTTGCCCACCTTGCTGGGTCTTTTAAAATGTTTCTGACGTGCACATCTCATAGGAGTGCAATGTCATCCTGAGTTTATAATCGCAGTTGCAAGGATGCCGCCGACGTCACCAAAGCAGGCGAGCTGAGGTCCTGGGAGCCGCCATTTTTTAACTGTGCTCGTCTTAGGTTTAGCCAACTTCTCATCACGAATCCTCTGAGGAGGAGTGCAAAGACTCTTTGTGTATGTACGCAATTTCTGAAAAAAAGCACGCACAAAGCAGTGTTTGGCGCACGAGCAGTGTCAACGAAGCTATTCTTTGCGTACGCAAAGCTTTAGCGTGCGCTATTCTAAAACTTCCTTATATACACGGACGCGAAGCATTCCGTGGCTACTCATTAGATGGCGCCAGTGTGTCACCTCGTCGTTAGCCTCCTAGATTGAAGAGATTGTCCACCTTGGACAATGGGGAGCATTTGTAATTTAATGGCGAATGCCTCCTGCGGAGATGGGTCGCAAGTGTGCACATGCCGCGTTTTCGCATGGTGAGGAAAGGCGGAGACAGTTGCAAACGATCGGCGCTCTCGTCGCCTCCTTGCAGCTCGTATGGCAAACGCAGCCCGTAAACCACGCGACCTCGATCGAGCAGTTGGAAACTCTCTGTAACACAGACTCTCTACCCATCTCAAGTCCTCACAGGCGGTAGTAGCATCGTCGATGAGAGTCGAGCAGAAATATGTGTACCAGCATTACCGCACGGGTATAGCAAACATTATCACATCAACTTGGTTGCGGGACTCTTGCGGAGGAGCGAACCTCCTCTCGCTCCCAGGGCTGCCACCTGTTCATTTGAAGTGCCACCTAGAGGCTGTGCTACAAAATGGTATTCTTGGGAGTGGCTACAATGTGGTGTGCCCTCTAGATGGTGCGCTTCAAAACCTCCGTGTTCTACCGAGTTGCCGTAACGGCCGGCTCCAAAACTCTGGCGCTTTGAACGACGGGGGGGCGGACCTTTGGGGGAGAGGAGGGATTCTTCGTGCGGAAGAAGTGTCTATAGACAGTTTTTGCAACCGAGTTGCACTATTGACCTTGAGTGTGGCTTACTTGCAGTGGCAGCTCCCTTGCCCTTGGTGGCCGAATCCTGAACCGCATGAGTTCAAATAAACAAGCATCCGGGGGATGGAGCCTGCGAAAGAAGAAAGCTATGAATTAATTTCGGTTGCGGCGCGAAAAGCGCCGTCACATCATTGTTCACTCCGTATCACTAAGGCTAGGATACGTCGACATGTTTTAGTCATTCGAGCTGGACCATCTGGGCAGTTGCAAACTTCTCTGAGGTTCCAGTTTGATGGTGCAAATATAGCAAGGTGTTCAGAACTTTGAGTTCAAATGTTGTGAACTTTACTGTGTTTACCAAGTTTGAACTTTATAGACTGTTAGCCCTCTGTTTCAAGGTGTAGGCTATATTCCATTTCACTCTAACTGCAAGCGTAGCAAAAGCCACAAGAGCGAGCACCAGACTTTCAACGACCCTGCCAGGCACGCACGCTTGTGCTGTGTAAGCAAGTGTGTAAGCACACACTTGTGCTCGTAGCTTCAGCTTTGCTCATGCACAAAGTGAAACTAGCTAGAGCCCTGTCTGGGGTCCTAAAGTGAAAATTGGAGTAGAAAAGCATCATTCTCAAAAATTCCTTTGCCACTAAATGTGTAATGGGTAAGATTCTACTCGAAACCCAGAAACTACAAACTAAAAAATAAATAAATACATATTTCAATTTTTGATTTTCTGGTCAAGGTTCAAATTATTTCACATCAGTTGACTCTTCATATACCCGAGTTCAAAATGAAGTAGAACCTTTCATTCTGAAAGAATAAAGAAGGAAGTTAAGACTATTAAATTGCATTTTAAATGTAATTTGCTTCATTGAACACCAGACAAAAGGTCCTTGCCAAAAAGAAATGATTCATGATGTATCAGTCACTGCTAAGAACCTGATTAGAGCAGTGCATAGTATTTGCGATAATTTACTTTTTAAAATATTTTTTTGGCAATTAACGCTTAATCATCCGAAGTTATGGACCAGTGATCGATATATCATATCCATCTCTTTTCAGTGTGACACATAGTTTTCACAAGAAAATTCTGGCCAGCACCTTGTAGAAATGCTGCCATACGTGACAGACGTTTACAAATATCTGTAATGTGAAATAGAGCGCAGCTCATAGAGCGCAGCTCTTGAGGTATTGCAATATGCCGTGCTTTGATTTTGTGATATGCCCTCCTAAAGAATTTGAGAAAGAAATATATATGCACAAATATAAACCACTCTCCACACATACTGCTTCTCCTCCATATCCCCTCCTCCTCCTCCTTACCCTCCCTTCCTCCTGCATACCCTCCCCTCCTGCATACCCTCCTCCTCCTGCATACCCTTCATCCTCCATACCCTCCCCTCCTCCATACCCTCCCCTCCCCTCCTCCTGTTACGCCAATGCCAACGCCGCAAAACACAGGAACGAGCGCCTAAGAGCTGCGCTCTAAAAATCATAGCGAGTTATATTTGTTTTATTGTGGCGGAAACATACAAATCCTCCGATATTGGGTAGAGAGCGTAGAGTGGTGAATATATACTTTATATCTTTTACATAGCTAGCACTTTTGGGGAGGAAAGGGGAAGGGTGGGGTTGGTGCCATGGCCGTGGTTTCTACGGTATAAAACTCAAGAGTGCACTGCCCCGGAATATCATTCCTAGTTCCAAAAATGAGGGTTCACAGGTTGAAAGTTTAGTTTTTAGAGATTAGTCTAGTCATCAAAAGGTTATCACTGTCGCCAAGCTTTCTCTGTAGACTGTTTCTGCAGGGAATTGTTTTAGATGCTCAATCTTTTTGCAAACAATGTGGGAATAGAACAAACTCCCAGCACACATTGTGGCTGCTGAAAGTCTGGAAGCATGGCTCCCCTTGTCTGGGACATTTGAATCGGTGAATTATTTTGAAATGATTGTATTAATGCTTGCACTTTGCACATGTTTCCTCGTATTGTGTAACGCCCACTCCTCTTGTTCTTGTGTAGGATCCATAGTATTTCAAATAAATAAAATAAATAAGTGGGTCCCATCTCGGAGCACATGTGGCATCTCCACTGCTGTGAGCCAGTTGGCCTCGACTCACTTGATGACGCGGTTGTTCTCGAACTCCTCTTGCATGACACATGAGTGGAACTCGCAGTTCTCGAGCCGGATCCATTCCTCGGTGACCACAGGCATGATGTCGTACCTGCCAACAACCTCCTTGCCCTCACGTGTCAGGTCATTCACACCCACCTCGATGTCCGGCATCCCTGCAGAAAAGGTTGCGTTTGCAGCATTCAACGCCAGACACCCTACGCAATTATAAAGGCTCCGCAGGCAACTGGTTTTTGCTCCATACGCCGCACCGAGAGAAGGCACCAGTGGACGCAAGAACGGCCTGTCGCAATTTGTACTGCGTGTACGTTTAGACGGCAGAGAGTTAGTCGGCCCCAACAAGCATCTGGTGTCTCGGCTGTAGGTGAGAAACTTGGCCACTGCTAGCCTGGGGTCTTCAACATGCGCCACGCGGTAGCAACGCGCCAGCCCGCATTAGTACGATCCCCGCCAAATCTGAACGGGCAGGGGTGGCCCGGGATACCCGAGTTTTACAGTGCGAGCTTTTGCTTTGTGCACTTTGAGCAGCAGTGCGTTAATGAGCTCGGCCACCGGTCGCAACACGAGGAGGCGCTGGGGTGATCCATCAAGTAGCCCCGTAGCAACGGTGTTGGGGGAATTTCTGATCTGCATACATTCTATGGATTATTCGTTCATTGTGTGATTAAAATGATTCTGACAATGTTACAAGGTTTCATCTGCACCAGTTTTTTCGACAGGCGGCTAGTTTAGCGTCACGTTGCCTTAAAGGGATGCTGAACCGAAATCTGGATTCCCCAAAACACGCGGCAAAAGCATGCAATGGGTTGCAACGAGCGGATGACCGTATTTTTCAAAAGAAGAGTTGCATTTGGCAGGAATGTTGACGTCATGTTTCTCCGAGAAGGAGAGGGAACGGCCTAGCGTCTTCTCCGGCTCGCGGTCTCGAGGGAGCAAAATGAAGAGAGGAGCAAACTAGGTATCTTGACGTCACGCGCCTCGTCGGCCTGGTTCAAACTCGACTTCTTTTTCCAAAAATACGGCCGTCCATTTGAGATATCGCCTTACTAGTAGTGTTGTTGGGATTGTAGCGTCCCGCCTACATCTCCAGTATTTTTTTTTTTTTTTTTTTAAATCCAAATTTCGGTTTACCATCCCTTTAAGGGGGAAACCACCCAAAAAGTCAACTTCTGCACTGCTTGCTTGATTTCAGTCAAATTTGCAGTCGACGCTTATATGAGTGGCAAGCCCATCCCTGCCAAATTTCATTGTCCTATGTCTATTCTGAAACTTGTTACGAATGTTACAATATTGAAGTCAGTGTGCTCACTTAGAAAAACTATCTCTTTAAAATAAAATAAAAATTTGTGATTTTTATGTGTAATGTAGTCATAGGAATACTCATAGCACATAGTACCTAGCTAGTTATTTTGCTAGATTGAATTGTTTTTCATAAGTATAATGCCATAAGAATATTCAATATTTTTTCATGTCTGCACTTTTTTGCAAATGTTTTTTTTTTTTTTTTTTTAGCATAAAAGAATGTTAAAATAGGAACACTAACCAGCCAGGCATGTTCCTGACAATATTCTATCCCAGAAAACCACCTAAGAATATTTCTCTATCGTGTAATGAAAAACAATAGTTTCAAGTGAAATTTATGCCGAAAAGTGGAACAGAGAAAAATACACTCAAAGTTCTCCAACCACTACCTTTTCTTTAGCATCGGTGGCCCGAAAATAATTTATAAAAAATTAACTATGCAGTGTAAACTAATGAAACTTTCTTGAAATTCTCTCAAGATGTTGGTGGATGTAAATATGGCATTTTTTCAAAACCAACTTTTTTTGCAGAAATTGTTTTTTCTGGGTAGTGTCCCCCCCTAAAAATACCTAAATCCAAATTGCGAGCTAAAAACACGCTTTCCGTGTAGGGCTTGTAACAACATTATTGGGCGCTGAAAAAAATCGGCCATCCGCGTTAAGTCCCTTTTTCAAATTTTTCTTGTTCACGTTCCACACACTGAAAAGCACGGCAAAAAAAAGAGCTCACACTTGCACCTGATCTCACCACATCGGAGTCTCCTTCGGCACAATAAAGTCCACCCGCTGTGCACACCGTCGCCATGGTAACGAAGCGCCTTTTTCGATCACATTTCGCGAAAAACGCAAAAATTCTCGTGGTGTGAGCGTGCACCTAGTGCTTGCTTTTCGTCAGACTAAGTCGCTATGACGTAACTACGGTGCTTGAAAACTGCGTGCGACTGAAGCGTTTGTGCCAGAGTCCCACTAGAGCGACAAACAAGAACAACCAACGTGGACAAGCCTCAAACACATGCAGCGTGCTCGTGATGGTACCTTTGGCAGGCGTTTAGTCGTTCGGTGTTCGTGAAGTAAGCGCGAGTGATTGCAAGCCTGCCAAAGATACCCTCACATGCGTGATGCTTGTGTCTGAGCATAGCCTCCTTTATTCTACAGAGCCTGTCAAATCGCAAAAGAATCTGGTTTGAGGCTTGTCGCTGTAGGTTGTTTCTGTTTATCGCTCTAGTGGGACTCGGGCATTGGCGTCCCATGCCGCCTGTGCATCAAAACCAATCTCGAAGAGGCAAACGAATGACGTCGCGGAAGCCGGAGTGCCGTGCTGTCGGTTGTCGCAATTCTGGCGGTTGGAGACGCGTTCCACGCACTGCAATGCAACGGAGGATCCCCGTACGCACCCGTAATGAAGGCGAGGAAGAAGATGCGGACGCGGGCCTTCTGCTTGCAGACGTGCCCCGTCTTGTCTTGCTCCACGATGAACTCGTCCTGGACCGTGACCTGGATCTCCTCCGTCTTGTACGTGAGGGCACGGTCCCTGTGGATCTGCAGCCTGAACAGGGCGTCTTCCACCACCTATCCGGGGAAGACAGATGGCGGCATCATGACTACAAGCATGAGGAAACTATTATAAGATTACATGAGCTCGATCGTGGCGACAGAAATCGGGGAGCACTAAATGTGCCAAGTGCAAACTGCCACCGAGTGTCGCGTGACTTCAGGTGACGTGACATTTGTTTCTGTGTTAAATTTAGCGGAGAAATTGACACCACGAAACTCAAGGTCATGTGAGGTCAGTTTCTCACAGCGAATTTGGCCGGAAAATTAACATCACGTGACTTGAAGTAGCGAGCATCGTCTTTCTGTGAATGTTCTTTCTGCGACCAAGTTGACACGATGAGAGAAAGGCAACATGCTTCCTGTGGGGGAGGGGGGGGGGGGGGGTTTATAAGTTTTACTTAATGCATCAAATTTTTTTTATATATATATTTTTTTGTTGTTTTGTTTTACGTTGAATTGACAAAAATGTTTTCAGTGGTGGTAGGTTGTCATGTATAAACACAGGAAACTGGTATAGCCCTCTATCTAGTGTCTCAGAGCTGTGACTGTGGCACAAACGAGAGACATGCAAAACAATTCCTTTTCGTGAACTTGGTACGAAAACCGGAGATGACGGCAAAAAGACCAGGACAAGTGCAAGAGCCAACTTTTTGTTTGTGACTTGCGTTCCGTGTTTTTGCTATACGCCGATAAACCTTGAAGAGTAACCCCCGAGTAAGTTTTGTTAAAATTGGAGAATGCAGAATAACCCCAAATTGGAGCTGTCCTTGAATAAGAAACTTGCAAGCTTCGCGGAAAGAAACCTTTATCTACAGAGTTGGGATACAGCCCACCCTGAACTGTCTGCGAGGCTGCTGCTTTCTTGAATCACATTCTACTCATGACCGTCTGAAGCTGTAGACGTTAAATCTTCACCAACCCACCCGAACTCCACACTAGATAAACCCCCCCCTCCCCCCTCCCCCATCAGCTTTGAATGCTGCCTTGAAATGTTGTCACAGAAATTAAATGGGAGGGGGAAAGGGGGGGGCGCGGAGGGGAAAGCGGGCAGGGAAACTGACCTGTACGAATGTCTTGAGGTCTTCGCTGCACTGGGTCCCTAGCTTCAGCAGCTGGGAGACCTGGGGTGCGTGCTCGAGCGGCAGCCCAAGCTTGGCAAACTGGCCCATGCTGGTGATCTGGCCCTGCATGACCTTGGAGATCTGTCCCGGTCGCACCCCCATGCGCTCCCGGTAGAAGATGTACTGCAGCTTCACTGTGAAGATCTTGCCGTAGGCGTCAAACTGCTGGGCACCCACCTCGGACAGGGAGTAGCATGCCTGCGGGACAGCGGCACAAGTGGACGTTGGGGAGTCGGCCAAACATGTTGAAGAATGGATGGGCATTTGGGTTTCTATTTCTAGCAAATAGATGCATGGATGGTATTGACTGCACCCTTTGTAATAATCTATAGCTGGGGCCACCTGTAGTTGCTGACAGGTTAAGAACTCGGTAGACGCTCTGCCTCGTGATCTTTCAGCTTTTGATAACGCTTCATCACACAAACAGCCAGAGCCCAGTGGAAGGCGACGACCAAATGCTGGAGGCTAAGCTTTTACTGAATTCTTAGCCTCTCATCAACTATACCATACAGCACAAAAGCAACCAAACAGGAGATGAACAAGTCATAAGGTTGCCCCCGGCAACAGATGAAAGTGAGCCTACCTGCAGGGGCACCTCTTGGAAGGGATCATTGTCCTCCTTCTTGTTGTAGAGGTAGAGAATGTTCTGCTCCGTCATGCGCACAAACACCTTCTTCCAGTACCGGTTGCCTGTAATCTTCTTTTTGTTTGGGTGACGCAGCATCATCTCCCAGCCCTCGCCCTCAAACTTAAACCGGAACTCTTCTAGGGGTTGCGACGTGTCCTCGTCAAACAGCGGCGTCGACGGACTCTCTGCCGACTCCTCGGCCCTCTTAACCCCGGCCTCCCCGAGCGCAGGGACCGCCTCCTCCGTCACGGAGGACGTGGGTATCGACACGGCGGGGGACGGCCCGCCCTCGTCTTCCGCCTCGTCGCCGAGCATGAGCAGGTCATCCTTCTGCGTCGACGTCTTGTCGAAGGGGTTGAACCTCGATGCCGTCGTCGTCTGGTTCCCCGGCGTCCTCACGGGCGACTTGGGTGGCGGCAGGAGCTTGGGTGGTGGGCCCAACATGGCATCCGGTATGTCGCCGCCCTCTCTCATCTTGGGCCGGATGACGACGGAAAAGTCTGGGCCAACGTCGTCGTCATCGAATGAGTCCTGCGAGGGCGCCTTCTTGGCCAGTGGCATCCGGACGGGCGTGTTCTCGGGCGGCTTGGTGGCGACGGCAAACGGGTCGAAGATGTCCATGCCACCAAACCCTTGGTCGGAGCCGCTCCCGTGGTCTTCCACCCTGAGGACGGACGCCTGCGAACTAGCAAACGGGTCAAACGCATCTGACGCAGTTGCAACAGCCACGGGTGCGGCAGTGTCCTCAAACTTCTCTATCGCCTGCTCGAATTTGGCGGCGAAGGCCTCAAATGCGGCCGTGTCCGTGAAGGGAACCGCGCCCTTTGCGGGTTCCAGCTGGATGTTGGTTGTGTCAAAAGGGTCATAGTCGTGGGCCTTGGTCGGCGTGACTGCTTTGTGTGGCTCCCCATGGAGCAGGTCAAACTCTCCGAAGGCGTTCCCGGTGTCTTGGGTCGTGGTGACGGAGAGGTCTGTCTTGGTTTCCATTGGGGACGTGTTGTCTTCGAAGTTCCCGAAAGGGTCAAAGTTGGAAGAGTCGTTTGTGGCAGAGGCAGCTGCTTCCTGGAAGGCATCAAAGGCAGGCAGAGGAGCGACATCACCCTCGCAGGGAGCGGCGTCGCCCAGGCCGAAAGGAGCAAAATCCTCTCTCTGTGGCGTGACGCTGGCTACGGCGGCGGGCACAGGCTCGAGCATGCTCTTGCCAAGGTCGGAGAAGGGGTCGAAGGAGCTGTGTCCCTCCGCCTTTCCGTCTAGACTGCCGAACAGATCGGACTGCTGCTTCGACTTTGCGGGTGCGTCTGTCTCCATAGCGTGGGGGGACTCGGTGCTCGGAGGGCTGTGGTCTTTCATTTCGAAGAGACCTCCCGAAGTGTTTGCGGCAGCAGTAGAAACACTCGCATTGGGAGGAGAAGAAACGGCCCGATCCTCGGTCATCTCAACAGAGTCGCCACCACCGAAGAGACCTCCCCCTTCCGTGACGGGAGCCGTCTGCTTCTCCGGCGAAAAGTCGTGGTCCACACTCGTCTTCCCAAAGGCGACCTGGAAAGGGTCCTCGGCCGCAAGCTGGTTCTCGGCCGCCGTCGTAAATGCACTTCTTGCGTCCTGATCTGAACCTGTTTGGAAGGTTCCCTCACTGAAGGGATCAAAGTCCATCGCCGCTTTAGGTACCTGCACATCGTCAGTCGTCCCGAACCCAAAAAGGTCTGCCTTTTGGTCTGCGTCGTCTCGCTGACCCTCGCACGGGAACGTAGATGCAATGGCTTCGAACAGCTCCGCACCTTTGGAAGCGTCTTCGGTTTCGCCGGTCCCGCCGACAAGGGTGTTTCGAAAGAACTCAAGGTCCTCTTCCAAGTTATCGAAGGGGTTCGTGCTCGACCTCCGCGAACCGGAGAAAAAATTTGGGACTTCCGCCGGCGGCTCCGCATCGGTCGCCGTTCCGTTGATGCCTCCGAATAGGCTCTCCCCCGGCGTCGAAGGTGCATTATCGACGAGAAACGGGTTACTCATGTCTCCCTGAACACTTGAGGTGCCGGTTGCCGCTCCGGTTGATGGCGACGCCTTGTTGCTCAGCTCGGAAGGCGAGAACAGTCCTTCTTTTGTCTTCTCTGTGCGAGAAATCCTTCCAGATGCAACGTCCACAAAAGATGTGTCGAAAGGGTCGTCTTCCTCTGGTTCTGCACTCTCGTAAGCGTCCTCCTTTGTCTTCGGCGTAGGCTGAGAGAGGACGTCCACGAAGGAAGTGTCGAAAGGGTCGTCGGCGGGGTCCTCCAACGGACCCTCGAGAAAGCTGTCTAGAGAGACGGGCGCGGCGGCGACGGGAGACTTCGACTCGTTTCTGGGTGCGAACCCAAACTCTTCCAGAAGTTCAAACTCAACGTTGTGCTCCTCACCGTTGAGTCGTTGGGAGTCCTCCGCCGATTGTACGCTTTCAGCCGCCTCTTCCTGCGGCACAACGGTCTCGACAAGCTTGGAGGGTGGCGGGGGTCTTGGAGGCGGTTTGGACGCGACGGATGGTGCGGATGCGGCCTCTGGAGCCTCGGTGCTCAGCTGTCCATCCTCGAAGTTGACCCAGGACCTTGCAGGGGACTTGGCGGGCGCCACCGGCACCGCGGCGGCAGGTTCCTCGGGGGATAGGTTCTCGGATTCTAGGTAGTAGTCTGGCTTGTTGAGCTCTGTGATGGCTGAGGTCTCCTTGATCTTGGTGAGCGTGTCCTGGGTCTTCTGGACCGTGTCTTGGACGCGTTGGGTGAGCTGCTCGAAAAAGCGCCACTCCTCACTGTTGCGTTTCTTCTCCTCAGCGTCCTCGGCGGGTTTGAGGGAGGTTGTGGTTGCCCCCGGTGCTGAGGGGTCGGAGGGGTCGGCGAAGGGGTCGAAGGGGTCGCTGCCTCTTGCGGAGGAGAGGGCCTGCTGCTGCTCCTGCTGGCGCTCGGCGACCTGCTTGGCGTAGATGGCGGCCTCGACTTCGTCGTCACTCTCGTGGCCTCTCTTGTGGCCCTTGATCTTCTTCTTGATGAAATTCATCTCCTACAGCTATCCTGCAGGAAAGATTGTGCAATGCACTTTAGTGTCTTCAGCCACGCGTGGAAACCTACATCATGTGTGCAAACTTCACTGTTGTGAATGCAATGCTAGCTTATTGGATGGACCACTGCATGATTTTCAAGGCTGTCATCAAAACATGGGAACCCTTTGAGGACGGGTTCTACATCCCCAATGTAGTTTCTTGAGAAGGTTTCAAGTTAAATGTTCCGTATGGAATACGGCATCAGTGAAACCTACCAAGTAAGCTCGTAAGTTGGAAACATTCTAAAGTCTAACCTTTCACTGCGTGTTGACGTAGTGCATGTACCATGGTGAGCACCCCCTCCACGGTACTACCACAATCAACGTACCCCGAAATACGCAATATGGTCTTTTTCAGCATCTGTGGACCCTACAAGCTCTATTATCCCTAAATTTATCGAAGAGTCCAAAGTATGCGACTTTAAACTTCGCATTCCATTCATAATTCAGAGCACAGCTCTCTCGAAGGACTGTCTCAGCTCACGTGGAACGCGATAGTACCCCCCTCCTCCCCTCCTGCTCTTATGTCAACAGCTGTTACAGGATGTGGCGGCCGTCATGGCAGCTGTACCAAATGCAAGCGTTGACACATATGACATATATCAAAGAGGGGGGGGGGGGGGGGGGGGGGGAGGAAAAAACCTGGAATTTTTCATAAAATATGTAATACTATGGTACCTAAGCGACGTATGACGTCGGTTTTCTATACATAACCTGACTTTCTCTAGCGATCAAGTACGTCATAGATATCAGCGGATATGCCCAGTGTGAGTCAGATGTTGGTTCGGCACAAGAGCACTCATGATCTGGAAGCTCAGCAGGCTATTGTTGTCGCCAGTATTTCTCTTGTTACAAGATCAGCCACAAAGTTTTGCTAAAATTTGTTGGGTAAAACCTGAGGAGGTTTAGGAATTTCGGCTTGTGCTGTTCATGATAGAGATCCAGGCTAGCAAATAAACTTCTGCTGTTGTTGTTTTTGTTTTTGCAACATTTCCAAATTTAGAGATTTCAAAATGGCTCGTGCGAAGTTGCGTCACCCACATAGATATTTCTAGATTAACGATTAGAAAACACCCAACAGTTTTGAAGAAATTTGCTCGACTGCCCTAGCTGTATGGAACATTTTATTAGCAAAAGGACATAAAGCAGATCATTTTGAGATTTGTGACCTGATCTGGGGATTCATAACCTTATTTTGTAACTTTTTTCTTTCTTCCCCTTCTTTGTTTACATTTTTATGGGGGGGGGGGGGGGGGGGAGGAGGGAGGGGAGGGGATTTTACAATACATCGTTTCTATAAACACTATCGATTTTAGAGATGCCGTCTCCATTCGTTTGCTCCAAACTTCCACTTTATGTGTCCATCATTTATATAAAATAATCCACAATGCAGCAAAAATAATAAAAACCCAACTAAAAAAAAGAAAACAGCCTAACAGGATGTCGAGGAAGTTGGTAAATTGAAGTTGAAGCCTCGAGTTTCCCCGTATATTTTAAAATAAATTGATATTTCCTTTGTGCCGTATGCTTTTTCTAGAAAGAATTTACAAATATTCACACCGTCACTTTTGCAGCGTTATGCTTACGATAAATCCATTCGTGCATGCCTTGAACACATGGCCGGCGTGTGTCACAGGGTGACCGATGTGCATCACAGGTTGAATTTCTTGGTCCCATAATTAAACATTAATTATCCCCAGAAAATTCAAAATGTGTGGGCCAAACCCGACCAAATCAGAATAGAGAAGGCAAATTGGATCTTCTCCAACTTTAAATTCTCTGGTGCTTCGTCGACTTTCAAATATATCTTTAAACTCTAATTAAAACAAATTCAGTATGTTTTAGGGTATATTGAGTGAGTAAACCGTCTGGCATTGCTCACCCTTCATCGGCTGAATGCAGAATTTCGCAACAAAATAAAATAAAAAATCACAAGTTGCACAAACGCGAGAGATGGCCGGCTGATAGCGCGTTCGATCGGAGATAATTCTGCCGTTTGGCTTAGATAAATTTTGCACCTCTCGTTTCCAAGCTAAAGCGCTCGACCAAGTGTCAAAATGTTACTCGAGCGCGAGATCACGCCGACCTCGACGAAACTTGCCGCGTCAGCCCAAACCACCCCCCCCCCCCCCCCCCCACACACACTCACACACACACGCAAGTGCACAACAAGGCTGATTAGCTGAACTTGCTGCGTCACCGACCCACATGAGTGCACGACGCACATGAGTGCTGCGTCAGCCTTTGGCGTTTCATCTACCCCGCTGTGGCCTCCGATCGGTGACGTAATAAATGAAGTCCAGCAGTCCGGCCTCGTTGTCAGAAGTGGAAAGGGAAAAAAAAAAGGGGGGGGGGGTAGTGGAAGTGACTAAAGTTCCCGCTGTCTAAACGTACACAGGACACACAACTGTCTCTGGTTTTAACACGAAGCAGAAAATGTTGGGAAATTTTCCAGTGGAATCCCGTGTTTCTGGAATTGATCACAGGTGTGACGCAAGGAAGTGTGTGAGTGCGTCTTTAATATTTTGCCCGTTTATTATTTAACAGCGTCGAAAGCCCATCTGTGTATGTCCAACGGCCTTGCAAGTAACAGAGAACCAAAACGATTTCGCTTATATTTTCAAGTTGTTTTGGAGTGGATTTTTTTTTTCTTTTTACCGAAACTTTCCCGATCTTAGAAATTTCTCCGTTCCTCCGTGTACGTCACGTGACCATGTCGAATGACGCCTGCTCACGTGACGTCAACTCCTCTTACGTGGGTAACGTTAGAAAAGAAAGCCTGGCGGTCCCGGTGACCACAAGTTACTGGGCAAGGCGGCCGAACCAGCCCGCCAAACATTTAGACAAACTTGTCAGGTGACCCCCCTAAAACCCGTGGTAGCTTTCCAAAATGGCAGTTAAGTGAACCATATGCTGAGCCTGTCTATAAGTGTTCTGGCTTCACTGAGCCACACAAATTATTCCCGAGGAAGCCAGGGTGTTGTGATCAGCGAAGGTCACCTCTTTATCCGGAAAAGAAAGACGGTGTTCAGCGTAATATTTATGCCAGGAAGCACGTTTTCATTCTGGAACGAAACCGACACTAACCTCTATTTTGGATTTTATTTTTTAGGTATAGGTTTCGATTTCAGGTTCCTTCATAAATCACGATGTGAGCGTAATTGTTAGAGCTGTTCGCGGAAACTTTATTTTGTGACGCAGGTGTTCGATCCAGGCACTTCAAACCATTTTCGAGTTCAGTGTCCAAAAGACGGTCTGCAAACACTAGTCAGCGCAATATCCGTGGTTCGAATGCCGCCTGCCAAAGTTTTCTCCTTGAACTCATTGTCGTGCGGCATTCGGAGCACGGATCACGCGGCGGCTCGCGTTCGAATCTGTTGTGCAGACTGTCTTTTGTATCATGTATAAGCGCAGCCGGACCCCGGCTTTAGATGTAACATAGAATATCATATTTGTTGCAAAACATCCGTGTTGATATTTGTGTCCTTGATAATTTTCTCGCTCAGATAATTGTTATGTGGAAAAATGAACTGCGGGCCTTTTAAAGTTTTTTGGGGGTATTTAGATGATTGTTTTAAAATTATTCCTAGGACAAAAAGAACAGAATCGATTCAAATTTTTACAAAATATCGCCACGGGTGAAGAGTTTAGAATATGTTCACAAAACGTATAAACTAAAAAAAACACGCTGTTCTTAAAAAAAAAACGAAATCCAGCAGAAGTGTATGTGTGTGTGTGTTTCACTTCACTTTACTACCTTAAAGACCCCCGTCAGGGGGTATTACATAAGGGGTGGGTTCACATGGATTAGTTCTTGGGTGCCATAAATATTCAGAGAGAGATATGAGTTGCTACATTGTCCATGGTGGAGGTTAATGGGTTTAAAGCAACGCGTGACGCATAAAACTTTATGTATTACATCCAATGTTTGACTGTTTGGCTATCTTGATAACGATGCCAGAGTTCTCCATATGCTAAAAAGAACACAAAATGAGACCTTTCTGAAAAAAAAAAAAAAAAAAACTATTATGGTTGAATGGCGTATTTTTGTGTTCGTGGCTGTATTATTAAGATACCTTAGCACGTAGCTTTTGAAGCTCTAATGTAATTTGTTGCTTCTTATCTAATTTCAAACGTGCGAGCAAGTAGAGCAATCAAAAGTGTGCAAATTATCATCGCTGGTGCCAATTGCAGCATTTTTAATTAAAAAGTTATAAAATAAAAACAGTCTAAAATCAATAAAAACATTCTAGCGAATCTGACAAATCCATGTAAAATGGCATGGATTGTAGGTAAAGGATAAACATTCAAAGTCGCCGCCAATCCTTCCAGACCAACCCCTCCCTCCGCCAAATAAATAAATAAAGTCTACGTTTTTTTTTTTCGTTTTTTTTTAACGAAATTTTTTAGAACATTTAGTTTCCTTCAATTTTACGCGCTGTCGTTTTGCCACACTGGGCCTTTCCAGTTCGAAGGAGCGCCTACCCACTTACACGTCTGCTCACTGCAGCACGTTTCGTTGGCGATGAAAACCGTTAAAACAATAGTGAGTTTTAGTTTCACACTGCGCGTGCGCGGAGCGTACAGAAGCGCTTGCTTCTTCTAAACGCGTTACTAAAACTCTTCAGTAAGGCACAATCCGATACCGACTGCAGCACTACATTGGGACAGTGAAGACTGCTGTTTGCATTCGCTAATGACATTTCGCGAGCCATAATAGGGGAACCATCGCTAGAGCACTTCCCGTTTCCGCCGCGGGAGAACAAGCAGCTGCTAAAAAACGCCATGAAGAAGGAAAAAAAGTGTGTCCGCGAAATGTTTGTTCATTCCCACGCTTCGGGGAATTCGCGAAATAGCCAGCTCGCGAAAATGAAGTTCTTTACACCATGTATGTATGTATATAAAGTCCTTTGATCAGAAGTTAATGTAGCATATGACAAGCACATCTGTTCAAAATAAAGATATATATATGGTTCGGTCATTTTTATATTCAGACTGTTTCTGACACGTAAAAGAAGTAATTCTCTTAATAATATATCGTTCTCTGGTTTTGTCATTACTGGTTAGCAGCCCTACGCCATATTACACGCGTAGGCCAGAGTAATGGAGCGCACCGCATTCCAGAACAAATTATGGATTGCAAATTGTTTGTTACATTGTTTCATCTACCATCAATGCACTTGCGAAAAATGACAACCACAAGGTATATGTCGAATTATCAAATAAAACAACTAAGATGGAGTATTTTTTGCCCCCGGAAATGAGCCAAATTTAGAAACCGAAACTAAGGCAATTTCGGCGGAAATTTGAAGTATCTCTCGGTGACCTATCGTTTCCATAAGGTATTAAACTGAAACTAATCTTATGCGAGAAAGACAAAAATGTAAAGGTGACCGTGGTACAGGACTCGAAGATA